CCCGCTCCCCCCCCGCCCCGCCCCCCCCCCCCCCCTTGTCCCCCCCCCCCCCCCCCCCAGCCTCCTCGCTGGTGGGATGAGAAGCAGAAAAGGCCTTGACTCTGTGTGAGCACTGCTCAGCGATGATGAAAACATCCCTGTATTACCAACACTGTTTCCATAACAAATCCAAAACAGCCCCATACTAGCTACTGTGAAGAAAATTAACTCTATCCCAGCCAAAACCAGCACAGTGTGCCATAACAGGCTTTGTGGGTTATCTTATTATTCCTGGCAGTATCTGGATTTGTAATACTGAAGCTGTAGAAAATTACCAGCTACTACCTGTTCTAGATAGCCTTAATTCCTTTTGCTGTACTAGTCTTCAGTTACATAATGCAGCAGACAGAAAAATCCCTACTGTCTTCACAGTAGCTTGTTCGTACCTTACCGTGATTTTGCTGACATTAGGTACTCTTGGGGGGAAACAAAAAAAGGGAAAAAATGTTAATGTGCTTGGGAGAAGTTTTATGAAGTGAGTTATTTCTCAAGACTCCTGTCTTGCTAGAAGCTGAAGGCTTACAGTCTTCCTTTTTTTTTTTTCCTTACTTTTAAGGGTCAATAGGACAGAAGTTTAATTTAATTCAGTTGCACTTCAGGAGAAATAAGATTCACTATTGCTGCTAAGTTAAAAATTGCTGACTTCATGGGGAATCTTTAAAACTTGCAGTTGTGATTTAAATAAAGCAGAATTGAATTTAAAAGGCAGTTAGACTTGATCAACATACTGTTTTTTCTTCTTTTCCTTTTTTCTTTTTTAACCAATAGCACTGTTTGTGGTAAAGGTTCCATTTTTGTTTTTCAGTCAGATTATTATACTAGTAAAATTGTCATTTCAGCTGTGCTTACACTAGTGTGAAGTACTTCATAACATTTATAGTGTGTTTCTTCCTTATGTGGTAACAAGCTATAGCGCTGATGGCTCTTCTTTCCTGGTATGATTCCATTCAAGCTTAGTGAGTTTAGCAGGTTGGTTATACAGCTTTACATATACTAGTGCAAATAAAGTTGCGCAACTTTGATGTTAGGATAAAAAAGAATCCTAATTCAGGTTGATGGGGACCTCTGTAGTCCAGGCTCCTTCTCAGACCAAGGCCAGCCATGAGATCAGACCAGGCTGCTCAGGGCTTTATCCAGTCGTGTCCCGATAACCTCCAAGGATGGAGATTGCACAACCTCTCTGGACAACCTGTTCCAATCGTACTTGACTGTCCTCACGGAAAAGCTTTTTCTAGTATCCAGTCTGAACCTTTCTTGTTTGTGTTTATGCCTGGTGCTTTACATCATCTCACTATGCACCACTGAAGAATCTGGCTGGCTCTTTTGTCTTAATAACTACTTGTAGGTCTTGGAAAGCTGCTGTTAATGTTCCCCCTCTTGCCTTGTCTTCTCCAGGCTGAAAAAGCCCGGGTCCCTCAGCCTCTTCTCCTACAGTATGTGCTCCAGCCACCTGCCCATCCACAGGACTCTCTCCAACCGTCTGGTTTGTATTGTATTGGAGATCCCCAAGCTGAGCACAGTATTCTAGGTCCAGACTAACAGCTGCCAAGTAATGTCTTTTCCCAACTGACAGTAGAAACATATAAACAAATACTACTTAAATATTGCTATGTTGTGTAAACAGTAATTTACAAAACATAGTTCTGAATAGATCTTATCACTGGAGAAAGGCTGTCTTTGGGTTGTGAAAAGTTTTGGGAAGTTCACTAAACGTACAGCATGGATTACTTTTTGTGGGACTAAGACTTTGGGTTGAATAAAAGTTGCAGGATGAAGAAAGACCTGAAGTATACAGATACATATAAAATATGATATAATAATTAGCTCAGTAAGTATTTATATATATACACATAGGGATTTTTTTCTTTTCCAAAATGGCTAGAAAAATGCTTCAGCAGTTGCAAAACCTACATTTTGGTCCCTGACATTGTCCTAATACCTGAGGTTTGTTGTCTTTGAATATAAGTTAATACCTAAACTCTATGAAAGAGCTTAGGCATTATTTACTGTCTAGAAACAGGGAAACTTAATGAAACTGAAGATCTGCCTGTATCTGCTGAGGGCCTGATTGTATAGGCAGACCCAGGAGACCTCTGAAGGTGCTGATGACACTGAATCCAGTGCTAAACAAAACAGCTGAAGTCACTTTCATTAAAAACACAGCTCATGAGAGAGAAGATTATATGGCTCATTTTTCATGTAACAGGTTAATAAAGAGGGACACTTCAATTCTTTGGCTTTCTCCCCTGCCCCAATCTAATGTCTGTCTCTGTCATACAATGGGACAGTAGCCTATGGACTCAGAATGTGGGGCTTGTTTCCTTGATTACTTTCTCAGTGGCACTGCAATTCTTGCATTTTTGGCTTTGGACTCTAAACAGAAGTGTGGCACTTCTGACTCAGGTGCCCAAGATCCAGACAGAAGCCAGCATCCGGGTGTGCTCTTGTTCTTTTTCCTGCTGTGCTGGCTCTCTGCTCACCTGATGATTTCTTTGTAGGTTATCATTAAAAGAAATCTGTATTCCTCCATGACTGGAAAGGAAACTGAAACATTTCCTGCTGCTGCTCTCAGCCATCTCTATCACAATGTAATTTCCAAATGCTTCAGAGTCCCTAATTTCTCTCTCCAGAATCTTGCCATCAGAGTAATGAGAATATCTATAGAGCTATAGATAGTGATTTACAGAGGATTTTTTTTTTTTAACGTTGCTCCACTTCAAAATATATATATGTAAGGCATGGAATGGAGCAGTAAAAGATACTGGGTTTGATTTTCCACTACACAGTTGCGCAGTCTGATTTTATTGCGATGGCACAGCATCATGCTGTGGTAGAGAGCGTAACCCTTTCTTTTGTTATATTCATTTCTTCTTGTTGTCTTTATAATTCTCATTAACTTGTATTTTGAAGGTAATACATTCCAATTTAATGAAACAATCCTGACAAAGGTTAAGAATGGAAGAGAGAATTGGAAGTTAGCCATAGAAAAACAAACAGAAGGAAACTCTCATATAAGTGCATGCAATGTCACATGATTAGTCTAAAGTCTCCAAAATTGCTAAGGGCATTGGAATGGTGATGGGAGATGTTAGGAGCTGCTGAATCCAGTAGCCCGACAGAGGTGAGGCTGCCAGAGCTCCATGCCCCTGGGTCCAGGCAGGCAGAAGGCTGAGCCCGTATCCCACACGTGTACATACACACAACACACATGCATATAGCTGGCCACGCAGATCGACACAGGCAGAAAGTACACACTCATATGAAAACGTACAGTGCCAAAGGTCTCATCCTATTTTCCTGTCTGGTTTATCATGGTAAAAACTTGTCAGTGGAAAACATCCATGCATACATATACACACGACAAATCCCTCCGGTCCCTGGTTTTAGACATTCAGCTCAGGCAGAGGGCATGGCCAGACAAGGATACTGGCAGCAACCTATTTAGGTGTGAAGGGGCCATTTTATACTATTATCACTCTATTTCCCTACAGTTCATATTAAATCTTGAACAATCCCACAATGTTCTTCCCCAACATCCCATAATAAGTCCTGTATCACCGAAAGCAGTAACCCATTTCAGTCTTTAAAGCGATCCAGAGAGCCTTTCTGGCTGACTCATCTTGCTGGGTTTCGCAATGTGCTGAACATCCTCCTGCGGCAGCCATCGTTCCCCCACCTGCCATTGTTCCTCTTCTCCTTTGTGTTTAAGGTGAGCCTTTAACTGCAAAACCCAACAGGAAAGAGGGAGTTAGTAGGAAATATTTAGAACAATTTTGCTCATAGGTGCTGCCATTAAGTGGTGCTCTTGGTAAGAGGTACATCCAGCAGGGTTGAATCTGATTGTTTGATGAAGGGCAGTGCAGCCAGCTATCCTGCCTGAATCTTGTTTGAACAAGGTTATAATCCACACACCAAATTGTTGTGCATTATTGGAAATGATATTAACAACTGAATTTTTCCTGGTGAAAAAATACTGAGTGGAAATATGAGAGATCTGTTGACAAATAATTATATTGTAACTTCTATCCTAGAAAATTATTGAAGATTTACAGATGGTAACACAACTGAAAATTAAGTATAACAGTATTTACAAATGCTTATTAATATTACATATAGATGAATAAACAGTTGTGAAATGCTCCTCCAGAAGGTGATACACATACAAAAACATATTTTGTGTTATATATTTTTGTCCTACAGTTTGGGGGGCAGTTGCATCATGTTTCAAGGCATTCTGTAAAATATGTAGGTAAGCAGAAGTCTTGCAAATGCCTGAGATACTAAAATAATCAGGGGGTTATTTAGTCTTTCAGATTTCACTTTTTATTTCTTGATTTTAACATTTTTGTTAAACCCAAAAAGGTAATATATGGCAAGAGTTAATTTCAGCTTAAAATTAATTTTCTGCGTGCACAGAATTCAAATAGGATGTCCAGAGCTTGCTTCCTTCTGCCACAATATGAAGAGTGAAGAGTGAAACAATGGCTTTGATGGCAGAAAAGTCACCACAGGCTCCAAAGTGTCTATAAAAAGGAGATAACTATTATGGAATGTTTTGTTTTCTTTCACTTCTAAAAACAAGAGTTATGTGGGATTTCTCTCATTCATCAAAACCCCACAACCTTTCATGTTATCTCTGCAGCAAAGTTGATTCCTCTGACCTAAGATGGTTCAGCAGAAAGCTTTTAACTTGAATTAGTGTTCTTTTATTTTAGGTGTAACAACGAAAATGAATGGTGCCAGATCCATGAAAATATTATTCGCAAGTCCAGCACTAAATACACAGCACCCAGCTCAAACTATGGTAAATATCTGCTTGTACATTTTTGTCATAATAACAGCTGAATATTTCCCTTGGGAAACTGCTGATTATTTATAGCAGAGAAATTCAGTGAAATGTGAGATTATGCATAGCTGAATTTCTCTACTTGGAGTGATTTAAAAATTTAGCTAAAATTCATTCACGTTCAGTTTACAGGTCAAAATCTGTATTGCGTCTGCAAACTTAAGCAGGAATTAAAAAAAACCTCACCACCTGCTATCTTTCCTTCTCAGATACGGCTGACAATAATATTAATTCAGCATGCTAAATTTCCTTCATTGTTATGTCTGTAGTGTTATTTTATCTCAAGAGAGGTCAGCAGTGGAGAGAGCTAGTGGCCTGCCATAGTGTCAGCTTAGTCTGTGAGTCTTCATGTATTGGCTGTGACAGTTACTGAGTGTGTCTATGCTTGTGCAAACTGCTAGCCTATGGGAGGGTACAACATAAGCGGCAATCAGCATTGGCAGAACTCCTTTAAAAGTTTTTTTGGTGACACGGGCTTACGTTACTGTGATCAGACTTGGCTGCACAGGGAATGAAGAATTTAAATTTTATTCATCAGAATTGCCCTGCGTAAAACTGGCTTCCTTTTCATCCTGTATTCCCTTGAAAATTCCAGGTACAACACGTATCTAAGGCTTGCTCTCCTAAGGATACCATGCATCCTTGTCGACAGAAGCAAAGCAGGAGGTTAAATTTGTCTAACATATTTGTCTGACTGTTCAGAAAATTCTGACTATCCAGAAAATAAGCAGTGCGTTTGTATGTCAAATTGATTATCAAGAAGACTCTCTGTGATAGTGTCAGTACTAGATGTTTCATTGCATAGTTGAGGAGAATAACTGTCTTGGCAGAGTTTTTGCCACCTTTCAAATCCATTTTTATTTTCCTAGCTAATGACAGATAAAGATGGAAAGTAAATCTTGTGCTATCTTGTTACCTCATTTAATGATTTCTGTAGTTTGCTAATTCAGAGATATCATAACTCTTCTATTCCAAATGAACTAGCCAATACAATACAGTTCTGCTTCGTTACAGCTAGTTCTGCATTCATTACGGAGTGCCTGATTCATTGGCATACTGATGTCCGCATACTGATATTGTCTTAATTTCACTTGTTTGCATATTGAGATATTGTAGTGGAATATGCAGTTCACACTCCCATGGAAGATATTAAGCACAACAATAAGCAAATAAAACAGTTTTCAGATTTGGAATTTTATTATATGCAAAGCTGGTCTCCTTCCCAGCTGTTCTCCTGTTATGGTTAAGGTCATCCACCACTTATCATTAAAGCATTTTCCTGAATTCTTTATAGCTTTGAAAACTTGGACTGTGCATTTATTTCCAATGCCAGGTGTCTGCCTGAAACCTTTTTTTTTTCCAAGCATGAGCCTTTTGAAGAGCAGAAAGAAAGGAAAATAGATAGCTTTTTACCCTTGCCTTTGGCTTTTAAAAATAATTATTTCAAACATTTCATTAAGACCTAGTGCATCTCTGGAATAGAGATTGAAACTTGGCAGAGGTATTGTCCTGCTGGGAGGGGCAGTATTGCAGCCTGACAGGAGATAAACACCAGTAATACAATTTGGGCCTCTCAGAACCTGCTCTTACAGTGAGAAAATGCTCAAATTACAAGTGTGATTTTTCGATGTAGAAAAGCTCTCTGGTTCTTTCTCTTCCCACCTTCCCAGGTCTTGTGTAAAATTAGTCCTTCAGGTCTGCTGCAAGGAATAGAAAAAACTGGAACGATAGGCTGGATAGAAAAGAGGACTGGAGAGCAGACTTACAAAACCTCTTGGGGAGAGCAAGAAGCTAGGCAGAAGTTTTTGGGGGTAGAATATGTGGGAGGGTATCACAAGTAATATATGTAATACCATACTGGAAAATTACATGCTCTATTACCTCTAGTGATTGATTTTTATAGATAATAGATTAATTCTGGTGCTATTTGTTAACTACTGGGGGGGTTGGGTGTGGGAAGGTCTGAACTTACAAATTTGCTCCAGTCCCTTATGCTGGAATTTTTTTAATTTATTTTCATTTTTTTGTTTTTAATAGCAAAAGAGCGTATAAAATTGTTGTGGTTTAACCCCAGCCAGCAGCTAAGCACCACACAGCTGCTTACTCACTCCCCCCCTCACCCAGTGGGATGGGGGAGAAAATCGGGAAAAGAACTAAAACTCATGGGTTGAGTTAGGAACAGTTTAATAGAATATAAAAAGAAGAAACTAATAAAGTGACAGCAGTAATGATAAAAGGATTGGAATGTACAAATGATGCGCAGTGCAATTGCTCACCACATGCCGATCGACGCCCAGTTAGTCCCCGAGCGGCGATGCCCTGCCCTCACTCCCCGCAGTTTATATACTGGGCATGATGTCCCATGGTATGGAATACCCCTTTGGCCACTTTGGGCCAGCTGCCCTGGCTGTGTCCTGTGCCAACTTCTTGTGCCCCTCCAGCTTTCTCGCTGGCTGGGCATGAGAAGCTGAAAAATCCTTGATTTAGTCTAAACACTGCTTAGCAACAACTGAAAACATCAGTGTGTTATCAACATTCTTCTCATACTGAACTCAGAACACAGCACTGTACCAGCTACTAGGAAGACAGTTAACTCTATCCCAGCTGAGACCAGGACAAAAATGAACAAGTTTTTTCTCTAAGTGGCAAAAATAGTCAAGACTGATTTCTAATGAACTTGTCTCCTGTGTTCTGTTAAAGCTTCTGTAGCACACACACACACAGATGTACACTCACACATGGTATTGAAAGGGTTTGAATTTTTTCCATGGTTATAAAGCCGCTGTTTTCCCTGCAGTGCTTTGCAGCGCTCTTCTGCCTACTTAGCTGGACAGTTGCAAGTCCATGTTTTGGCAGCTTTTGAGGACATATATGCTGATTGTCCAGCTGGCTGATTGGCCTCCCTTTTCCTTCATTTTAAGGTTTTATGCTCATTTTCCATCCCTCCTCCCAGCATTCATAAAACTTACAGTCTTCATGTTATCTGGGGATCTACTTATTTGCCAGATTTGGCTGAAGGCAAACTCCAGGCTTGAAAATTATTTCAAGGCAAGAGAGCAGAAAGTGGGTGGGAGGTACATGATATAACTGGTTTCATTCCCCTAGTAACTCGTCTAACAAAATGGGGACTAAATATTATTTGCAAAGCCCATATATTAAGTTTGAACTTTAAATGGCTTGGGCAAGAATATGTATACAAGGCAGTGTTTGGTTTTGTATGTGTTTTTCCAGAGAGTGAACAGAGAGGATAGAAAGAACTATTGACTAACTATCATTCATTGAATGAGGTAAAGATTGTGAAAAATGACTGTGTGAACGTAATTCACATGGCTATGTGAAGCTGGTAATGTATGCTCAGCAGATGAGACTGAGCTTGCATGGTTGAGCTTAATCCTAGCATTTTCTGGTATCGTAGTGCTTGACTTTGTAACTTTACCCCAATACATTATCCTCATTTTAGGGTGTAGTATGATATAAATTAAAAGCAACTAGAGAAAGCAGTTGGACTGAGATTAACAGTGTAATTATTCCTAGTCAAGCTATTCTGTTGATAGACTGACCAAAGGGTTGCATTGGAAGAGCTCATTGCTGAAGTCAGTTTGAGCAGTTGGTACTCTTGAACCATGTTGAGGTACTGAAGGGAATTTCATTAAAATCAACGTTCCTGTATGAAGTAGTTAAAGAAACAAGTGGAACAGATACGCTTTGAGTTTTTTTTATTTTTTTATGGTATTAAGTGGGATTAAAGGCACTTTAGAGATGTTCTATGGCATTGTGTGATCTGGCGGTTCAGACAGAGGTGGCATTGCTCATACATGCACTGTAACCTGCTGTATGTGAGGAATAGAAATAATGCCAAATACTTCACTGTAACTTGTGACATCTCTGTGGAGTTAAGTATTCTGATTTTAAAAAATTGTATTTTAATATGATGTTATGCTCTTAACTGATCCCTTAAAGCAGTTTTGTTTCTTCAATTTCAATTTTAAATTACTCCAAGGGAGAAAAGAACTCTACTTATATATTTGTATTAATTTGACTGTGGAGGAAATAATTATTTTACCTACATCCCTTGTATATACAGACATCTAATTCTTAGGTCTGAAAAAATGAGCATCTTTGGTTTTTTTCCTAGGACTTATAATATCTCTTCAGCTTCTTCGTGGCGACATGGAGCAGATTCGAAGAGAAAACCCCATGATCTTTAACAGAGGCGTTTCTGTTACCAGGAAGCTGGGTTTTCCTGATGTTATAATGCCAGGTAAACATAACAACTCTAATCTTAAAATATTGGTCGTTTTTTTCTCATACTCTCCTAGACAAGCGCCACAGGGATGGGTGCCTTACTTGAAGAAGATGAATAATAGAAGAGTTGCCTTATTTATCAGTAAATGCCAGTTCCAGATTCAGGGAGGCATGCTAAAACATTTTAATCAATGAATAATATAGTAACAGGTGTTAAATTCACATGTACAGAAGGTGATCTGGAAAGATTGCTTTGATATTTCCCCCACCTCCCCCACCAATTAGATATCTCTCATGTATGCTAAGCATAGAGATGTTTCTTTTCAAAGGCATAAAGGTTCTTCTTCCCCATAATCCAAAGCCCGGAAAAAAGAGTTTCCACTTTGCCACCTCGATTCTTGCAGTTAGTACGATCCTGTTGTACTGGTTGACAATGCGTGAGGCTGCAAATCTGGTCTGATTTTCCAGCTGGCCTTACAGAGTACCTAGTCCGTGCAACAGCTGTGTGGCTGAAGCATTGCTGTACTTCGTTTACTCCTTACTTCTGGAGCAGCAGCTTGAGATGCTTCTTGTTTTGGCACAAGTTGAGGCAGCCCCAGCATGGCCAAGAGTTCATTTAGGAGGAAACGGAACCTAGCCAGTCATGCAATCAATAGATATAAAACCTGGCATTATAGTGTCTTTGATTTTTACAGTGTAGTAAGAAATGGGCTTACTAATTATATTGCATGTATAGCATTTGAAATACTACCTCATTGCTATGCATTATAACCAAGACCAAGGATGACTTTGCAGACATGGGAAATTTTATGAAAGCATAATGGGGAAAGTATCAGATTTTATTACTTGAAAGTCTGCAGCGACACATCAGTATCAAAAGTAGTTGTTGTAGCTTCATTATGGAGGCTCTTCAGAAAGCACAATAAAAATAGGGAGTGGGTGGGAAGAATTTCTAGAAACTTAAAGTAAAAGGATTTAGAACAGCAGTGTTTCATTTAGTAACAAAATTGAATAGTAATAGAGCAGCAGAAGATGGGAGCTATAAAGCCAGTTACAAATTTTAGTTTTTAGTGACCTCATAGCAGTTCCAGTCCTAACCCAAAGCAATCAAATAGAGAAAAGGTTAAATATTGCACATTGATATGCAGAGACAGCTGCTGCAAGGTGATCTGCAGTAATTGAGATCACAGCTGGATGTGTCAGCTAGAATAGCTAGATCACACCTAGAAAAGTCAACATCAAAAATAACATTTACATACCTGTATAAATTAATTGATTCTCCTGCAAGAATTGCTTTATCCTCCATTTCTATGTATAGAGCTGTCCCTCAGGTGCTTCAGACCACTGAATTTAGCAAGCTTAAGGAACACCTTTATGGCCTCAGTGTTCCCTTTAATTGTTTTTTCATTTTCTGGGCCCTAGCCTCTTTCTGCAAGCTGGCATAGTGGGCTGTCTTCCCTGTACCTCTGCTGTTTTGGGCAATGCTTTTCTCCAGGGCTTGAACAAGCAGGTTAGCAGTTTTCATGCAGAAAGTGCTCCTACCCTACACTTTAAAAATTCTCTATTCATTGCAGCTAATTCAAATTTCCAAACTTCTCTCTAATTAAGAACTCTAGTGAAAATACTGCCTCAGTGCAAAAGATGTCCACCAAATCTTAAGTATATTGTTATGATCTTTGTGATATTCAGCCTAAAGACCTTGGACATTTAGGTAAATTAAAACCAGATTCCACAGCATATGTTTGTGATGCTCCCATTGTAAGGCTCACTGTACAGGTACAGTAGTGATCTTCCCAGCCCTGGTCAGCCCATTAGTTTTTCAGATGGTGGTCTTCAAAAGACCACAGTTGCTTGCTAATGTCATATTTATGAGAACCACAATTCTTGTTGGAGAAAATGCAGGGATTTTAAGATGATAATCTGTTTGGAATTGGGCTCAGAGAGAGAGAGATCTGCTCAAAATACTGATTGATGCAAACACATGTGTGAAAGGACCACCATTCTGCTATTAAATGCTTACTGCCTCTCCAGAGGTGCTGGACACCCAGAACTCCTTGATTCAAAGGGGGTTACAAGAGGTCTGCGTATATAGAGTTTAGATGCAAAGCTTTAGGCATTTGTATTTGGGAAAAAAAGGCTTACATTTGTGGAGAAAGCAGTTTGTAAATGTCTTTAAACACCAGGTAAGAAAAGAAAGGCAGCCAGGGAAGTGTGAATAGACTTTCACTGTGATGATAAATTAGGACGTTGCCAGAGTAGAGACGGGATGTGAAGAGAGAGGTAGCCATGAATGGTGCTCTAAACAAAAAAATGTTATTATCCTGGGGATTCTCCAGGATAATGACATCTCTGGAAAAATTAGGAGATTAAAATATAATGTAACTTCACTGATGCAGTGAACAGTGTTCATTCTAATTACCTATCAGATTTTTTTAAAATAAAAATATGTTTGGCATTATTCAAGTGACAGCAGATATTTGCCTGTTGTTTGCTTTTAAAACACTAGATCAAACTGGGGTTTGAGTTTACTTGATGTCCAGGATAGAATGTTTGCGTGGCATAAGTTAGCTTCTAGGTGCATTAGCCAAGCTACATGAACAAGGAATGCCTATCAATTTATTTTGTGCTTATGTTTTTACAGCCAGAATCAACCTTTTTTTCTTAGCTTTACTAGTGTTGTGTAAAGTTAGAAAATATTTCAGGTTTTTTGGGGGGGAAAAACCAACCAAAACAATAAAAAAAATCCACAACCAAACAAAAATCCAACCCTGTCATGCACGTTAGCAGTTCTCAACCATGTCTGCTGCTTTAATTGTCTTTGTCAAACTACCTTTTCCTTGCTTTGCTTCAGAACTGTTTCTTTCTCATTAAAGACAGGGTTTCTTCTTTCAGAGAAGAGCACAGAAAGTTCATGACTTGTATTTTGCAAGTGGATGCAGATTTTTCAAAGCAGTGTGATTTAAAATTTTTTTTGTGAATAAATTAATAAAGGCTATGTTACCTAGTATTGTTAAAATATGCAGTGATTGTTCTGCTGAACCAAGAAATCTGTTTTTTAAAAATGTAAATAGCTCTAGCATTTCAAATGAATCCTCTTGGTCATAGGTTTTAACATTTTCAATTTCTCTTTTAATAGGAAAACCTTTCACATGTAAACACCTTAACCATTAAAGTTCGCTAGCTGTGTCTTATCACACAGTTTTCCTGTCCCATTTTGTTTTCTAAACAATAACATTAGTTCCTGTACCAAGCCCTCTTTTTCCCTCACTCAGATAGGAGCAACGTAAGTGGTAGCTGGTCATCATTAAGAAAGAAAGTGCAACCCGTCTTTATGTTCTTATATCTTGCATGGTTATGCAGAACAAGATTAATATCCTACAAAATAACCATGCTTGTCTTCATTTCTAAAGGTAAAATGTTCTTTGTTTCCTGCTGTGTTGTGATCCAAGAAGAGCATTATAAAGACTTTAATTATCTTTTTTGTCCAAATCAGAAGGGATTCAGTCAAACCAGCCTCATGAAGAGGTGTGGTGGGTTTTTGTTCATTTGTGGGCTTTTTTTTTTTCTTTTCTAAACTTTTTCTTTTCTAAATTGCTACTGGTTTCAAGACCGTCCATCTGATCTTGACAATTTTACCTTTCCCCAGAGATAAAAGCAATGAGGCATGTGCTGCTTGCCTTTTGGATTGCAACTTTATTTGTATACAGAACTTGCTGATCAGAAATCTATTGCATAGGCATGGCGTTTGTCAGTTCCCCAAAGGACATCCCTTCCCTTCCCCATGTGCTGATAAGTATTCTGTCTTTTACTTTGATCCTCTGATGAAAAGTGCATGCTTCATCTTCTACTTGTGAGTGATGTTTCTTTCTCTTTTTTCTCTCTCCTTGTCTTAATTTCCTGGCTTCTCTCCCTTTCCTTTCCCTTTATTCTCTCCTCTTTCTTTCTGATGCAGAGATGAAGATAGTTGGGTGTAAGTTTCTGCTTTTCTGTGTAATGTCTGCTTATTGCTTGCTTTTTCCCATTTTCATATCTTTCATGGAATGTTGGGGATCGGTAAAGATGGCAAATCATGACATCATAGGGAAACTTTGGTAACAGAGAGGCGTAGACTTTGTCTTATCAGTCTCTCTTCATACCACAGTGTTTCAGACAAATTTAGTAGTTCTACAGATCAGTTAGTAGTAAAGGTGAGAAAAATCTCAGCATCTGTTCTGTCAGGGAGCACAAAGTCATGGCAAAAATACATTAAGAAACGGACATGACAAAATCCATCAGCTATTCACAGAATGTTCATGGTGAGAGAGTCAACAAGACTAAAAGACATAATTGTATAATACTTATCCCCAAAAAGCATTTACAAGGAGAATAAAAAATATTTTTGTGATAAATAAACTTGTGCAAATGGAAAGTTGGAGGAGATAAGAAAAAAATATATTAAAAATCAACTTCCTACTACTGAAAGGAAACTGTTTCAGGGAAATCATTGAATTTAAAAAGAGCATTGTATAAATTCTTTTCTATTCATAGAAGTCAGAACAATGGATAGCAAATAATCTAGTAAGTATCGTTTGTTCCTTTTCCTTGAAACAATTGAGCGTTCCTCTCACTGAAAGCTAGAGGAATACACAGAGTTAAACTTGCATAATGTTCTCTTTATAGAAAAAAAAAAAAGATAATTTAATTTGCCATACAGGCAGTAGATAAAAGCTCTGTTTCCCCTTGCTGCTGTAATATTACTCGCAATAATGTTAATAATTGCATACTATAACTATTTCAACAATATAGGCCTTAAAAAAATTAGTGACTGACTGGCGAAGGGGCAGGGAAATAAGCTGCTGAAATGGATCTAATGTGATTCCCAGAGACTGTCTGACCATACCAGGCTTCTTAATTTTAACAGGCAAGTAGCAGGACAGTGGGCAATCCCGCTGAGTTTTGCACGGTGTCAAAGGTGACTTCACTGTTAAAGCAAGGGAAGATCATGCAGCGTGAGGCCTGGCACTCTTAATCTTTTGAGACGTGATTGAGAACAAGTCCATAATGGCCAGGCAGGAAGGCAGCCAGCGAGCGTTTGAGACCCTTCCCATACAGTGCACTTTGTCAGTCTTTTCCTTTAGTCCGTTTGCTTTGTAAAAACAACGTGATGATCACAAAGCTGATTGCGGGCATCGTACTGTTCACCTTGTCTGTGTTGAAATTACTGTACTTCAGAAGTAGCTGCGTGTTTTTCATTTGGAGAAAGTTGCAACTTAAAGTAAGGGTGGAGTAAGCTGTTGAGATCAGAATCCAATGACTGGCACCCTGCTCCAAGCTACTGCAGAGGAGAGCTGTCCATCAAGGGAATGTCTGCTTTCATATCATACTCTTGGTCAGAAGGAAGAGTAAAGAGCTAGAGCAAATATCGCCAAAGCACATTATAACACTATCCATGAATATAAGTATTCTACATTTTATAGTTAGTTTCAAAGATCTTACTTGCTGGACTGAGTCTCAGAGTCAAACCCTTAGTGGTTTAAACTGCTATAACTTCATTTAAGTCAGTGGGCTGATGCTGATTTACTCTAGTTGTGGGGATGTTCATTTATATATAGGACATAAATATATGGTTTTGTTTTTTCTTCATAAGCCATTGTGGAAGATACTCTGAGTATCCTTCTTGCCCATTCGTGCTCCAGAGATTATCGACACTCTTCTGTAAAATGCCAGTATTTTGAAAAAGATGCTAAACCCAGTGATGTTAGAGAGTCAAGTAGACAGTATATACCCTAAGTAAATAGGACCATCTCAACAGTTTAAGAAATATAGACATAAATACTAATTTTTATAGCTGGATTGTTTTTTATATCCTTGGCTGCTTAAATTGTAAGAGACTAAACTTTCAGTTTAAAAAATCCAATGAAGATTCTCTGGATAAATACAGTTATTTTACTAAGCTACTTGAAACTAGACCTGCACATCCTGAATGTTGTGAGTTGCCGCTTTCCCCCAACTTACAGGGATATATTAATGTCCTTTACAGGTTCACAAAGTCACAGAACATTGAACTCTTAGAAAACAAATTTGCTAGAATCAAGATGTCAGAGGTTTGTTTGCCTCTTTCTCCTGTAGGAACTTCTGTGAATTATATAACTTTTTTTGACGCAGTATTCACCTGTATAAAACAGGGACCATTCCTGTCCTCAGTGTACAAAATCTTTTAGGATCCGTTAAAAAAAGTCTTAGATTAAATGCAGATGGTTTCTGTAAACTGTTGCTACATTCCAGTTCAAATAACTGGTTAGTCTTCTAGTGGAAAACCTACAAATCTTATCAGGACAAATCTCCTACTTACTCTAATAGATAGCAGACAATTATTGGCCATTGGACTACTTAATGTTACTAAGTCTCAAAAATTATAAATATTTATTTGGAAGTCTTCCAGTACATTTCTTTATATCGTAAACACAAAATCAATAAACGGCTCATGTAGCCTTTTCCATCATTCCTCTTTTTCCCCTTTACCATGAAAATAGTTTCAGATGATAGGAGAAAGGATTTCATTTCAATATAAGCGAACCCCCAAAGCTATAATTTATGATTTATAATTTAAACAGTTGTACATTTGGCATAAGGCTTTGTAAATAGGTTAAAACAAACAAACAAAACCAAACCCCCATAAAGTTGAAGGGAGGGCAAAGGAAGAGCTGCATTACACATCAGAAAACAATTCTTTTTTCATCATTGTGAAAAATACTATATTTCAAAACATTTCATAAAGAATTAGCAACTGCATATGTTGGAACTGCATGTATTTTATGCTAAAAAACAGTTTACATTTGGTTTTAAATTGAAAACAGTTGTGGAGAGATGGGCTTTAAAAGAAATACCATTCTGAAAACTCTCATTAGGGTTTCAGTTCATCCTTGACAGCCATCTAGCACAAACAGACCTCAGCTTAAAGTGTCATCCGCAGGTTTTAGTCTATAAATACTTTTGGCCCACTAGCCTTCTAGCACTTTTTTATTCCTCTACTAATGATAGGAGGCCACAGCTAACCCAGTTTTATAATCTGCTCTGCTCTATATGTGAAGATGTGATGCCTAAGGGATCCAACGTGGTGTACCACACCGTTTTTCTCTCAAAATGCAAGAGTTGCTGTCACTTCAGAGCCAGCACTGTTTGTACAGTAGTTTGCGCACAGAGGGCATGAATTGTCTGGTTTGTTAGACAAGTTCTTTATCTTTTTCTTTTTCCAATGGAATTAAATATGGGAAAATCTCTTTCTGCCAAGATTTTTGACTTGATATGTAGCTGCCATTCTGTGTTGTTGCTGACAAGGATCACTTGTTGATCATACTGATCACACTTTTTGTTTAGTCACATGCAAGCTGCACTGCGCTATCTATTCGTGCACTTCCATGGTGTTGTGCAGAATGTTTTCTCTAGCCTTGCAATTTGCATACTCAAAATTTTTAATAAACTGCTCTGTGTTCAAGCATTTGCTCTAGTTTCTGTGCAGCCCATTAGTGCATCTGAGCTCAAACCCCTCAAAAAAAGTAGCAACTGGAGAAAAAAAATGGCTTGTGAGGACTCAGCAAGCGATGTGGTTAGCTAGTATGTTGGGGAAAGGAGATTCTTCTTTGTAGTCACGTTATTTTCACTGAAATAAACAGAAGTGTTTGAGTTTGTAGTTTTAACTCCAGATTTTGAGGAAACTGATGGGCTCCATACCTAACAGTTTAATGCTTTTTGTCTTTGCTAGATACATTTGCTTTCCTATTTTTACTATATGTAATGACCTTTTCTATTTAAGATTCAATAGATCCAATATTTTTATGAAAGAAGGTGCACCATTATACTCCAATAAAATAATTTTTCCCTTCTTTTTTCTTCATTTTGATGCAAATCCACTGCTTTTTAGATTCCTCTACACCCCACCCCAAAGGCATTTTTTTTAATTAGTGCAGTAATATCCCTCCTGTTAAGCCTAATGGAAGATAAGATGCTATATATAACCAAATGATGCCTTTAATTTAGGCTGGAAAATGATTTGCAGTCTGACATTGGACTTTGTGTAGCCAGACTGTCTTCCAGAAAAGAGGTCATAAATAGGAAGCTCCAAAATGCTAATTACAGTGAGTAGAATTAATTTCTATTAAGAATTACAGCATACCAATTGAAACTTTTTTTCCTCATTGTGCAAACTCCGAAGAAAAAAGGATGGAGTGTGTTAAGCAGGAAAATTTTCAAAACAAAAGTCCCTACTTAAATTCTTTTGTGAAGAGTTTTGTATTTCCATGATATTCCTGTAGTCAACATATAGGTAGCTTAGGTTGATTTTGAACAGCAAGAGAAATGCACAGGTAATTTTCTCTGTTGTTGTGGACTGTGGAGTGTTGCATTTGATGACTATTCTTTGATGAGAAAAAGCAGATCAAATATTTGAGTTCTTTCACCAGTCTCTTGCTGTCATCTTTTTCCCATTAATGAACCACAGCATTTTCAGACTTCTAACTGTGAGGTGTTTCAAGCAGTCAGCTCTGTGTGAATCCACAGTGAGAGTGAGGTTGATGGAAAAAGGAGGACATTTTGCATGCAGATTCCCATTCATAGAGCGTTCCTAGCAGAAAGCACTGAATGTCAGCTACAGAGCTGTATTTTCCATGCTTAAAAAGTGGTACTTATCTCTAGAAATAAAAATGAAAGTAAAGACAGGACTGAAAGCTTCTATTGTTTGTCCCTACAGTAGATTAAGGAACAAATTCTGTGGGGTTATAGACTTCAAGAAGAATTTGAAGTGCTTCTTTGACAGACACAAAAGGATATCCCTCACTGCCTGAAAGCAAATGCTGCCTATTTCATTGTGCTTCTGATTAATAAACAGATTTAACTGCATCAGCTTCTCCAAGTGGAAGAAATCAGACATTCAAGGAGTCTCTGCTTTGCTGGATAACCATTCCATTACTTCATTATTTAATCTCTTGAGGCTGCTTAACAAGATACTTCCCTTGAAAGGGTTTAATTTTTTATTTTAATTTTTTGTATTTTTATATATTGCCCTTTAGTATGTTTGCCTTTCTGGCAAGTAAATAAAAAGAAGTGGTAAGTGTGAACAATCATGAAATGGTGACAGTAACTAAATCTTACAGAAAAATAGGTGCTACCTGCTATCCTTTTGGTGCATGCTTTAGAATTGACTGCATTAGTTTTGAAAGCAAGAGTTTCCCAAATCAGATTCTAAAAAAAAAAATTAAAAAATAGTGAGCTAGAATCTGTGAAATTCAGGATAAAAAGACCCTAAGATAGATGCAAGCATTTCTATTTCTGAATATAGTCACTTGCTCTGAAAGCTCTTGAAAATGAGGTGGTGAGAAATTGGCAAGTATCCATACTGCCCGCTTTCTTATATCCATGCATATGGATACCAGAGGCTAGCCAGAAATCTAGCATAAAAAAGATTTATAATTCATTCTTAATCCATCTGAACTGAATTACAACCAGGTTTCCAGGGCTGCTTTTATTTTGTTGTTATGATTAAAAGAAATTATGACAATAGAGAAAATACTTGAAGAGCTAACTGAATGTAATTTTCTGCTGATCATCACAAAAATACTTATTTTTCTTAAAATATATTGGACATAGGAAGTCTGATGTTAATGATGTTTTGTCAGGCTTAGCTTGATCCTTCCAAATCAGCTAACTAGACAAAGTAGTAGAAGGTTTTTTCCCCTTCCCCGCTTACACAATAAAAGCAAGTATTGATTCTGAGTTCACATTTAATAAAGGCATTACTAACAACAGTCTGATTTTATGCACTGATATTAAAATGTTCATCTTTATTAACAATTAACTTGCTGCTTGGAATGATTTGGGCATCAGCCATAGTCTTGCAGAACACAGAAAATGATTTGCAGAATCAAAATATGTTGCACACAGGCACTGAGTCCTCCACGCTGAATTTAAGCATGTGACTCCACTCTTTCACTGTAGGTGATATACGCAATGACTTATACCTGACATTAGAAAAGGGAGACTTTGAAAGAGGTGGGAAAAGCGTGCAGAAGAACATTGAAGTGACCATGTATGTGCTTTATGCGGATGGAGAAATCTTGAAGGTAAGTGCTTATTTCCTCTGAGCTTCAGGGACCATCTGCTTGCTCCATAGACATGTTCTCTCCAGTAACTAGCTCTTACTTTTTTTTTTTTTCCGTAAGTTTTTAAACTGTATATTACAATGAAGTAGTGGTCAGTTACAAATTTGAATGAATTTGGAGCACTTCCTCTGTATGGGAATAGGGGACTTGGAGAAAATATTCATAAACTGAAAAGCTTATGTAATTTCAAAATGTGATGTCAGTGGCTGTAGTAAAAAGAAAATTTAGAGTAACTGTAGTCAGAAAGAACTGAAGAGTATGTGACAAATATCTAAAATTAAATAATGCATGTCATATAGCACGATGAAATGTGAGTGCAAGAAAGACTTTCAAACCAGAGTTTGTTGGAGTTATGGTACTGAATGTAGTTTTGGAAAATAAATTTGAGTAGCCTTATTTCCAAGATCCTGGCTTTCACCCTGGGATGGCTCCCTTCCAGCTGTGGGTAGTGATGTTTAATCTTTTTCTTTCTTCTTCTCTTCTTGCTTTTAGTATTATTGAAGAGAAGTAAGTAGATAAGTCAGCTTTGTGTGGGGTGGGAGGGTGTGAGGATAGAGAAGTAAATGGAAAGTATTTTGACATAAACATCTGTCAGAAATTGAGAAATAGCTCCATTAAAATGTATTAATCATAACTTCCCCCTACCTTTTTTTTTACCCCCACTGCAGTAAAATGGTCTTTGTAGCCGCTATCATAGAAGAGTCTAAACACCAAAGTGCTTGTGTGCCAAACTCATTGCCACAGTCTGTTTTTTTCAATTGAAAGGAGAACTTTTCCTTTATTACTACAATTGCTTGTGATTTCATTAACAGTAAAGTATATCTCTTGTAAGGAACTGGTTTGTGCTCGTAGCTGTTGCAGGAAGATCACAATCCTTTTCTGTTCAATTGCATTAGGCATACCTTTCAAATTGAGTCACAAATTTTTAATCATCACTTTATTTCGCAGCAGTCTACCAAAGACCAATATAGGTCTTTACCCTCCCAACTGCAATATCAGCATTTTCCAATGCTAACGTACATAATAGTAGCGAATTATGCTGTAACTGTGGCTAATGATTAAGTATAAAAGCCATATAATTTCTAGACATTATCAGTCTTAACTTCTGTGGTTTTGGTTGGAACAGTCATTCACAGATACGAAGTTATCTTTTTCTTACCCTTGCCTGTTATTACTACTGAAACAGTACTTCAGGGCTTTACATGGGATAGTGGAACAGACATGATACAAACAAACAAAGAATAGTAACAGGTGGTCAATCCAATTAGAAAAAAATTCAGGTGAATATTTGTCATGAAGGAGAGACTTTACATGGGAAGGATCTTTTGTGGTTTTTAAATTTAAGCCACAAATTTAAAAGAAAATCTTTATACCAGTTTTTATGCTATTGCTCCTCTGTATTGTTGCAGTCAAAGCAACAAAGATATTTCGTTTACGTTAAGGAGATCTTTGGTTCATGACATCTAATGGTGCCTAAGATCCACTGTATCTGCTATTAAGTGTATATGGCTGCTCTAAGTCTATAGAAATGCCCTGAAAATTAGAAGGATTCAGCTCCTTAAACTGTAGATTTCCAGTTTGTCTCAACTTTCAGAACACAGATTTTTTTGTAAAATACAGGCAAAGTTTGTGCTCAAAATCTTCCCGTGCTTCAGGTGAAAAGCCCTGAGAATGAAGAGCTCCATCAGTTCTAACCATCCTACCTGTGCAACAGGTTTTGGGAAGTCTAGGTATCCATTTATCTAAAAGGTAACACAGGTCTGTTAGTCTGGGTTAGTTTAGTCTGCCACTATAAATGGATGCTGGTTTACCTTTTACATTGAGAATTTAGTTTTAAACCCTGGATGGCTTATTTTTCACTGCAGCCATCTGGTTTATGTAGTCTTTGTATGGACACCTAGAGCAGTGTGTGATGACCTGCCATTTTCTGTTAGGAGGGAGCTGGTTTCACCCAAAGACAGAGTGTAATGTCATTCCGGGATCAAGCAGCTGTAAAGAGACTGCTAGATCAGGGCTTTCATTTCAATCATTCAGCATAATCTATAAGAAAATACTGAAGACTGCAACAAGAGGAGTCTAATAACTTTTTAATAAAATGTTAAGAATATGGTGTGTGTTGGATAGGGTTTGGTGCAGTACTGATAAAGGGAATTGCTTTGCCTGGGTTCCCTGTCCCCTGGATGATCGCTTGCATGACCCGAGGTTGCTCTCACAGTCAAGTGTAGCTATTTTCTTTCTTCTTTTTCATTTGTCAATTATGACACTAATTTGGTAACTTTCAGTAGGCGATACTGTAGAGAAGCAAATAAAAAACTCCAAGCTCACAATAGTATGGGCAGAACACTGAAAGTTCGATCATTGACCCCAAAGCACTACTGTTCTTGGTTGAAATATCCTTTACTGTTCCTGACCTATGGCCTTTCCAAAGCAAAGACTGCCAAATGAGAGCCAAGTGCTAACTTATGCAGTACACTGGGGGAAATTGCCACAAAATTTTCATCTGATATTAGAATAAAATCTCTAATTTTTTTCTGACCAGCAGCACAATCCAAATCTGAATTTTATGCCTTTATGAAGACTTAGAACAGTACGCAGCGTTAATGAGAATATTCTGTCTGTTTCAAATCCTTATTGCTGTTGAGTATATCTTGGTGCAGAAATAGTCCTACTGAAAGCAGTGAAATTATTCCCAGAATACAGTGCTGTTCAAAATGAAAATGAGTATTTCCTTTTCAAAACAGTCTTGCTCAATTGTTTGTCTCTTTCAATATAGTCTGAAAAATAAACCTTGACACATTCCGCACTTATTCTTCTTTCTGCTCCAGTAGCAGGAATATCTTACTAATTGCAAAGCATACCTTAAATGATGAGATAATTACCTGATACTTTTTCTAGTTTAGCTTCCCTTGCTTGCTTCTGCCCTCTAATTCACCTGCGTATTTGGGTCTCGTGGTAACTAGGTGTAAGGAGACTAGTTTCATGTTTATATTTTGCAGATCACAATTCAGAATTAAAGATTAAACAATCCTCCCTCCTCAGGGTATAGACTGTAGTATAAATTTATGGAAACTAAGTTAAAAACCAGAAGAAAAGACTCTTCACCTATTCATTTATTTAAAGTGGATAGCATGAAAGAGCATTCCAAGACTGACCATTTGCCTGCCAAGGCAGGTGATTTTTTGAGGCAACAGAAAAAAGCTCATGTGAAAATTTGAATTTTTACGCTACCTTACAGAAGAAATACCGGTACTATTTTACTTTCTCCTAAGAACCTAATGGAGAATGAGGTTTTGGAATTGCTGTGTTGAAGCCCAACAAGTTACTCTTATCAAAAAAATATAACTGGGATATTGCAGGCATTCTGTTTTTTGGTACTGCCAGTACTATGCTCATTCCAACGTGTTAATATGCGCAACAGTTAATTCTTGTTGCTGTATTGAAAAAATCACCTTTATGCCAGGATTGTGGCACATACCCTATGGTTACTAAGACTTACTTGAGAGGACTGAGTTTTGAGTATATGCTATAGTCACTCATTTTGGATTACAGCCTTTGCAACGGATCACTGTCCAGGGAGGCTGTTCTTGCATTGAATCCCAAAATTCCAGAGAACTCTTTCTTTTTGGGCTCCTTCACAAATTCTTAACTTTCTCAAAGCCAGAGAAGAACGTTACCACAGGCCAAACTGATCGGGTCTGGTTAGTGGGATATACTTGACTTGATAGTCCCTTGATTACAGATTAAAAAATCAAATTAACATTATTGATACTTTCTTGGGATAGAATTTAGAGATGCCTTGGGGTAATGACCAGTAGTTGTTCTTGTCATGGTACTATTCCATGTGGGGTGTTTTTGTGTCAATTTACATTGCATGTGTTGTTCTGGGTCTGCTTAGCTTCCATTTCTTCCTGGATTCATTATCCTTAGAGCTGCTAAAAGTGAAGAATCTCTAAGATGTCTTTGTTCTGCATAGTTTTGTAAGATGTCATATCTTTTGGATCACTTTGTAAGTGCTAGGTCTAGAACATGGGTTAGTGCTTATATTAAAAAAAGTGCTTTCTGTTCTGTGTCTTCATTACAAAGGACCTCTTACTGTCCTTTTTTCAAGATTTCGGTATTTCTCCTAACTTCCTTCGTTCATGTTCTGACTAAGGATTTCTGTATTTCCTAAATAATATTGGTTCATGTTTTTCTTAATCTGTATTTTGAGAATACATAGATTGGTCAAGATCTTGGATCTTTTTATATCTAAAAGCAGAAATTTAGATCCCGTTATATTTTTAAGTGATGACTATTCAACAGAAATTCTTTGCTTACCATTAATGAAGTAACTCAATTAGAATTTTCTGGGATACTCGGTGAGGCTGGATGGTTGTAGTTTCAAAAGACCAACGTTTTTAAGAGCTTGAAAAGTTCAGATATCACTTCTGAACTGAGGTACTGAAGCAAAAATGTGATTAAATGATATTTTCAGAAAAGTGTAATATTACAAGTGATGGCCCTATTAGGTCCTTTTTTTTTTTTTTTTTTTTGGACTTATGTGTTTATTGTATCTATTCTCTGCTTGATAGAAAACTTAGCTTAAATAATAACGTAACTTAACTTAAGATACCAGAATTCCTCCAGTATCATAGGTCTCCTAGCTCATCCATTGACCCAAAACACAGTTTAAAGATCTCTTAAAAAAATTTCAGGTTTCATTGTGTCTGAGTTTCTGCTTCTGACTCTTCCTTTACGTCTACGGAAAGATATGAATTATATAAAGGTTATCACTGTGTAATAAAATGACTCATCTGTAGTGATGTGATGTCTTTTAATCTTAAATTGTTTTCTTTTGTTGCAGGATTGCATCAGCCTGGGCTCAGGAGAGCCAAGCAGGAGTGCATACCACTCGTTTGTCCTTTACCACAATAACAGCCCTCGATGGGGGGAAATCATCAAGCTGCCCATCCCTATAGACCGGTTCCGTGGGTCTCACCTCCGTTTTGAGTTCAGGCATTGCTCCAGTGAGTGCAAAATATAACCAAGAGGAATCTAAAACAGCTGAGGTCTTTCCATTGTCAATTTATATTTGGATGAGGCTGTTACTGGGTGGAAAGCAGGAAAGGGGTACTGACCTAAAATACAATGAAGGTGCACTGCTAGTTAGCTGGTTGCTACATTTATCAAACAGCACATTAAAAACATTGTGAAAAATCAGTGCAGGGCAAAACATTTGGTAGATGTTCTCCCCTGCTGTACTTTTGCTGTGTTTTCCTGTAGAATGTTTTCTTTACAGCATGTGTATTTTTTATTTTACTATGTTCAGTATGTTTGTGTTTGTTTTGAGGCTTGTTGATCATTTGCATAGAATTAGATACAGTATATTAAATGTTGTTATGTAACCTGCATGCTTTTTGTTAGGCATGCAGAGAAGTTAGTGAATAACCTTGTGGTATATATGGCCAGAAGAATATGTACAAATATGATTCCTTATTTCTATCTCTTGCTACAGCAAAAGACAAGGGAGAAAAGAAGCTCTTTGGTTTTGCATTCACTCCATTGATGAGAGATGATGGCACTACCTTGTCAGATGATATCCATGAGCTTTATGTTTATAAGGTACCAATTCTTCTCTGCAGACTTTTCACCTACTCATCTCTACTTCAGTTTAAATTAGTAATGGTCATTACATTATCTCCCCCCCGAAGTATGTGAGGAACAGATTAATAGTAGTTTCAAAATTTTATAAATTAAAAATCACATGACTAGGTGTGGATACAGCCTTTCATTCTAGGTACAGCCTACCTTTTCCCTTCAGATAATGATGATTTGTCATTGTTAATCCTATCCATTTTGAATTCAATCATGCTAGTGTTTATGAGCACTCAGCAATTTTACCAGCCTATGGCATTACTCTATACCTTTCTATTATGAAATTACACTGTACTTCAAATGCATCATGTTACAACGCTACAGCTTGGCAACCCTGTAGCAAGGGGTTTTTCGCGGGGCGGGGGGGGGGTTCTTCCTGCTGACGTATCTGGGTTTATTTCTTCAGTATGATTTTTAGACAGCAGTACTAAGTTGTAGAGATGGAAGATCGTGATAAGTTCTAAGAGTCAGTGGTTAGGAGACCACACTTTCTAGAGCTGGGTCTGTTTTGTGTATGTACCAGCCCCAAAGGTGGTAAGCACAGCTTTTTCTTAGAAGTGTTTTTGTGCACCTAAAAGATCAATAAAAGTACCGTTAGGCAATTGCTGTCAGGGTGTTAGTATGTGGAACGAGATAAGACTAGGTACAATTCCACTTCTTGTCCTGTACCTGCAGTGTGATGAGAACAGCACATTTAACAATCACGCACTGTACCTGGGGCTGCCTTGCTGCAAAGAGGACTACAATGGCTGCCCCAACATCCCGTCCAGCCTCATTTTCCAGCGCAGCACCAAAGAGACCTTTTCAGTCTCCACACAGCTTTCTTCTACCAAACTGACCCAGAATGGTAAGTAGCTGATCCTTCAAAATTGCCCAATGCAACAGAGATTATGAAAAAGAGAGATAAGATGGGCATGCTTGTGCTCTGTTTATTTTACTAAAATACTCCTTTGTTATAATTTCATTACATGTATGCTTTTTTTTTACTAACACTATTGAAACAAGCAGAAAGTGTTTTTTTGAGGAAATAAGAATATTGACAGATGGCAAAGAAATTACAGACGTTACTGTAAGTGCAAGAGAAGGGCAATATGTTAAAGCAAAGTTAATTTTCATTAAATGATTGAAGAACAAAAAATTCAATCTTAGCAGTTATACACAATCCAAAGTTTGCTTCGTTCAGCTTTTACAGGGTTACTAAGTAAATAAAAATTTTGTTACAGCAGTGTCCCTGAAGTATGGGAAGACAAAAGTGGATTGTCCACAGTGCAGTGTCAAGTCACGTAGGGAAAAATGCAGTCTTTACTCTTTTTAAAGTACTTTACCATTCCTCCATTCATTTCTTTGTTAGTAGTATTGGACTTACTCCATGTTTTCCTTCTTGTTTTCCCTTATTTATTTTTTTTTTCCAAGAAGTGTGAACTGCAGCAAGAGCAGAAGTGTAAGATGTAGTGAATCTCTGGTGGGTCTGGGGTTGCCATTCTTCCCTCTGCGTATGGATTCTAGCTCTTTCTCTCACTGTTCTGCAGTGGATTTGCTTGCCCTACTGAAATGGAAAGCTTACCCAGATCGTGTGATGGACATTCTAGGAAGACTGAGACATGTCAGTGGCGAGGAAATTGTTAAGGTACTACATGAAGTAACAGTCTTTGGATAGATCTGTGATAGCAAGTGAATTCAGGCCTGCAGTGCACTTCTGAGTGTTCCCTCTTATTGGACCTTTCTCAGAGCGTATGAATTGGGATTTTATTTTGACATGAAACTGAACAGGAAGATACACTCCTAAAATTAATGGATAGTTAGTCCTTGTGATCAAAACAGAGCTAATCCTTATTAAAATTCCCTCACCCACATATGCTGCGAGCATCAGGTCCTCAGCACCAATTGTTCCACTCTGCAGGCCCACTCCTGCTGAGCCGTGCTGCTTGCTGATGCAGACCCAGCCACTGGTAGTGGTGTTTTGTGCAGACTTACCTGTTCCAGTGGTATTTTCTAAAGCACGTTCTCTGAAATTGCATAAGTGTAGTTGGTCATTTCTAGAGTGAAGAAAACAGAGCTGACTCACAAAACTTGGCCTTCTTAAACAGCTAGTAGAGTTGATCTGTATTTCTGTTTTGCAAATATGTTCCAAATGTCTGCGTAGAGGAGAAAGAAACGTGAAACCTTGAAAGTTAAGGGTTGCTCAGTGGCCAAAGAACAATCCAGCAGACCCGTTTTCCTGTCCCAGCACTGTCAAGTGGAGCTGTTGCCTAGAGCACCAATTGCTCTCTAGCGTGTCTCATCTATCAGTAATCTATCTCCTATCTGATATTTGCATCATGTTTTGTAACCACTGTTGCTCTACATGCCAGTCTGGTGTGTGACCTGAACTTTCTTAGGTCAAAGGAACTTCAAAATGCATTTGTATACTTGTGGTCTCGGCAAAAGAAAAGTGCATTCCTCTGATAATTTTAGGTGTGCTGAGAACTCTCCCTAGAATTTATTTCTATAAATCTAGAAGTAAAAGGAGGTAATTTGTAATCACAAGCAACCAAAGAGAAATCCTATCACTTAATTAGTAGTTTATGATTAAAGCCATTTCACTGTAACTCATTTGAATGTTGCCATATCTTGAATGTTAATCTTCATGATAACTTTGTAACAGTAACAGAAGAGGACAATACCCCATTTATACTGGAATTCTTCAAGAATGTCACATTTTGTACGCTTTGTTTGTAGGGCAGTAAAAGTATCTTTTTTTATATAGAGAAAAGCATAAAAAGATATGGATTAAATTGTTCCAAGGGGAGAAGTAACTGATTCCCTCCCTAAATCAGCTGCCATTTGGCATTGGGATATGAAGACCAGAATGCAATAACTCAGAAAAAAAGAAATTTTATCCTTTCAGAGACTTCATAAATTGTTTTATTTTATTTCTTGTTTTCCACATTAGAAATTTAATGAGACTAGATTAAAAAATCATGAGAGAATGTGCAGTTGACTTGATCTTGAGCATTCTTCTTCACAGTCATCCTTTCTGAGGACTGTGCTTTCAGGAAAGAAAATCACTGAATTGTCAGCATTCTGTAAGCTGCAGTGTTATGGATGAAAGAAAATTGGCAATATGACCCAATTAATGCTTGTTATAAAAGCTTTACTTACTGTCATATAACAAAAGTTTTCAATATTAAGCATAATTTGGAGCACCAGTTAATGTGCTTCCAAGTCTTAAATTTGATGACAAACACTATCTGATACACTCTAATGATATGGGAATGAAAATAAGTTGGTTTGCTACTGTTGTTAGGCAGCACTCTTAGTCAGCTTACAGTGAAAGGAACACTCAGTTATATTTACAAATCCGGCATGCAGTACATGTTTCTTATTTTTTGGTTTTCTCTCATTTTTGTTTAGAAATATTCCTTGTAAAGAGAAAAATTCTTCTTAGTAAAAACAAATGAAAATCTGTCACATCATATGGATGAATCTGAAGTGGTTTGTCCTTGGCAAGTGTTTCACAAAGATATCAACATGTATGAAATAATTAAAGCAGGGGGGGAAATAACCTTCTTTTGAATACAGTTGAATTTGAAATTCTTTGTTTATTCATGTCATTTTAGTTTCTACAAGATATTCTCGACACATTGTTTGTAGTTTTGGATGACAACACAGAAAAGTATGGTCTGTTGGTCTTTCAGTCTTTGGTAAGCTGCTGAATTGTTACTTTTCTTTATCTCATGGTCAGTGAGTTTTAAGTTTCTTGTGATCATGTTACTAGTATTTTACTTACATGAAATATGAAAAATTCAGCTGGGTCCAGCCTTAATGTTTTCTGTAATAATCTTGGGTGAGGAGGGCAGGATAGCCTCAACAGATCGGAGGACAGCAATATTTGCTATCACATGGGAGAAGCAAACAATAACATCTAATAACACAACTACTGACTGTTTAAAGAAACTCATGTATTTCATTGTTCCCAAGCTTGTGTAACTTGTTGATAGAAACCTAGCAACAACGTGCAATTTCCTTTAGTATGGGTTCACTTTTTCATCTCCCACAGGTATTCATCATAAATCTGCTGCGTGATAGCAAGTACTTTCATTTTCGACCTGTGATGGACACTTACATTCAGAAGCACTTTGCAGGAGCGCTGGCTTACAAGTAGGTTTTGTTTAGCCATCACTTCAAGAGATGGTATTAGCAAGCTTTTGAATGATGTCACCATCAGAATCATAACCTTCATGTTAGCAGTGGTTTTCAAAAGTAGAACTACTCCCATGAAAGTTTTCCAGCACAGTTACAGAGAAAAGCTGCTGAATGTCACGTGTGGCTAAGAGTGAGCAGATTTTGCAATTTATCTTGCCTTTCTGAACTGGCAAATCTCACTTTCTTTTTTTATTAACTGAAGAGACACTGTCACTCAGCAACTCATTATCAGTCTGTACTAATGAGCTACCAAGAGCATATACATTTCTTACGGATGTTGGGATATAAGGCTTGTGTGAAAGCTTAGAGAACTAATTGTTATTTCCTCTTCCAAAGTAGACAGGTATTCACATAAGAAGATGTTCTATTTGATTTACAGTAAATGTATAATTTCAGGAGATCAGAAACTTAATTTTCACTGTCACTTTGAAGATTCTGCCTTATTTTCTAGTACTCCTTTTTGAATTTTGCATCAGAGAGTAAGACAGATTTTTGAAAGCAGTAACAGTTATCATTCAGGGTGTTGTTCTTCCTTTCTTTTAGGCCATTTCTTCTGTATATTTGGCATATTCTATCCTTGGCCACAATAAACTATTAAAAACAGCTTAAAATTGATTTTGATTGTTTTAAGCCATCCACATTTTAGTGTAATTAAAAAAAAATATTAAAAATATTCTGTCAATGGCAGGTAAAAAGCCCTAGATACTATACAACACTAGAAAGCATAGTCATGTTCAGAGGGTAAAAAGTGTCTGCTTTGTGTTAATTATCACCTCTTTCAGACAAAACAAATGATTTTTGGTAGTCTGATGTCTGAAATAAAACATGTTTTTAATACAACTCTCTAAGTTAGTCCAAATGGTATAGTGTACTTAGGAAAATGGATGCATGTATTTTTTTGCAATCTTAGTTTCTAAAAACTTCTTACTTAGAACTTAGGTCTGGAATTTCTTATTAAAAAAAAAAAAGAGTATGTTTTGGTCTTAGAACTATATTGTATGCCTTTATCAAAGTTATCTCTTTAATAACATCTTTTTGATATTCTCTTAGTGTTCCTTATGGTCTAAGTCAATTACAGAGAAGAAATGATTTTCTGGTTTTGAAACTTAAAATAAATGTATATATTATGTAAATTCAGTAGCTAGGACAGCTATAACTGACCACTGAAATGAAGTGAAATGAGACTATTTTATAGATTTCTCCCTAAACCCAAAATGTTTGTTGCCTAATTTTAAAATAGTGCTGAAGGTTTCTCTTCTTTTCACTGTTTGTTATATTCAGAGAACTGATCCGATGTTTGAAGTGGTACATGGACCGTTCAGCTGAGCTTGTACGCCAAGACCACATCCAGGAAGCGATGAGAGTATGTAGTCAATGGAAGTGTTTGTGTGTCTGTTCCATCTGTGACTACAAAAGGGCCAGGGAGGCCATAAATAAAATGAAGGGTAGTCTGGCACTGACTTCTTACTTGTTTAACCAGAATTTTTTTTTTGTTTTAAATATTTTGCCAAAATTTTAATTTTAGGGGAGATTCACTCTTGTGCAGAAAAAAATGGAAGAATTATGTCTCCTTAAGTCCTTTTGAAGCACTATGGAGAGCTTAAGTGGGACTTACATGGAGTATATGCACTGGCCGTTTATCTATGTGGTCTACACCTTGCACTTCAAGCAGCAGTTATTCTAAATGTATTAGGCACAGGTGCTGTGGATCAAAGATCTGCTTTTCATTTCTGGCTGTAACATGCTTCATTGTATTACCAGTTGAAGTTCTGGAGTATTTTAAGCAGCAGATAAATGAGCCTTTAACTGGATGGAAGTTCTAACAACTATCATTGCCCAGGACCTGAATCACAGTTCTGTGATGAGAGTATGATCTCGCAGGAAGGCGCAGATTTCTAATGGTGTGTGAAAAAAAGGGAATCTTTTTGGTGCTATTACAGAGAAATCAGAGAATAAATAAAGTATTAGTTTTACTGTGTGTAGCTGTAAAACAGAAAGATAGTGTGTCAAGTACATAAATACAAGATTCCAAAATTGGCAGGAAGATATTTTTCTTTGAGTGAATGTCTGTCTGTACCTTCTTACTCTGAGTAGGCTTATGTCCAAACGTTTGAGTCTGGGCACTTTCAGAACTAGTAGCAATGGCAGAGATTAGCACTTTCCCTTTCTTACTTTTTCACGTCAGTACAAACAGGTGAAGCATCTCACAGGTGAAGCGCACACATGTACATACACTACTCCTTTAATTTCTGGCAACCATTTGGGAAAGTTAAAGGTTGCTCCTTGCAAATGTATTTATGCTTGTGGCTTGGCATATGTTTCAGAATTTATTATGGCTTTTTTTTTTCTTCTTGTGATATTTTTTGTTCTTTCTTTTGCATCCTTTAGTCTAATTCAGTCAGTATTTTTGAGGAAGTAATTTTTATTTTTTGAGAATCCTTGTTCCATTTGAATGGTATGGCATCACCACCGTCAAGTAGCTTTCAGGATCTCCTGTTAGGATGGTATCCTGATACTTACAAGGGCATTATAACAGTGTTTCCTTTGTCTTTTATAGATATTTACATACTTAAAACTTCTTTGTGATACTTTTCAACCACAGATTCATAGGGAATGGTAAAAATGGGGCAAAGATGTCTTTCAAGAAATTATCAACTTGTCATTCTTTTTTCCATCCTTATCCTTCCTTTTTTTCTGAATTACAAAGGAACCTATTAATATCATGAGATGAGAGGAAGATCTCCAGCTGGAATGACTTCTAGAAGGTTTTCTTCCCTCTCAAACCACTCATTAGTGCTATATGCAGTGCAGCAAACAGAGATGTATAATATTGTCCCTATGTGATCTGCATTTTTTGAACCTCATAGTAGTCCTCTTCAGAAATACTAAAAATATGAATGCTGGAATGTCTTTCAGAAGCTTGGTTTGTGAATAAGGTACATTCTTTCAAGGATTCCAAGGCATCTCTTTGCCTGCTGGGAATCTCAAGTGTTGGCCTAGAAAGCAGCTGTTCCCTCCATGAGTGAGGTCAATTTGAAGACCTGACAGCCCAAGCCTTTCCAAGCACAGGAATTACAGTTACCACCAGAGTTTCTGCAGAAACAGTGCATCCTCTACGACTGACACTGCTGTCACATCTTATTCAGACAGTTGCCTTTGCAGGTGTATCTTGGAGGCCCAAATTAAGGTCTTTATCTTCTTCCATTACAGGAGAGTGATTGATTTCCTTCTTTGTTTCCAGATTTTATTTCAGGCATTTGGAGCAAGTTTGTACCAAAACTATTATCACTGCTAATGCGTCATTACTAGTACTATATTCTACTCTTGGGAATTTCTGTATTCTTGGATGTCTTCACTACATTCCTTGCATTAGTAGTTCTTCAACTGAGAAAACAGGGTAGCTCTCTGTCGCTTTTTCCCTGAATTAACTGTTAAACATAGTACCCTAAAGCAGGTGTTGAAGTATCTCTGCACTCTTTTTTGGCTCTTGACTGCCTGTGTACTTTAATGATGGATATGCAGATGTCTCATAGGATTCTGATTTTCCACCTTGGCATTAGCAAGCGGTGATCTAGACTATTTCTAAAATCACTTACCTCCCTCAAGACTGCTTTCAGTTCTCAAAAAACTTCTATGAAACCAGGAGGAACTATAACTGAAAGGATGTCTCTACCTGTGCTAGAACACATGGCATCATGTTCCTTTATTATGCCCTATAACAAGCTCCACGTAAGTTGCATCCAGATACAGCTGCCTGTGCCTCCCTGGAGAATTCTGTAACGAAGTGTCCATGCATGGCTCCACAGACAGTTTTACTTTCCCTGCTAGTCGTGGCAAAACTTATGAAGTGTCTCTAGGAGATGCCCTTTCAGCTTCAGTTATCTTCCAGTAGTAGAACCACAGGTGGGTTTTGCCTGCATTGAGTAACCCACTGAAAAAGCAAGACCTTTTCTTCCTCAGGAAGTCACATCTTCGTATCAGTGTTCTGGAGCTGAACCACACAGAACATGCATCAGACATTTTTTAGAGACTTTGAGGTCCTGCATACCATTACTATGGGGCAGCACGATTTCTTCAAAACCGTGAACATACTTTCTGAGCCATGCCAGCCAGGGAGCTAATGAATGAGAGATTTGGAATTACATCCTCAGCCTGCCTTTTGAGACTGGGGACTCCTCCAAATTGTTGCCCTCACCCTGAATTTAAAAAAGAAATGTCAGTCTGTTGCTTTTGAGACCAGTCTGTCTCTGGACTTATTGATTACGTCATTCAGAAATAATTACCTTATTTGGTGATTTACATTTTCTACAGTCTCAACTTTCTCTAAGAATACCAGAAAACTGCTGATGTAATTCCAATTGTTCCGCCCTCGTCAGCCTGTTTGTGGGACTTGCTCCTTCTTTTATTGCTGATGCCTTGAACTTTGCCCTAGGTCTTTTCATCTGCTCTCACAAGACTCAAATTGCACCTTCACTTGAACCTTTGCACTTTTTTTCTTAAAACTGCATAGTAGATGCTTCTTGTACTTGAAGCAGGTATGCTGTTCTCTGGAAAAAACACAGTGACAGTAGCAGGAAGAAGTTTGCTAGCTGCTCTTGAGTGGTGAAGTGGATACTCGGAGACTACTGAAAATGGCTTTTTTTTGCTTCGGTTAGGACAGTGAAAGAGATTCAGAGCTTCGGAGCTAATCCTCTTTACGTACACTGTGCTTATGATAAGGTTACCCATTGTACATACTCCTAAGGTAATCATCGGGTTTCTTGAGTTAGGAAATTAATCTGTGCTTTTCCTTAAAGCAGCTCTATACAAGGTTGATTCATCTGTTCATACTCTGAACGTCAGGTATGGTTTGCCTTTTGTTTAAATTGAACAGACTCTTCATCTCTACAGCAGATGAGTCCAGATGTGCAGCCGTACTGTCCCCAACTGTCCACTGGATTTATGAATGTGCTACAGTAAAACCATCAGATGTTGTCTGAGCATAATCCCTGAAGGCTCAAATGACACTAGTGTCTCTGAAAAATATCTTTATCCATTAGACATGCAGAATAACCACAGAAATGTGTCCACTTTTTTACATGTGTTACCACAGAAGCTTCTAACTGATGCTGCTCTTGTCATAGTGGTCTTCTGGTTTTAATTCTCCTGGGACATTGCAACCAACCACCAGGTAATCTGTGCAAGTTGAGATGTGCTATTCCTGTATTCACAGAGTGAACACGCATATGGACAGTCACTCAGAGAAGAAAGGAAGGTTACTCATTAGTAAGTGGAAGTTCTTTGAGATGTGTTACCTATGTGCACATTTCTTGCTCCCTTTTCTCATCTCTCCTGGAGTACCACTGGTAGAATTTAGGGATTGTTTGGTTGTGAGGAAATAAGGTTATGATGCTTTTTGTCCATTTAAGTTTTGCGTGTGATGTACCATGAGTCTTTAGGTTGCTGGTCGCAGGTGAGTGGTGTGTGCTCACCTATTGTGTGAACATGAATAGAGACTACGTTTTTAAGAAAACTCCTTTAATTTGATACTGATTTTCTATATCATGCCAAACATAATAAAAGGCTTGAATTTTATTTCAGTGCACTTCTGTGTCTTTAGGCACATATATGCATCATATCTGTGATTTTGTAAGTAGTAAGAGTCAAAGTTAGTCCAAGTGCTGATTTGTGCTAACAAGACTTGGTTTGTGTTTTTACCATCTCAGCCATGTGTCTGCAAGCACTCTGAACTCTTCAGTTAACTGCCTTTGTGGGTTCATTCTAGGCAACAGTTTAGGTTGTCTGTGCGAAGGATGTGGAGTGTCTCTGAAAGCCTGCCATTTCACTTTCAACAGAGAATTACAGAATTTCATACATAAATCCTCTGATTCATTGCAAAACATAATCTTCACATTAAAGTTACGAGCTTTCAGGTTTGAATTATTCAGGTTGTCTATACCAAACCTATAAAACAGCTTGTAGGAGCACCTGACTTGCTGTATTTGGTGTTAGCAGCAGAGATGCTAACCTTAAAGAGCTGACTGTAGTGAACCAATTGACCTTTGTCTGGGAACTATCCAGAAACAGAAAGTGTTCTTTCCTGATGAAGTTCTCTGGTGTAAGGAAGGTTCACTGGTGTTTTAGTACAGAAGTATAAATAATGTACTGCCAAATTAACAAAGTTGCCAGCATTCCTGGAAAAGAAAAGGCTGTAACTATCAGTGGCATATTGAAATCTGTGATGGCTTTATGAGGAATTCCACATTCCCATTCTCTATCCTTAAAGCTGTAGCATTCTAAAGCTTACAACATAACATTGCATATTCGTGCATATAGTGTGGTGGTTCAATGAGGGGTATCTTATGGATGCAAGAATATCTGATGAGAGCAAAATTTGTATTTGAATTAACTTTCAGTTTGCAAACGGTGAAGCAAGACAAGAATACTTTCCAGCAAATACAGTGGAATATTACTAATGTTTCTGTATAGACTATGATTACTGAAGCTCCAGCCTGTTTGTTTCCTGTGCTGAATTTTGAGGATGTCATCAAACTATGCATCATGTCTTCCCTTAATCCTGCTTTAATGGTGTATCATGTTAGGCATTAAGGGAAGAAGTGAAGTCTAAAAGTCACTGATATTTAGTGCCTTTCAGTGTTGACAGTTGTGTACACCAAATGATCAAAAAGGCCTTGTTGCTATGTGGAATGTTACATTGCTATATTAGTGTCCGTGAGACCATTTGATAGATTGGTAAGCTTGTTAAAGGCTGCGTAGAACAATGTATTTTTCTTCATTGACACTGCTGCCAAAGAAGTGGAGTTCTGAATAATGCCATTTACAAAATTTTAGTTAAAGGCGTTTAGGTTGAAAATTCAGACTTAATCCATGTCATACAGCAAATTATCATTCCACTACAGAAAGATCCAATTTGCCAGTCCTTCAGGACTGCAGCATCTACTACACATTGTATAACGGTGTTAAATGCCATCTTCTGGGCAGGTTATTCTCCCTCTGCTGGGTGCTCTCCAGATTTCATGTGTGATGATACAAGAAAGACACTTTAACTTATCACAGCTCGAAGTAAAAAGATACTCACTACAGTACTGCTGCTTGCTACTGTTAGGGGCTGCCAGGGGGCTTCATATGCTGCTCTTGTCGTCTTCTGTTTCTGCATCTGCATTTATTTCTCTTTGTACATGTAGCTGCCAGAAATAAAGGTGAACCTTGCTGTTGTGTTCATATTGGAAAGTTGTTTCTCCTTTTTACAGGTAACCCTTCTTCTGTCCCACTGACAGTCCACTTATCTTAATCTGGCTTAGCTAACTCAAGCAATTAAAGATAAATTTTGAATGAAAACAGGAGAATAGTTTCTTCAGACACAGTCATTGTGCCAAGTCATGAGAAAACTAGAAGTCTCTTATCTGCACCAAGATTTTCCTCAAATTATGTAACTCGGATTTGTCTATTTGACTTAAATGTGTACTTTTTTGTTAGTGAGACATGCTAGTAACAAAGATTATAAATTGAGAATGGGTACTTACCTATGAGTAACTCTTCCTTAACTGAATTACCTAACTTACAAAACCTGTTTTTCTTTCTCTTTCTAAAGCTGAAGAATTTAGTTGTTATGCACTTAGAATCTTTCCTGGTTCTCTTTAAAGCTCCTTCATTTTTCTTTCTCTCTTTTTCTCTATCTTAATCTCCTTCCTCTCCTCCTCCTTAAGGCCTTGGAATATCTTTTCAAGTTCATTGTCCAATCTCGGATCCTTTACTCCAGAGCTACTTGTGGAATGGAGGAGGAACAGTTCCGCTCCAGCATCCAGGAGCTTTTCCAGTCCATCAGATTTGTGCTCAGCTTGGACAGCAGGAGCTCTGAGACTCTCATCTTCACACAGGTTTGCTATTTTCTACACTTTAACTGGCAAACCAAAAGGCAGCTGTTTTCTGCACAGGTAGTATATATGGGCACATGACTATTAACAGCAGGTTAGTAGAGTTTTCCCCCTCTAACAAGCTGATGATACTGGAAAACAACATAGCCAATTAATGTTATTAGACAGTAGCTTTGCAGCACTTCACAGATACAGGGGAGCTGAGCTGTGGACTCTCAAGGGGAAAGTGACTTGTCACATAAGAATACAATTTTTGCTCTTTGCAAAAGTAAACTGCATTTTCAGGTCTCTCATATGTCTTTTGGTTGGCCTTAAGAAATTTTAAATCTTTAATTGTGGTAGGTCAAGTCAATACTTAGGGTCATAACCTCTCTACTGTGATGTTGCTCAGTTGATGTACTTGCAGTCAGATAAACTTAATTCCAGCATGCTCTAAAATTATGGTCAGAATCATATGCAGCCTGACCACAAGCATACTGTGATACCCACACTCACATTTAATACATTATTTTGAATATGGCCCAGATGGCTGCACGAAGAATTCATGTGGGCTTAAGATACTACTCAAAGTGAGTAAGCATGCTGCTAAGTTTTGTTTCATATTTTAAAGACCGCTGTAATAAATTATAGACTTCAGTATTTAAAAGTTTTAAATAGTAATGTCAAATGTATTGTGTGTGCCTCAGCTCGCAGCATGTCAAAATGGATCACCTAGAACTTCCTGGTAATATGAAGGTGATTTGTAATCACTAATTTACTATTTACAGATGTTTTGAACATCTACTGTAGTTTGCCAAAGAAGCAGTTGCTGTGAACGTTGCAACAAAATGGAGTGACTCCACTGGTTAGGGAAGCTGCCAGCAGTGTGAGCTCTTAAGAAGCTGCTCTGAAAGATTTTGAGAACAGCTGCTCTAATCTTTTTTTAATCACCCATTAGAGGGTATAGTAAGATGAGCCAGAACATGAGAAATCAGTGCACAAAATTTTGCAGGCAAAGTGACAGTGAGTGGAAACAGCATTTTATGAATGCAGGCTGTCTAGGGTTCTTCGTTTGTTTTGCAGTTGTGTTGATCACAAATACAGAGGGAGATGAGATTTGAGAATGGGGTTATTTTCCCTTTTTCTCTTTGTGTCTCTTTTTTTTTTTTTTTTTTCCTCCTTTCTCTCACTATGGTATTTCTTACTTCGGACGTTTGTAATTTGTAAAGCCTGTCCTTGTTTAATATTTGAAAAGTTTACTTTTTGTTTCCCCCTTGCCACTATGTTGCCCCTTGATCCCAATTGCCCCATAGGCCTCTCAGCCTGGAGGGCAGGCAAGCGGAGCTGGGACATGTGCCCCACAAAAATGTGGTGGTACTTCAAGGCCGTCATTTAATTCTGTAAGTAATGATCCCCAGAACTACACGAGTATTTCATCATGGATGTTCTCAATTAATTCCTTTTCCCTACCCCAAACCCTCTTTTCCTATGTATAAACTGGAATTTAATGTTTAAGTGGCTGGTACTTTAAAACTAGGAAATGTGCAATATTTCAGTAATTAATGGAACAGCTTATGGCATCCACACACTGAAAAGACAGTACTGAGGGTGTATGCAAGATTATATATGTCAAATTGTTAAGGAGAGCCAAGGAGATTAGGTACTAGTTCTGGAAATCTGGACAACTGTTAAATATCTACAGAAATCCTTGAAGCTGTAGCAAACATAATTTTCTTCACACTTGTCCTCTTATCCAGGATATTAGAGAGATCTCAATATAGTTCTTTCCAGCAATGAGATTAAAACTGATTATGTCCTTCCCTCCAGGCAATTAGTTTGACATGAGTAATGTTCCAGCATATTTTGGGGTGTTGTACAAAAAAGGGCCCTCCAAGGAACTGATGAAATAACGTAGCTGTTCCTAAAGATGGCTCCAGAGCTTCCTGAAGAGTTCCCATGAGGATCCTTAGATTGCTACTGGATATCCTAAATCACCACAGAAATCCTTCTGCTTTATAGTAATAGAAATAAGTTTAGGAAAACTGTAAGGATTTGTTGGGCAAATACTGTAATTTCACTTGTATTATGCCAAAGATAAAGATGGTGACTGGATTTGTGGCTGTTACAGCTTTTCAAGAGTACCATGAGCTATTTAAATGATTCATATTTGTTTACTTTGTTAGTACATTGTATGTATGTAGCAACAAATAGGTGACAACACCCAGGAGGCATGTGGGGTTTTGTGTAATCTGAATTGATTGTAACAAGACGAGATGTTGAGAGAGATAACAAGCACGAAGAAGAAAGAGGTAAATTTATATTCAGAATAATTTAATGGGCTCTACAGTGTTAGTTGTAAAAATAACTTAGGCTTTGCTCAAAGACTATTGAATAGATAGCACTGTTGTTTGAAGGAAAAGATACTTTGAGGAAGGACTTGGCAAAGAAGGAAGCTGTGTATTATATGGGATTTGGAGAGGCATGCCGAGTGTTAGAGTCAGCATGGGAGAGGTATGGAAATGTTTATGCAATGAGAAAACAAAAAGATCTGTGAGGAAAGGAGAACTTGCAGATTAGAAGAAAATACCAATAGGTGGTGAGACTCTGGCAGGGTGAAGCTGAACAGAAATCTGCAACGAAGTTTGGTAGTTCTGAACTTCTGCAGGAAATCAGTGCGGTTTGTGTGGAGAGCTTCAGACAAGGGAGGTGGGAACAGCAAGAAGGGCACTGTGTGCCTGGGGGGGGGCAAGGCAGCTGAATCAAAACCAGACTGTGCAGCACTTCAAGAAAGCAACCATCTAGGGATTTAAGTAGTTAGAGTGAGGAAACAGGTGTGGACCTTGGGTAGGATGTAGAGGAAGACAGAGAAGAATTTTAAAACTGTAGAGGTGTGTGGCAGTTGTTAGGTATGACACCAAGACTGTGGAACTTGAGGACAGGGCGATGCATGGAATTTTCTACTGGTATGAAGAAATTAATTGAAAGACTGTGAAATAAGAGATGAAGAGTTTGATGGTTTTGTTGTTGTTGTGCTGATGTTGTTTCTGCACTTTAAGAATCACCTTCAAGGATAGCTGCAGCTTACTGGAAATATCCATTACTGCAAGAATCACATGCACACTTACTTGCATGATGTGATGCCTCTTTCACATGAAATTGCACCCCACCCCTGTTGCACAAATACCATAATGTCACATGACAGTGCTGCTAAGGTTAAGGGTCTGTCAACACATTCTTCAGAATATTTTCTGAAGAGTTTTAACTGTCTTAGGTAGTTGCTAAGTACAAAAAATTGGTACGGCACTCTCTAATCAGAAGCAAGTTTTATATTTATTGAAAAAAGTAAATCAACAAAAATGGGCTATTTTCTGTTCTTCAGGTACCTCAATTTTTTTCAGTTTTATAAGCTGTGTCCTAAAATACAGCCTTTTGAAGCTCTACAGCACGTATGTGCTCAACTTATCGTAAGACTTAGTATTGCAGCAGTGCTTGATTTTTATATACTATGTGTGATTTGTGATTTGTTCACTATGAACTTTAGATATTGCAGAACATTAACACGAGCCATAGTGCACCATTTAGTAGCTATATGCAGACCCTTAATTCAGTTTTATTGTTGTTTCTATTTCACTGCATTTAGCTGCAGTTACAGAATTCAAAATACTCAGCTTCTTCATTTACTTTTTTCAGGCTGCTTTGCTGAACTCCTTCCCCGCTATCTTTGATGAGCTGTTGCAGATGTTCACTGTGCAGGAAGTAGCAGAGTTCGTGAGGGGTACTCTGGGCAGCATGCCCAGTACAGTACACATTGGGCAGTCAATGGATGTTGTTAAGCTACAGTCTATTGCGCGCACTGTTGACAGCCGCCTGTTCTCTTTCTCAGGTAAGACAGAGGTATCTGAGGCTGAGTCTTGCTGCTGGGAGTAGGAACACGTTACATTTACTTTGCAGTTGCTTTGTTGCAAACAATTCATTGCTGAATGCCAATAATCTCGGTAATTATTTATCTTGGTGGCATCGTTGTTACATATATTCACTGCGGGTGCTTTTAAGTTTCCCTGTGGTAGAAAATGTTTATAAATCCATCATGGATAAATTGTAGTTATTAAAGGTTGATAAAAATATGTACGTTAACAAATCAAGTCAATTATTAAAACCGCCAAATCTCACTTGATACTTTGTATTACTCTTCTATTGTTGTCATGGACAGGAAGATAACCTCCTTTCCAGCAAGCTTATTGTCTGAGAAAGAGCAACAGGGAGATAAAGTTATGTGAGAAATCCACCACATTCTTTTAAAGTATGTTTAATCTTTACTTATAACTTCAATATTTCTTTAGCTCAACATACAAGTAATTCTTTAAATATTCTTTAAAGTAAGTCTTTAAGTATTCTTTAAGTAATTCTTCAATTGAATGAAGAAGGGTTGAAGATTGTGAGTTTATTTCATACATAAAGGTCTGAATGAAAGAAGTTATGAAGGTAATAGTAGAGATAAAAAGCACCATTGGACTTACCTTCCCTGTAGTGAGGATCTCAAGTTAGTGCACTCAAACTATTCTACTCAGTGCAAGGCGAGAATGATAACACAGAATTATGTTTAAACCATCTATTGTAATTGTTTATACACTTTTTTTTCTTAAATTTGAAATTCATCTCAAAAAATATGAGAGAGTGTAGAGAATGAGCAGATTAGTCCAAAGGTGGCTGTGAAACAGGCAGTTCATGGGCAAAAACCTCCCCTTCTGTCTTCTCAGTAAAGCCAGGTGTAACTTTGCCCACAGGGTCCAGGGCTTTAGTCCTTCTCACTAACCTTCATTTCTCCTTTACAATGACACTGGCAACTAATGATGCTTCTACCTACTGCATAGCACCATGACATCTCACTACAGCATCAAAAACCAGAAAGAAAGCTTCAGCATTGCAAGGCAGCTATGACTGCATAGATGCCACATTTTCCACCCAACATAACGGTAGACCGACCCCTATCCTATTCCTTCCCGTGCAAGCACGACCCGATACTCCCAGGTCAGCACTCTCTCCCATGTCCTATCTGCCCCTGGGAAGATGAATCTAGTTTCCAAAGTTATCTTTTGCCTGCCCACTCTGCCTACTCTTTAGGTCTTGCAATTAAAAGAAGATAAATTCTCTTTTTCTTGCCTCCCAGATGATGATGACTTGTTTTCCTTCTGTCTCTCCTATCAGTCCATTTGCTGACATCTTGCCACTTTTTTCCTCTGTCTTTTATTAGTTTTTTTCCTGTTTGGCCTACTGTTTTCTGCAGTTGCTACCTGCTTTCCCTTCTTTAATAAGATTAATGTTTGTAAGCCACCTAAAGGAGAAGAATTAGCCAGTTTCCAAGAGGCATACATTGGAGAAGCTCTATTAGCTGTGACAATAGAGCTGGAAAGCAACATGAAGTGAGGAACGGTTTGCACGGAAGAAAATCAACATTAGGACGTATCAGTTCACAACTGTTGTTTCCAAGCTGAATCTATTGAGAACATCACGTATACTGCATTTCTGAACTTTTGAAGCTAGATGCACTATTCATTCATTAGATACAGTTCTTAGAAGCGTAGTGTACTACAATCCGTACAGTAGAAATTGCACCAATTAATCAAACTGTATATCAGTAGGCTAGTTTGGATACCAAAAAGCTGCTAGCTGGGATGGTTGAAATTTAATTTCCTTTTGGAAGAACTGTGATCTGATTTTCCTTCTCTCAGAGTCCCGGCGCATCCTGCTACCTGTAGTTCTTCACCACATTCACCTTCACCTACGACAGCAGAAGGAGCTGCTTATCTGCTCTGGGATCCTCAGTAGTATCTTCTCCATAATCAAGACCAGCTCTTTGGTAATCTGCTGCTTGATTTTTTTTTTAACTTTTTCTTTTATTGCACCACTGATGTAGTAAAATGAAGACTGAGGGATTTTTATAAGTTAATATGGGTTTTTCAAAGATCCTTTTAAAAATGAAATTCTGCTAACTTTCTGTCAGCAGGAGAACATCTGAAATGAGGGTCTGCTTTTGTGTGTGTGACTCAGAGCATTCTGATTACACAGTGTTCTTGCTGTTAGGAGGGGAAAAAGCATATGCATTTACAGGTTTGACAGTGTTTAATTTTCTTCATCCAAGCCCAGAACTTAGATGTCAGTGGAGTTTAAAAGCTCTACGCAGCTCTAGGACTTGTAGTTCTGCAAGAGACAGTAACTAGCATTTTGTGATTTGTGTTAAGAGAATACTCTAAAATTATCCAATCAATGAAATCACACTTCTGGAAATTGCTGCTGAGTTCAAACACCCAGCTTTGATCATCATAATACTCTGATCTCAAATGGTAACTTGATCATTTAAAGCAATGCTCACAAACAGAGAGTGGTGAAGTTTCCCCACCTGACTCTAAAGGAGGAAGCTCATGGTGCTAAATATAATTCATACCAGTGTGCATTTCCAATTACAAGTTATGGTTTTGTGTGAAAGGAATGAGATGAAAGGTATCATGGTAATAAGGTAAAATAATACTGCCATGGAATAAAAGTTCCTGAACATAACTTAATCCCATTGTGTTCTAGAGTATATACAGACCTTTGATTATAGATTTACCTTTATGGCTGTGACCCTGAATGTTTCCAACAGAGACTGACGAGGTAACACACACACACATGCTGGCATCACAACAGTATCTGGTACCAATGAGGAATTTGATTGTACTTCTTTGAACCTGTTACGGAGCTCTCTATCAAAATGAGTTTGTGGTATGGCTGACTCTGCAGAACTGTCTTTGCCAATTCTGTTATCTCCAATTCTAACTGTCTGTTTGCTCACCACTTACTGTAGGAGGGAGATGTCGTGGAGGAGGTTGAGATGATGGTGGAGAGCCTCCTGGATGTGCTTTTACAAACTCTGCTTACAATCATGAGTAAATCGCAGTCTCAGGAGGCGGTAAGAGGGCAGCGTTGCCCGCAGTGCACAGCAGAAATCACTGTTAGTAACTAACAATCAGTTTCTATTTCCTGCTTCTCTAACCTTTGGTTCAGTCCCTCACCACCACCGGCACCTCATTATCATCTCTGCTGCATGAATGCCCAGGGCTTTGTCTCTTTCCCTTAATAAGCCACAAATCCATTCCTTCCTGTGTGCAGTAGTGAGGTCTGCAGGAAGCAGTGGAGCTCACGAAGCTTTTGTGGATTTCTAGGTTATTTTCTTGTTTGTCTTTGCAGCTGTGAAAGAGAGTTATTGTTTAGAACTTGAGGCATATGCTAGCTGGGTAGCTGCCTAGGGCTTCACCCCTAAAAAGGTATCATCAAGGGCTGTATGAGTATCAGGCTGTGATTCCTAAGACTGAGAATACCATAATGCTCAGTGGACAAGTCCCTTAATACCCTGGAGAGCTCCTGTCCAGGTTCAGTGATTATTTCATGGAAATGAAAGACAACATACTTTTGAAAAAGAAATTAACAGATCCGAAGGCAAGTGAGCTGTTGAGCTTGGTGGAAGAAGAGGGAAAAGCCACCACTTTGTCCAGACTGACAGCGTAGACCCAGGGGAAGAAATTTTTTCTTTGACATGGAATGGAACAGGAGAAAAAGAATAAAATTTTGCTGTTCAGCTGCTTCTTTTCTGGATTTGTTGCCCTTTTCTGTTCTAGCCTATTTTAGTCTATTTCTGCTTGCCAGAGTCTCTAATGCAGCTTTTGCACAATGTATGATGGTAAGCTGTTGTTCAGAACATCTCTTTTTTTAGACTTCCTTTTTTATCAAATAGTTGAAACCTCAGAGGTATTGTTGAGGGCAGATGTACACTAAAGTACACTTCTCACAGAAGAGAAAGGTTGTATTTTCCCATGTTAGCTCAGACAGAGTAACAAATGGTAGAATCCTAATTAAAGAACAAGAAAATTTAGTAGTTTTCAGACATGTTCTTTGATACAAAACAAGAAAGGCGCTAGCTTGCAAATGTCCAGTAACACCTTAATTTCCTTTTATTCCTACCATTTGACTTACCATTATTTATCACACACCACCTCACACATAAGAGCACACCTTTTTTCCTAATGAAGTTCAGCCCTGTAAAGTTTATTGGAAGAACGTATGCCAAAGTTTCTGGGTACATGCTTGAGCCAATTAGAAAAAGAATTAAAATGGAATGGACAGTCCCAAGTATAAAATCCCCTTGCGTTTTGAATTTCTATTTCACAGCACAGTCATATATGTGAACCTTATTATATACTGCTTAGAAAGTATTTTGTATGTTTCCCAAATTAATTGCTCATTGTCACAGAAAAAAATAGTGTTGCGCGAGGGACTGGCAGTCAAAAGACTTAGTCCTTAACATTCTTGGCACTGCCTTGCTTGTTATCTTGGACAGATTGCTTAACTTCTCTGTGCTTTGCTTTCAGATATGTAAAATGGGGGAGCTCATCTTTGGAAAACACTTTGGGATACTGTGGTAACTGGTTAGGGTGCATCTGCTTTGCAGGCCAGAAATGTAATTGTAGCTCATGTAGGCTTACCCAAACTATATTCAGAATATCTTACTGGAATACTGTTAGTACTGTAGCTATGACAGCACATAACTTGGTGAACACTAATAAGCCAAATATTTACAGGATTCCAGACACCTTTTGTAGCCCATACTGATCCAATGCTGTCATCGCTATACTATTTTGAGTATATGAGCCAATTAGTTTAAATAATTCCAGGTATGTCTGCATGAGCTGCAGTCACACCTTTGACAGACATAGTACATTAAGTAACTGAAAAAGGTGATTGTCAAAAACTGCATGCTTGGAGGGCAGTTCATTAATGTCTGTATTAATAATTTCAAATTATTTTTGTTTACACTACAACATTGGTTAAAAGACCCTTAAAACTGGCATCCGTGGAGGAGCCTCTAAGAGGTGTATTCCTATGTATTAACAGTAATTCAAGAACTGTTAATGTGCAGTATTTTTAATCTCCGTGCATGTCAGCTTTCCTCTCATAGGCATTGGGGCCATTTCAGACCCCTCCCTTTATACCCTACCCCAGGTTGAGTTTTATATTTATGAAATTTCAGATTGTCTGAATTAAATAGTTTCTCATTTGGTCAACAGGGAGAATATGTCTCCTGCCTTTTATCTTTGCTTCGTCAGATGTCAGACACTCATTTCCAGCACTTACTGGACAACTTCCAAAGCAAGGATGAACTAAAGGTACAACAGAACATCATGTTTGTAGGGAGATTCACTCAGAATAGGAGAGCAGGGGAAATCCCTCCAGCATTACTTGCTCTGCTAATCATTCCCATTCACTGGCACTCTATTCACAGACCTTCCTTTCACTTTAACAATAATAGGTGTTGTGTTACAAAAACATTTAAGACCACAGGGCACTGAATTATCTTCGTAACAGCAAATAAATTCCCAAGGTAGATGTTATTAGACATGAAAAGATATCACTATTGCACCATATAGATAGAACATAGAGGAACAGGGTTTTTTTAATCCTGCAAAAGTAAAGTCAGTTGTTCTACAGCATTTTACTAGAAGTTCAATATGCACTAGAGCTTACTTACAACGGGTGTTGATTTTATGCCAAAAGAGAATTTCAAGCCTTTTCAGGGATACAAATGTCTCTAGCAGACGAAATCTTTTTTGGGAAAGCAGTAACCTTACTACTCCACTTGCTGCATGCTTCCCAAGTTTGTGCACATTAACTTAAATTATGGCTCTCCTTGAACACAAGGGGTTCGTGAGGGCTACAGACCCCTGGTGGCTTTTTTGCCACTGACATTTTGAAATGGCACATCTCAAAACAGCAGAAACTAACTTTTAATCTCAACTTCCACAGGAAAAAGGAGTATCTCTGACAACAGTCTGTTTAAAAGGCAGAATAATTTCATAAGTAGAGACAAGATTTTATATAAAATGCTTTTGATTAGCATGGCACTCAATAAATATGGACAATAAGAAGAATGTAATGTGGCAGGAACTCATGTTGCCTTAACAAATGACATGGAGAAACAGTGAGACGTCCTCTCTGGATAGGCTTTCAGCTTCTAAATATTTCATGTGCATTTAGAGAGGCATATCAGGGAGATAAATTTGGGATGATACAATTCTTACCTTTAGGCTTTAGGGTTCTGTGTGTCTCAGGTTGATAGTTATCTGAGATTACTACCTTTCAGGTAACTTCCAAATTGCTCATAGGAAAATGATTTGGTAAATTAATTCCTATTAACTTTTAATAGATATTTTAAAAAGCTATCTAAACTATAGTTCTTAGCTCAGAGCAGTGAAAAGGTTTGTCGTTGAACAGAAATTTGTCTTTACACCCATAAGAACAAACACTGTTGTATCTCTGATAATCTAAGGATATGTTCCAGGAGTGTCACAGAGGCTGAAGATTTTATACCCAACTTTTTTCCAACTATCAGTTGATCTAATAAAATACATTACTTTTTTTTTTTTCCTTCAAATATTGCTGTAATAATATTTCCAATACTTCTTCTTGGATGGAAAGGCATTATGCTCACTCACCACTGTTACATCTAGGCCAAAATGAGGCCAAAAGTCAAGGAGCTTCTGATGCTTTACTCTTAGCTCCGAGAGTATTTACAAGTAGTTACACCAAGATATGAATCTCCTTCCGTCCTCCCCCCAGTTAAGGCATAATGGTAGGACAGTTCTGAAGAAACCTTGCACTGCCATTTTCTGTGCTATCTTGATTTTGTGTAGAAGAAAAACAAAACAACAAAATCATGGTTTGCAAGGCCAACAATTTGGCATGTTTTATCCTCACTGTTCTTCTTTATAGACATAGAGGTGCAGGTAGTCAAAAACCAGAAATGTCTTCAGGTTTGGGGATGTTTTTGGAAGGCAAATATTCAGCAGAGTGTGTTTAAGAAATCTTTTCTGCTGCATGCTGCCAGAAATGGGATTTTCTATTACTATTTTAAAAAGCGTATGTAGGAGTTTTATTGGGCTTGGGTGTGTGGGTTTTTTGTCAAATTTGTGACATAAGTGCAAAGAAATTTGGACAGATACATTAATTAAAGGAGTGCATAAATAAATGATTATGATTCCAGTATATTTGAAATAGCTGCAAATCGACACTGGAACTCTGGATGATAATATGAGAAGTCATATACAGTTATGCACATAGGGAAGTTTTTCATCTCACTGTAGAAGTTAAGATTTAAAAGACAGCTGCAACTTGCTTAGTACATATTAGATGCATACAAAATGAATAGAGCCTTATCCCAATATACGTTGTTTCCGTGTTTTCGGGTGAATGGCCTAGTAACACAAAGCTCAAGTGGAGCACACTTAGCTTGATTGTCTTTCTTATAATCAAGAAAACCAATTAATCTGCAGCTGCTGGTGATTTTGTAAAATTTTTTTCCCTATGTGATAGGAGTTCCTCCTGAAGATTTTCTGTGTATTTCGGAACCTGATGAAAATGAGTGTCTTTCCTCGAGACTGGATGGTGATGAGGTTGCTCACCAGCAAGTAAGTAGAGAAACAGGTATAAACTGTTGACATTCCTTATCAGAATTTTTTCTCCTCAGCTGGGCAGTTAAAACCTGTCATGCAGTGTGTTTCATCAGACTGATCGAGACAGGAATTCTGGAGTGCTCATCCTCATTCTGCAGTTATTTTAACACTCCGGACCAAACTGGGACTTCTGTATTTGTTCTGTTTCTTAAATTCTACCAGTATGCACAGGTATCAAAGAGTTAGAAGTTTAAACCCAAAGCTGAAGTAGCTACATTGAGGGTAAAAGTGGCACAGCAGCTATCATAACACATGGCAAGAACAGCTAGCCACACCAAGTGGTATTAATCAGCAGGCCTCTCAACTCCCTTTCTCAGTAAATTACTACATTAAACATCTGTCTCTTCCCATAAACATCACTCCTTAACCTACCTAGAAGGAGGACTCAGTTATTTTAGAAAAGGAGGAGCAGACCCTAGCGATGACACCAAGTGCATTACATACAGTTATTTCTCAATTAAGTTGTCATCTACCATTTTAATGCTTAATTTTATCTTAATTTTCTTGCTTCTGATGGGTTAAGTACTATGCTGTTCAGAATGGCAATAGTGTGATGAACACAGGGTGGCTGGAATTATTTACTAGTCTCTTTAGATAAACTAGCTGTAGAATTACTACTGAGTAACTGACACTGGAGGGGTTCCCATTACAAGAAGTTTTCCTAAAGGCTGAAGGCTCAGCTGAGCTGTACGCTCTGTGAGTTCACCGTGCTAATGAAAAGTGAAAGAAGTGGATTTCAGTATTTCGAGCGCAAAGATTAAATGAAGTTCTATAAGAAAAGAAAAATCTACATGAAAGAGTAGTTACCTCAGATGCTGTAGGCTACCTAGTTCCCTTTGGCATAATTTGGCCATAAACCTTTAGACTGATAGGGATATTTAGCAGTGTTACTGGAAGTATTGCTTGCACGTGAATCAGAAATGTGCTGGTTTTTTGATTCTATTGTTGCCTTAACGACATGCTATTTATTAATTCCTGAATTTATCATATGGCTTGACTGCCTTTTGCTAAGGTGTATTTAGCCATCTACAAAAAGATACCAGGGAATTCAGAATTGGCAAAATACTCACAAATTGAGTTGAAGTGTGAGCCAGATAAAGGACCATTGTATAGCCAAGAATGAAAATAGCTCAAACTTTTTGAGTTGCTCTTCTGTGGAAAAAAAAATAATCTTTCTGCTTAAAATAGGAGGAAGATGGGTGTATTCTTTCATTTCACTGGAGGTAATATGGCCTAGCTATGCAAAATAGACAGGATTTTAAATGCTCCTGTGTAAATTCCAAAAGTTACAGTAATGATGAATATTCTTAATCTTATATCACTTAGTACAAATTGTTTACTAAAACATAGATTAGGTGACTTCTATGCAAATCTAGCAGTGATTACATGAAAAATACCCGTCTCTGTCCATATAGTAAAATCAGCACCACAAAACACTGTAATATGTTATACTCCAGATTCAAATGTTCTTTTTTTCTTTTCTTTTTTTGTTTTTGACTGCAGTATCATAGTTACAACAGTTCAGTACCTGTCTTCTGCACTGCATAAGAATTTCACGGAAACGGACTTTGATTTTAAAGTAAGAACTGATGCTCAGAAAATGTTATGACATCTTTTTAAACTAGCAGTAACAAAGGAACAAAAGCTGTTCTCTACATTAGCTGATTATATTTGCGGCATTTATTTGAGTATCTGCGAGGCAGATGACCTAACTGATAAAAGACAGGAATTTGAATCTGCTGTGGAATTGAGGGGAAGTAGGACAGACACACTGTGAGATCAAACCAAGAAAATTGAGGCCCTCATAAAGGAAATGAGTATCTTCATAAGCAATGGAGCTAATGAAGCATGCTGTCTTACAGATTCGTGGTTAATAAAATGTGAGCTCAGGCAATGCTTTTCCTGAAGTGGGGGCATTCATGATCTTCCTCTCCCAGAGGTCTCTCTTTCTGGCTGTTGACTTAAAACTTGGAGGAACACAGTATCTTAGAGAGCGTTTTCCCTCTGTCTGATGTAGTTGAAAATGGGCAACAAGTTCATGCTACTAAGGGAAGGCTGCCAGAGGTGTACCTAAGCACACATACACACAGCAGTGATGGCAAAAGCCTCATTTCTAGGGCTCTCATTCGTGATACAATGTAATCTCTGGGGATTTTTGAGGGATATATCTGTTCAGCCTACAGAAAAAACAACTTAAAACTTCACTGAAGTCACCAGGTTTATTCATTTTTGAACTCTGGTGCTAAGAGGAAAGCCCAGTGGAATTAACTTCTTGGGGTTTTTTATTTTAGTTCCTACCAGGTCTTAAATAATCCATTGGTATCCTTAAGAGTTTAGTATCTCAATAGTTAAGATACACATTGATTAAGTTACGTCTTGATTACAAAAAGGAACAGTCTGAGTCTACATATATAAAGGACCATATGTCCTCCTGCACTTGCTTAAAACTTACTCCCTGGACTGTAATGTTATAAAACTTCCTTCCTGTGTCACAGGTGTGGAACTCTTACTTCAGCCTGGCAGTTTTGTTTATAAACCAGCCAAGTCTCCAACTAGAAAATGCCACACCAGCAAAGAGGAAGAAGATTCTGGATAAGTAAGAACATGTTTTGTTGGGTTCCCAGCCTTTTCTGTCACCTCAGAAATGAGACTTCTTTTTTACCACAAGTCCCTGTGATTTATTATGGAACTTGGGATGTGTAAATGCTTGGGAAATAAATAAGTAGATCTCCTAATACAGTATTCAGTGATTAGTTGAGTTGTTTGATATTCTTATGTTGACTTAAATGTAAATTTGATATTTATTTTTTTTAACATCACTGCCTTGCCAGCTTTTGTTCCATTAGGCAGTTGTCTATCTCATCTCTTTCAGATATGGCGATATGAGAGTGATGATGGCATACGAGCTCTTCAGCATGTGGCAGAACCTGGGTATGTCTCTTCCTTCTCTGTCCGAACAACCAAAGACAAAGTAAACCTGGATTTCTGTTGGAATTTTTTTTTCCAACTTTTTGTATCATCATAGAATACTTAGTGTCTCTTAAGAGTTGTAAAACCAGGAAGCACTTCTCTTCTCCCACCAAAAACTCTCTTCTGCATTGTCTCATCATATTTTTTTATTTGAAATAATACACTCGTATGAATTTGAATACTTTCTTCTCAAATGTGACAGCGGAAGATTTTGGTTATTTTGACACATCAGTGACAGTTTTTAATGTATTTGCAAATATAAAATCAGCTTTCTCTAATTCCTTCAACTCTGCTGCAGTCAGGTTCATATGGAGATATACTGTTACTCTCTGACTTCTGTCTGATCCATGGCTGTAAAGCAGAAACTTTCACAGCTATAACCAACTTTATAATTTTCTAGATGATTTAAAAACCAAAGTTGTCATGACTCAAAATTTTAGAATCATAGAATCATTTAGGTTGGAAAAGACACTTAAGGTCATCAAGTCCAACAGTAAACCTAACACTGCCAAGTCCACCACTAAACCATAGCTATGTGCATTTGATAATAAAGCCCAGAAGTGGCATACAAGTAAAGCTTCTTTTTTGGTGTCTTCAGGTATCTAGTATGCATAACAAATTTTACGTTACTACTTTAAAAAAAACCCCCCCCCCCCAAAAAAAACAAAATGGAAAACCCAAACTAAAACCCATAAAAGTCCTGTCCACAATAATGCAACATATGTGATAAAATTTCAAATTTTGCAATTCATTTGATCTTCTCCTATATATTTTAAGAAATAAAGCATGTTACAAAATGGGGAAAAATACATATTGTCACAGGTCTCAAAAGGTAAATAGAGATTTTTCATCTAGGACTTGCGCTTTTAGAAGTGTGCTGCAGCAGTCTTCGGTTTAGGTAATTCAGGATTTTGTTAATAAGAGCCAAATAACATCTGTACTGCACCAGAGCAAGTCCAGCTAGGCCAGTATCCTGTCTCCATCAGAGATTTTAAATGAATACCTATGGAAACGTTTGAGGACAAAGGAAGCATACAGTATTCTAAAGGAAAATAAAAAAAATATGTTTGCTGATAGAGATCACAAATACTACAAGGTTCTGAGAACAGGTAAATCATTAAGAGAGCAAAGGAATGATACAAATCATTGGGTAACTTGATAATGTGGCTGCAAGCAATATATTCAAAAAGCCAAATATGAACATTTTATTTGTAGGAATATATGTAGGAGTGCTATTCAAGAGAACAGAGACAAATGTATCATGCTGATAATCAGCTGAATGGGAGCTACCTGTAAAATGCCATGAGTAAAAAAGATACCATAGTCTTTGAGAAAATATATAAGAATCTTGAGTAAGAAAAGAGGGACAATATTACTGCCACATTTTTTTCATAAGTGCAGCTTGATTCTAGAATAGTTTGCCCGGTCCTTCTTTCTACAGCTCAAAAAAAAAAAAACAAAAACCCAAAACCCAAAACAAAGACAAATTGGACAGAGTTCAGAGAACAGTCAGGAAGATGACCACAGAAGTGAAAAAATGCCTTGTTATAAAATACTGAATAAGCCTGACCCATCTTGCACAACTAAGATGATACAGCCAGGCTTGATCACAGTTTCTAAGCACGTGTGTGAAGAATAGAAGGCTCTCCAATGTAACAGAGATCAAATAACCAGAAAATGATGCTAGACAAATTGAAATGAGAAGCGAGAAGCCCGTTTTAGATATGTAGATACAGATATTTATCACTGAATGTTGTTCCAAATATGGCTATTTTGATTTATTCTCTGTGACTGCACAGTTAGCATGCCACAGAAGAGATTGTTAGCAAAATGCCTTGGGTTTGTGTTGCTGGGAAGCAATGCAATTTGGTCCTAAGTCAAGGTCAGTTAGGAAATTGCGACTTCCATAGCACTGACGATGAAGAGCTCTGTAGTTCTTTGAAATCTATATATGTTCTATTAAATACCATTGTTCTCACCAGCCCTTTCAAAATCTTTGTCCTCATCAATTAGAGGTATCTGTGGCCTCTTTTGCCCCTCGTTAGTATGTTTTAGTTTGGTTATTTTTGACAGTTTGAATTCCTTTGCAAGTAAAATGCACTGACAATTTTTGCTGGAGGCTTTCACAGTGAAATTAAAAATGCTTTTAGAGACTTTGCAAGGAACGGTGTAAAGCAAATACTGTTTTTCCAGTCCTTTCATGAAAAGAATGTGTTTGCTTTTCTAACGCTTATGCCACTACTCTGTATATGTCATTACTGCAGGGGTTCCCTGTTTTCTCAGTGACAGATAATGAAGGCTTTCATTTAATTACAGTTGCTTTGTGTTGTACAGGTGAGCATAAGATTCACTTTATTCCGGGAATGATTGGCCCGTTTCTTGGTGTTACACTTGTTCCACAACCAGAAGTCCGGAATATCATGATCCCCATCTTCCATGACATGATGGACTGGGAACAGAGAAAGAATGGCAACTTCAAACAGGTGAAGTCACTTCCCAAGCATTTGCAGTAGTCTTTTTCTTGCTCTGTCTATTTGCAATGTCCAGCTGGAAGCAAGGAGTTTGTATCTGTTGATCCATTTCTGATTATGACGATGACGTTGTCATGTAAATACATAAAAATAGAAAATTTGAAGCATAATTCACAAAACTATTACAAGACTCCCAAGATTATTTAAACAGTGCACTTCACAGCAAGCTACACTTCGCATGAACATAGAGAAGAGGAGCGATGTGTTCATCACATCGGAGATGAGGAAGAGAAAAGAATTTTATAAGTGCTGGGCTCTCACTGCTCTCATTGGTTTCACTTAGATTATTAGTCAACCATTAAATGGGTCAGACTGAGAACCAGAAATGGAGGTGTAAAGATTTAGCCAGTATTTGTGAAAACAGTGGTCTTTGCTTCTCTGTCTTCAATTTCCAGCTAGAAAGTGGTATTGTATAATTAAATAATTATACCATGCTTTGAAACAGACTTTGTGACTGTATATTTTTTGAGAAATTCTAGTAGCTCTTCTGGAATGGTTATGCCCAACAACAGTTCTATAGTTTCCATCTGCTGTGAGCTTGGATTGCAAAACAAGGAGAGAAGTCTTCATCATTTTGTTGCCCACTCACGGTCAGAGAATTGCTTAAATTTTCCACTGCAAAACAGATCTCTGAAGTGCAAAGTATTAATAATGAGGGATTGGTTTGGACTGGCTCCTCAGATGACAGTGCTTCATTGTCATTGTGTTTGGGGTAATACTAGGGGCAAGTATCTGCAGATAAGTGCTCTGAAGGAGTAAATCCTTTTATTTAAATAATCATAATTCATGTGATTATTCACACACTCATTAAAATGCCAGATGTAATTAGTTGTTTCAGGAGAATAACAGACCTTTTCCATAACCTGACCTATTAAAAGCTGTGCAGAAAAGTATTACCAGGAGTTTATGTTTTCTTCTTCAAATCCCTTGATTATCACTAGTAGTATTACTATTTACTACTATTATTATTACAGTAGCATTTGATCATGGTCCTCTTTTTGCTTGCTTTAGCATAACAGTAGAACAGTCCCTGTTTCTGGCATTTACAGTTATAAGTACCTACAGTCATCTTCAGGTTTCTGGACCTGTTTATACTTGCTGTATCAGGATGAACTCTTCATAATCTTCATTTAATTTTTATACTCACCAATGTATTCTAAACTAGAGCTCCAAGAATATTTCTTGAATTACCTGTGGAGCAAATTTCCACACTGTTTTATGAAGCATATATTGTAACTTTCTAAGATTAAAGACAGAATAATCATCCGTATTAGTGAGACTGAAATAAATAGTTAAATAGCACAAGATGTATTAAACCTTATTAACATTAGCTGCTGGAACCAGGAAGTTATTTGTTGTCCAGTATAAAGCTAGGTAGCTGGACAGATGCATTACTGATTTCTGTCAAGTCATTGTAGATCACAAGCAAAGAGAAGGTAGGGTTTTTTTATTTAGAGCTTCTCTTTTTGAATACAGAGTTGGTTGTCAGAAAATATAAAAATCCTGGAAATTCATTTTCAAGCCCTTTTTTATTTTCTTCAGTAGCTCATGTTTAACAAGGTTATTTTTGCAGTGATACTGGATAACAGTGCAGTCTGATTGATGGACTAAATCAGGCCTGCCTTTAATGATTTCAGCAACAAGAGCACCAGCTCCATTAGTGTGCCACTGGGTGATTTACTTTTCCTTCTCATCTTTACTTCCTTGGCAATTTGGCAGCTGAAAAACACAGAGAAACTCACACTATGCTTGTCTTCAAATAAAAACAGGCTATATTTCTACAAACAGTTTCAATATTTAGGAACCTCTGTCTTCATTAGTACTGAAAGTATGTTTTCTACAAGATTTCCAAGACTACCTGAAATTGTTTTGTTTAATGTTAGATACATTGATTTCTGTACTTGAATCAATTTTATGGCAACAACTGATACCAAACTTGATAACAGGATATATTAGACTAGGGTGGAAATGAATACATATTCAAAACCTTTGTAAGGGAAGAGAAACATAATGGTACTGTTGTAGCCCTTTATATGTAAGCGTAAAAAGAAAATGTGTCATATAATAATAGAAAGGCTTGACAAAACTGGGTTTAATGAACAAATAATCTCCAATGTAATGATGCCTGGATGATGAGAAATCAATTACCAGTAGATCCATTACAGCAGACTAGTGGCGATCACACCATGAATTAGTTTCTCTGTGTGGATATTCTGTTACAGTACAGGATATAGTTTATCTGATACACTGGTTCACAGAAAGTGTGAGAGATTTATTTGATAAGAGAATAAACTTCAGAAATTCCTGTCAAGAAGCAGCGGTACCTCCCCTGGGATGTTCATTTAGACCCTGATAAGCAAAAGGATAATTTAGTTTTAGTCCTCCTATTTCACTGAAAAATGAGAGAAGTGTGTCCATTTAATTGAGCCACAGAGAAATAAATCACGTGCACATAGAAGTGGGTAGCCCCAGGGCATGAGAAACAAAATATTCTTCCAGTCTTCCTAGCACTTGGAACTCTTGTCTTCTACATGAACAGCTAATTTGTAACCAGTCCCTTCTTCATCCAGGTGGAAGCTGAGTTGATCGATAAGCTGGACAGCCTGGTATCTGAAGGAAAAGGTGATGAGAACTACAGGGAACTCTTCAGCCTGCTGTAAGCTATGCCAGTTTCTGCTCGCTCTGTGTTGTGCAGGGTCATTGAAAGAGTCAAAGCAGTGATCTGTGCAGCCACTGCTGCAGTGCTGATCTTCAGAGAAAGCAGTAAAGGGCTTTCTGGCAGGTTTTCATGACATGGCTCAGTGAAATAGAAATATGTCACTCTAATTCTGAAAAGAATATAAAAACCTAAATTCTTCTTTGTCTTCTTTCTGTGACATCTAATATGAGGCTGCACAGGTAAGTAGTTATCCTCCTGCTATTGAAAATTGACTTGCTAGAGGAGCCAGTGCCTTTCTTTTTACATAGCAATAAGTGAAATCATGGCCTTAGGATTGTTTAGAGAAACAGTGTACTATCTAGCAAGTCAGGCCTTGTTAGAGCAAAAGAGATTTTCCTCAGTGTTTTCCTTTGCTTCTTCCAATTTTTGAAGGTTGTGTTTTGGTTGGCTCCATAGTTGCAAGTTGCTTCCTCCAGAGTCCATCATGATACTGTATTTCCACTCCCTTTCACAACAAAAACCTGTAGTCGTAAGGATAAACTTAAAAGACTTTTTACATCTGACTTTCCACTTAGTTATCTTTGATTACCGATCTGTCTTCAGATTTCATTTCCAGTGATCCTAGTTTATTCCAAAAGGACTTATTTTGAACTCTGAAAGTCCAGAGCACTTAACCCTAAATCTTTTAATATTCCAGTTAGCCATAGAGATCATAGCAGAACTTTAGCCGTATATTCCAGACAATTTTATGTGACCCCCAATAGCATGCTGGCAGTTTGAGGCATAAACCTTTGTTTTGGTAGAACCAATACTTGTATTTCTGAATTTACAATGGCGCATTCATTCATTTTCAAGATAGGTAAGCCTGCCCATCTTGTATGCTTATCCTTAGGAAGCATGTAAATGTATTTTTGATTTGTGTATATTCAGCCTTGGGGAGTCTGGCACGTTAACAACATAAGTCTGTTTCAGGAATAAAGGAAAGAAAATATCTATCTTTTTTTTTTTTTTTTTTTTTTTTAATTCACCTGTGTTGTGGTTTAACCCCAGCCAGCAACTAAGCACCACGCAGCTGCTCACTCACTCCTTGCCCTGCCCCAGTGGGATGGGGAGGAGAATCAAAAACAAGTAAAACTTGTGGGTTGAGATAAGAACAGTTTAATAATTGAAATAAAAAATAAAATAAATTAATAATAATAATTGTAATGAAAAGGAAGATAACAAAAAGAGTGTGAAATATAACCCAAGAAAGACAAGTGATGCACAATGCAATTGCTCACCACTTGCTGACTGATGCCGAGTTAGTTCCCAAGCAGTGACCAACCCCTCCTGGCCAGCTCTCCCCAGTTTATATACTGGGCATGATGTCACATGGTATGGAATACCCCTTTGGCCAGTTTGGGTCAGCTGCCCTGGCTGTGTCCCCTCCCATCTTCTTGTGCTCCTCCAGCCTTCTTGCTGGCTGGGCATGAGAAGCTGAAAAATCCTTGATTTAGTCTAAACACTACTCAGCAACAACTGAAAACATCAGTGTGTTATCAACATTCTTCTCATACTGAACCCAAAACACAGCACTGTACCAGCTACTAGAAAGAAAATTGCCTCTAACCCCGCTGAAACCAGGACAACCTGGCAAGAGGAATATTGTGTATTTCCTTTGCTCCAGTTGAAGACATTTGTTACCCAAAATGTTAAGAATTCAGGGACTGTATGTAGGTTGTTACTTATTTTTAGATGATAGTGACTGCATGTATTACCAAGAAACACATCCTGGAAGTCCAGCAACCTTTTAGTTTGTATTTGCTACTGACTTTTCTGAGAACAATATGAACTTTGAGGAAACAATTCCACAAAGTCAATAAATGCTGTGTGAAATAAACAGTTGATCCTGAATTCTACTGTCTCAACTATACTGCTGAAATATATATGAACTGGCTCCCTCAGCTAGAAATCATTCCAGTACAGAAGAGCTTGCCTCTTCTCAGGACATGTATGACACCCAACAGAATTTCTTTCCTCTTGACAGTATAGAAGTGACAAGTTCTTTGACCAGAGATCCAGCTTCAGGAAACTAGCATGTCAATTTGCTTTCTTTTTTCACTTTTTAAATTTTGGTGTTCTCACTCTAGCTTTCTCTCATCCTTCACAATTGTCTCAGTGAGATGCTTGCTCTATTGTCTAGTTTGCTGAGCAGGAACAGACTGACTTTATGTATTTACAGCTTAAATTGTGACTCAAGGTTGGTTGGTTGGTTGCTGATTAGGGATGAAAATTTATATAAGGATGAGCAAAGAAGAGGTATTCGCAGTAGGTTTAGACTCCCAACTTCTTACTGCTGTTAGCACTATTTAAGCTACAGGAAATAATGTGGGAATCAACTGTTGCCATGAGCATTGCTCTTTTTCATATATTTTAAATGGCAATGTGAAGATATTTTTCCTTCTCCTGTCAGTTCTGTAATTTCCTTGTCTTTGCTTCATGCTGCCTGGAGTAGAACCCAGCTCTTTGGGCCTTATCCCAGGTAAGATAGTAATTCTATCAGTTTGTTTATGAGGAAGAAACCAAGTTGTCCACAGCTGTCTGCATGTAGTATACCATTTCCCCGGAAGCCTCATCTGCTGTCTTTCCACCTCCAAACAGTTTGCTGGAGAAGATTGAGCAGGAAACATGGCGGGAGACTGGAATCTCTTTTGTTACATCAGTTACTCGTCTCATGGAGCGTCTGCTTGACTACAGGTATCTGGCAACAACAGTAATATATTCCAAGTATAAGAATTTTGTAAAGAGGTAGTACTAAGTTTTCTACAGGGAATGTTTTTATTGTTTATCAAGCTGCATGCTTCTCTGATGGCAAGTATTGTGTAAGCAAGCCTAACTCATTGCTGCTGGGCTCTGAGCAAAAATCCTAAGTCCTCCTCTCTAGAGCCCTAATTCTCATTCCTGATAATAGCAAAGATAAATATTTTAATTCGTAGTTTTGTACTAAGGTTTACTGAGGTTGCTAAATGCTTAATTCCTTCTGTCATTGAAATTATCTCACCTACTTTGGCAAAAGAGATGCTAAATGCAAGAATGATCTCAAATGCCTCACTGAATCGAGATGTGCTGAATGTCTCATCTAGATACACAGGGTTGGAAAACTTTTCATCTGAGGAAAGTCTGACATGTCAGCTGATGAGTCATGTGGAAGACTCCACTATAAATTAGGCATCCTTTGTTTAGTTTTAGACTGAAGGTTGCAAGACTATTGTGTCAATGCAGCTGAGCTTTGATTCAGTTACAAGAAAATATTTTAGCTTCATAGATATATATACACACACATACATTTACACACACACTCAGAGTTGTTTTTATGGAACAATAGACAATTTAAAACTATATAGAACTGCCCCCAATATTTCTGTCTTTAGCCTACTGACAAGAGTTCAAATAATTTTTTCTTCTGCTGCTGCTCAGTATAGGTGAAAACCTGTGACTAGGCTGGGTATTCTGCAATCCCAAATCCTTTTCTGTGCTTCTTAGTTTGCTCTTTTTGTTATCCTTACCAGTTTGATCCAATCTCCTGTTTGTTTCCTGACAACAGCTGCTTTACAATTACTATGCAAGTCCAGCAAGGGAGCCTTTTTTTTTTTTTTTTAAATGAAATTTGCTATCAACACAATGTTGATACACAGATAGACATTTTCGTGCCTAACTGTGGAACAGATACCAGTTTTTAATTGATTTTTAATACATAGCAGGTTTTTTCATTCCCAGAGCAGAACAGGGAACCACATCAAAATTTGGAAATACACAGGCATCTCTTGCAGTCCAGCTGCCAGTTAGTTGACACAGTAGTTCTCAAGACATTTTGCTGTGTCACTGCTTTAAAAATTTTGTCTCTTCTTTACAAATGAATGTGACACTCTCGAGTCAAGATTAGTGATTTCTGAAGCCTTTAACTTTTTGTACTGCTTGAATGGAAATAATTTCTAAAATATTCCAGAAACTAAAGATAAATTCTGTGATTTAACTTATCTATGAAAAAGTTAGTAATCTAGTCTAAATTACTCAGGTTCCACCTTTCAGCATGCCAACACTACACTGGATAACTGAATTTGTGAAAGCTAATCTTTTGACTAGGAAACCACTAAACATTTACATTTAGATAAATAATAGTTTTTCACTTTTATACTAGCTCGTTCGTTCAGATGATTTTTAGTGACTATGGTGATTTTGTTCAGATCCTTGTAAGAAATGAAGTAGCAGTCATTTCAGGTTCTCGGATGCAGACATGTAAGAGGACACTCAGTTCTCTCATCATTTAAGCCATAATACAGAAATTTTTCTTAGAGGAACTTTATAAAATAGAGTGTATGATTAACTGTTGTTTGTGTTCCAAGGGGACTCTGGAGGATAAGATAGCTTCAAATTCATTTTAAAAGGACTTTTTTTGCAGATGTATGTTTTAACATTGCTCTGCTTTCTTAGGGACTGTATGAAAGGAGATGAAACAGAAAACAAGAAAATCGGCTGCACTGTTAACCTTATGGTAAAGATGTTTCCTTTATCTCTTTGTGATACTGTGCAACGCTGTTGAAACTGGCATGGGAAAGGTTGGGATAGAAATCTGTGTCAGGCAAGTACAGCTTCAGAATCCGAGCACTGGGGTGATAGAACAGAATGACAGGGATTGTGAGGATCCTATGCAGATCTCTGGTCCAACTTCGTGCTTAAAGCAGGGCCGAAGATGTCAGGTTCTTCAGGGCCTTTTCCAGCTGAGTTCTGCGTATCCCTGTGACAGTGTGTTCTACAACCTCTCTTGCCTTTTCTTTCAGCTTTTCCCTACCTTCATTATGAAAAAAAATCATGACATGATAAAATCGGTGGGTTAAATCAGTCTGAATATGAAAATAATTATTACTTTTCTTTTGCACTAATAATGTATTCTCTTTTCAATACCTTTATACGTACACAGATCCTGCTGATTGTCTTGAATGAAGGAAGTCTTAATAAGGTAACAACTCTTTTTTTCTTTCACAGAATTTCTATAAATCTGAAATTAACAAGGAAGAGATGTACATCCGCTATATCCACAAGCTGTGTGACATGCACTTACAGGCTGAGAACTATACAGGTTAGTAAGACATCATATGGGGTCTGCTAGAAATCCTGGTGAAAGTGTTTGACTCTCCCAATGTTATGCTCATAATATCTGATTCATTCTTTTGGAAGAAAATGGTATAAATCAGTTAGGGCAGTTGGGAAGATAAGAAGCTGAGGTCCAGCTCATTCCCTCAAGTAAAATAATATATATCTATGCCCACACAACCATACAACTATTCTGTTACACCCTGAATTTTACATTAAAGTGTCGTACAAGGAACATTGATCAAAAAAATCACAACAATGGAATCAAAATTAGAGGAAGATTAAAATCACAAAACCACCATGATATTATCATTTGCTGTATTTTCCTTGCATTGTATAATTTAGGGAGCTCTAAGAAAGTGTATAGACTCTAACTCTCTGTTGTCCAAGCTCTGTTTACAGCTGCAGGCCCTGAATATAGTGATATATCTGAATATCTGACTGTGCATTTAAATCAAGTAGTTAGTAAAAAGAAACTTGACAGATTTGTTCCTAAAAGTCAGCTTTGTCCTGCTATTTTAAGTAATTTAATAATTTAATGATTTAATGAGAGTTCAGAATTTTTTCTCAAATTGTAAATCAGAAATTCCAGACTGTTTAAGAAGCAGGTCTAGTGACCTTTCAACCTAATGGCTGTATTTATTTGTTGTCATTGATTCAGTGTTCAATAATTGCATTTCCAACAGAGGCTGCATTTACTTTGCTTTTGTACTGTGAGTTGCTTCAGTGGGAGGACAGACCTCTGAGAGAGTTCCTGCATTATCCATCTCAGTCAGAGTGGCAACGTAAGGAAGGTCTGTGCCGTAAGATTATCCATTACTTCAACAAAGGGAAGGTATGCCAACTTCTTCTCTCTTCCAGCAGCTTCCTTCCCTTTTCCTGACCTACTTAGGGCTTGCAGGCCTGTCATCTCAGTTCAGTAGTCTGGAAGTAAATTTGTATCAAAAGGTTTTATTACTTGACAGATTGCTTCTTGGCTCTCTGGATGAAAAAACAGATGAGAAAATGGGTATGGGTATTTCATTATGTATAACATTTGGAACTAGTTTAGGTAGGCCAACAGGAGAAACACCAAAACATTTTTATACCTTTAAACCAAACTTTCGATCACCTGATATGGCAAAAAGCTCTATGAATGCCAGTTCCTTAGCTTTGGGGGGTGGGATTGCATTTTGTAGTTGTCTATGCAAATTGCTGTGTTATGACTCACTTTAGGGCTTGTTTTGTTTCTAACCTATAGAAGTAAATGGCAGGCAATAGACTGTAGGAGTCCCTTTATTAAAAAAGATTTAAGTCTTTCCAGTGTCACTGTTATTTTAAAGTGGCTTTCAATTAAAGTGCAGTCCCATCCATTGCCCAAGAAGAAAATCAATACATTCCAATTTCACATATTCAGTATGTTTTTCCTAGAATAATTTTTTTTTTAATTACTGCAGACATAGGTGTTATAGTCCCTTGTGACATGGTGTTTTGGGAACATTTCAGAGGTGAACCTTGAAAGTGATATCATCTGTCAGAATATTTTCAATTTTTTCCCTCCTCTAGAAAAATTCCTACAGCTTACATTATTGGAAGATAACGTCTGTATGTGCGCCTCACGGTTGGTTTTGCCTGTGATGGTAATGACAGTGGCATTAAATACAAATGTGATTTGGTTCATATGGGGTTGCCCTTCCTGATAATCCTTTCCTAGCCCTGATAACTGAAAGTTGCACATGGCAAAGACATTCTCTACAGAACCAGCAAAAGGAAGTCAGATTCCTGTGTGTAGGAAGAAATGGCCTATTTATGTGGAAGTGATTAATTAAGGAGAATTTTTTTCTTTTTGGCCAGAATTGTTCTTGTGTAATAATAATGAATATGGTTCTCTTTTTAGTTTCAGAAATTTTCAGTTTTTCAGACTGCACTTAAAAAAAATAAATTACTGACTTGTGCAAATATTGTAGTACCATACTGTCTGACTAGAAAAAGATGATATACAGACTATGTAAAACAAGTGAACCTGTATTTTTGACAAAAACAGGCAATCCATATATGCACTGAAGGGGAGTAAAAACTTGACGGATGTAATTTTGCTATAAAACTCCTAACAGATTATAGACTGTTAACCTCTTGAGGTTTTTTCCCCACTGGATGTTTTTGGAGTTACTTGACTTTGTATTTTAATCCTCCTTTATTATAAATGGTAGCTGAATGACTAAATAATCCACTTAAGCAGTGTGTATGACACTCAAACTGTGGAAGTGAAAGATGCTGAGAAGCCAAATCCTCCTGCTGCTTTTCAGCACTTTTTCTGTTGCTGTGTAACAGGGAACAGCTCAGGGAATGGAAGAAACTTGCTTCCCTCAACTTGTGTCTGATAGTTTCTTTCTGCACTACCCTAAGATGGTCCCTCCTCAGGTCCTGAAGAGTGGAATTTGTTGTTCTGTGTCCTTCAGTTGCATTTCTAGAGTTTAAGTTTCTCATGCTGCTCCTGGCATCTTCCACTAAGTAAGGTGGTCAAAGCAGCATGAAAAGGGTGTAAAAATTCTGCATTTGTTAATGGAAAAATTTTCTCAGCACAGGAATGGGGGAAAACTGGCCACAAGACTGTCTTGTGAGTTTGACATAAAGGGCGTGCCAGTGGAGGGCAAGGAGTGGTGGCATGGCCTATGGCAGGCCTGGAGCACTGCAGTGGGGTGCAGAATTGAGTAACTCCCATTCTCAATATTGTCGGTAGCAACCCTGTGTTGGGAAGGAACAAGGTGTTCCAAAGCCCTTTTAGCCTTCACTCTGGTCGTGTGCTCCTTCCTACTGATTTCTGTTATGCTTTGAATTGGTTTATGGCTCAGTCGGCAGTGTGTGCATAATTTTAAATGAAGATTATTTTTTTTTAACTCACAGTTATGATTTTATCTGTTAAAACTCAAGGTTTTCTAGTTGAAGACAACTGTGAATGGAACAGTTTGAACCTGATTGATCATGCTTCTGGACAGCAATAGCTTGAAAACTACACAACCCTTTTTTGTCCAGTTCACTGCTAGATTTTATTAACTAAAAACTGACCAGCTCCCATCACAGCATCTCATACTCACAGTGTGTATTCTCCTTAGTGCCAGCCATGTGCTGTGAGACACCCAAAGCTGTATTTCCAAAGCAGTTTATTTTTAGATCATGTGCTCTATACCCAACATTTGAACTAATTTCTCTTGTGCACCCTCATGTGAATCATATTTGCAAAAGAAATCTGCGCACTGGGATGTGAGTAAATAAAGGTTGCCATTCATAAACTTTGATTGTCTGTATCTGTGCCTGCCTGTGTGCAGTCAGTAGCACTCAACAGAGAGTTGCTGGTGCCGTAGAAGAAAGCTGCATTAAATGTCATATGAATGTGCTTTTCAAGTGAAGGACATAATACAGAACATGCAAACAGATCAGACATCAGCAAAACAGAAAGCAATAATGAGGGAAATTAACAGTGGAGACATTAGGAAATTATTTGAAGGGGGGAAGAATGATGCTTTAGAGGAAAGTGACACTTGCATAGCACACAGAATTCAATATTAAATTTCTACAGTGTGAAGATGGTACCCATTAACATCACCGATTTTAAAACTGAGGATCCCAGGGACTCAGATATCCATTCATTCTCTTTTCCTTTCAAATATCTGCAGACTCTTTTCTCTCTAAGAAGTTACCTGTATATTGTGTTTCTTCGCTTCTTTATCTCATCTCGTATCTATAGAATATTCAGCTAGCACAGCGGAATTTCTCTGTATGGAAGTCTAAATGAAACAAAGAGAAAGACTGAGTTAAGATGACAGGAATAGTATCAGGGTACACGTAGAAGAGCTGGTATAAAGAGAAATAAGATGTGGTTACATGTTGTTAATTTAATTCACATCAGAAAAGGAGCAGGAAAAGGTTACATCTTTAGGATCACCTCAAGGGAAGAAAGACAGCTAGCTTTCTGCTTCTATTTGGAAGACAGATTAGAGACTTACGTAGACTTTAGCCACAGCATCCCATCTGGAAGTGAGACTCTGCTCACACTCTGTGTGACAAAAACCATTTATTTCTGGCCAGATGTTTTAGAAGAGACTTTTCTTTTTCATTCTTTCAAGTAAATATAGATCAACTAAGGACTGAAAATCTATGTATAATATCTCTGTAAAGAATATTGAAACCTATTTAAAAGCACAATGGTATTTGTGTTTGCAAATATAAACACTCACCTTGCTAATGTTGTTGATCCCAATTCAGTGTGTCAGTTTGTATGTCATGGACTTTTGACAATCCACAGCAAAAATCCTGTTAATTCGAGACCACAAAAACCTGAGTAAAACTCTGAGTAGTCAAGTAAATGGTCTTTCAGTTCATTTCCTGTTGTATGTATTGTATTTATCTAAATAAATCTCAGGCTTCCCATCATCCCAAACTACTAATACTATCAGAATATCCAAATTGATTCTGAAAGAATCTTTTATTTAGCAATTTCTCATATAATTTTTTGTAATTAACTGAAGCTAAAGAGATGTACGATCATTATTTTTGCCTTCTTAGTTCTTACAACTATCCCTTCTTTTAACAAAAAAGTTCTTACACTTACTGGTTTTGCTATTCAGATAAAAAAAGCTTTGCTGATATTAAGGGTGAGAGAACAGACACTACAAATGTGTGTGCATAAAGGGAAGCATTGTAAAGTACTTAATACACTGAATCAGTGTAGAGATTCACTTTTTTTAAGTGAAGGTACATGTAACCAGAAAAACTTCTTCCATATTAAGTGTTAGTATTTTACATAATTACTCTTAATTACTGTTACCAATAACCAGTAATGCATAAGAGTTAATCCAATAAAGGTTCAACTGAGACCTTGGTGTTCTAGATCCTTTACATAAGTGTGGTAAGAAACAGTTGTTCCCCCAAAAGGCTTCCAACCTATGCAGGTAAAAGATGATGGGAGAGGAGATTTCAGTTCAAGGGTGTAAAATGAGCACTCTAAAAAAACTAAGTGAGGTAATGGGAGTCTTTCTCTCAATGTGGGTTTGCCCAAATTCAGTCTCTTTCTTCCTTACCTCTGAGGGTGATGAGTATGGTGTACTAGAAAAGATTTATTGTATGCAGACTGTAAGTTGAAGAAATGAGTTTTGCTTTCAGTGCTGAATATGGATGTTCACTCAGTGCAATAATGCAGGTCAGTTCTGAAGATGCTTTGTCTCTGCATTTTAGTGTTTCCCATTGCTTGACAGTTTCATGCTTTCAGTAGGAAGTAGCAGCGCTGGGAAGGAAAGCGCTTTGCTGGGAGCTATTCCCTAACTCTTTACTCCACGAGTTTTAGTGCAGAAAGCAAAGGAGATGTTGGGGGTGGGCTGAAGGGGTGTCTAACAAGAAGAAAAATTGTTATTTGTATTATCTTTCTCTAAATAAGTTACCAGTCTCATGAGTGAACTGTCAGTAATGAGCAGTATATGTGTCTAATTTCAATGGAACATATGCCTCTGTTACCATCTTGAAGAAGGAATTAATGTGATATTTAATGGAAACTGTTTCAATACATTGGATTTTCAGATCTAATCCCTGGCATTTCATACCAAATGAATTCCCAAAATTGAATTTCCATATTCCTCTCAGCTGAGTTGACAATAACATTCTGTTTGCTGTGAGTGTGATTTGCTTTGGTTTCACAGAGCTGGGAGTTTGGAATCCCGCTGTGCAGAGAACTGGCCATACAGTATGAAAGTCTCTATGATTATCAGAGCCTCAGCTGGATTCGGGTAAGTAGCAGCGGCTCCTGTCCTTGCAGATTCTCATGTCATTCCCCAGGGAATTTTGGTCTCCTGTCAGAACGTTCTGAATTTAAAAAAATCATCATATTCCCTGTACAGCTGCATGCATTTACAGTGACTCCTTTGCCATTGACTCATTTCGATGACTTCATAGGTCCACTGAAGCAATTCCTAAGTCTGCTAGCAGTAAATTCCCATGAGCATATAGAGACAGCACACACACAGGAGCTGGGCTTGCTATTGCAATTGCATATTTATATATATGTTTTTGCATAAAATATCGTTCTTTTTTTTTCTTTTTAAAGAAATGATATATTGATATTTCATTTTAATTCAAAAAATATCAAGGACAGCTTGTGCCTCAGTTGACATAAGAGGAACAGGAGAGAAAGAATGGAGAAGGCAAACATTTCTGGCTTTCTAATCAATTTACAATAATCTGGTCCTCCAGTAAAACCAAACACATGATGAAATCAAGGCACATTTGCAGCATTGTGCTTTAATTGGAAAAAGTAAACATTCTGGCTGTTATTTAAAAGCTTTTTAAATGTGAAAATAGTTCATCTGCTTTTGTCCCCTGGGGTAGCATGCATATACCCAAATTTAAGATTTACGCTATGTTGATGTATTCTTATACACAGTGGTTTAAATTCCCTTAAAAATTCAAATTTATTCTCATCTGAAGATAGCTGTCTAACTAGGTCTCAGGAACTGCACTTCTGAAGAACTTCTTTTCTTCCAAGTGGCCCTAAAGAGAGTACCAGTGACCATCTTGGTTGTGCACTTGTTTATTGTAGACATCTAAAATAGAACAGTGTGAAAATTTATCATGGTACACAGGAAATACTGTATCCGTAAAGTGATCATAATTGATGAGCAAACAAACTTACTAAAGACGTAGTCAAGTCATGCATCAAGACTTTCTTCCCTAAAACATCGGTAAATTAGCTATTCTTGCTGCCTCTTTATTATTTGGATTTAATCAGCTAGCCAGGTGAAGAGCTTCTCAGCTGATCAGTATAACCAATTCACGTCATCCTTTTGCTCACCTGTGTGCGATCTGTTTTCTGTTCAAGTTTCCTAACTATGTGTTGACCTGAACTGACTTGAATTTCTCCCCACTCTAAAGAGTTTTCGTCTATGCTATTCACATCATTCAACACATTCCTTTATTCTTCCTGCAATAATTTTTGGGACCTTCTCCATTTTAGAAAAGGAGTTAATATGTGTGGGAACCGAGAACAAAACCTTGATGCAATATTCTAAGTCAAAGCTGCTGTTAGGGTTCGAACCCTGCAGTGGCAGCAATGATGTCAAACTGATTCTTCTCTTTAAAAAGCTATCTTTTTGCTATAGTGAAATTCCTGTGAGCCTTTCAACTGAGATTCAGTTTGGCAAGGGGTCTTGAAATCCCATTCTTGATATAAATGCTAGCACAGTGCCACAATACTAGTAATTGGACCTAGAGAGAAGTCCTTTTACTTTTTCCAAACCTTTTTTCTTCCATGTCAAAGCTACTGGTGCACAGAGCTGTAGAAGATTTAATTTTGTTTCATCCTTTTTCATACCCCTCAACTCAATTAAGGCAAAACCAATTGAATTGATATAATTTTCCAGACAGTGGTATAGATTTGAGCTATAGGAGAGAAAAGGACACTGTGAGCCAGGCAACATAGATCTTCATCTCAGCTTTGCCATTAATTCTGCAATGCAAAGAAAATTACATGCAAGACCTGTTTAATTTAAAATGAGTTACAACAGAAAAATGTTCGTATGTCATCTCCAAAAATGCAAAATGAGTATGATGGTACTACAGTCTGTTCCACCATGTAGACTGTTTAATTAATAATTTTTATCTTTAAAATAATTTCAGTCTTTTCATAAAAAATTGTGGGGGCAAAAGAGTAATGTGATATTTTAATGTGTCTTGAGATTCTGATGTTTTAAGTGTCTGATAGCAGCTATCTTTTTCCTCCATAGAAAATGGAAGCTACCTATTATGATAACATCATGGAACAGCAGCGCTTAGAACCTGAGTTTTTCAGAGTTGGTTTTTATGGTCGGAAATTCCCATTTTTCCTGCGGGTAAGCCAGACTTGTACAAAATATGACAAAGTGACCAGGCTCAGAGTAGCAGTTAAGGCTTTGTATTTTTGTCATGGAGATATGATGTCTGCCATTCAGCTTATTTTTTTACTCCTGCACAAGTAGAAACAGCTTTCTGGCTGAACTGAAGGATGTGGTCCATTGGTAATTTTCTTAAGACCAGATATCAGAAATTTGACTCACGCCTATGTGTATTTTTGACAATCTGCAGATGCACCACAAATTGCCGCTATATTAAGCGAAATGCTGTGTCGCAGCAATGTTTCGGTCATTACTCAACTTATTTTCATCATCTCAAATTATCACACTTTAAAAAGTCTCACATGACAGAATGATTCTAATACCAGACTGATGACTCTCTTATGCTATCTACAAGTGAACATTTCCTCTCTTCAACAAAAAGCCTAGCAGCTTCTCTGGACACATCCTCACTTTGAGCTTATTGTCTGCTGGTGTATACAGGATCAGCTGGGTCTGCAACCCATTTAAAAAGTGAAATGATCTTATTTTCCTAATGAGGAACCAAACCTAAAACAGATATTTGTTCATACGATATCTTGTTGCTAGTTCAGTGCAAGGAAGGAATATAATCTGACAACTGCTCTAAGAGCTGTCTGAAAATTGATGGTAGATGCCATCTAGCTTGACGGGACAAACTAACTTAAAACATGCTTTCAAGAACTGGAGGTGCATGTTCTGTGTTCTCTTTAAAGAAATGGTTTGACAAGAGATGGCACCACTCTTGAGTTACACAGTAAGAAGCTATAAAAAGCCAAATTGTGTACCATTTTGAAAATTGCACTCTTAAATTTCCCTCTGATTACTAAATATTTTTTCTTTAACTAAGATTTAAACATTGGTGTTTAATTACAGTCTTTTAATGGAAACAGGAGCAGGGGAAGTAAAAGACAAGTTGGAATTAATCAAGGTGAAAATACCAGTGGATAAGGCTTCATGTTATTTAAAGCTGAAGTTGAACAGTGCCATAATGTAACAGCCTCAGTCAGTGTGCAGAACACACCTGCAGAGGAATCTGAGGAAATGACAACTGTTGCAGCATGAAGCAGTAGCTACCCTTTCATGAAGATCTCCAGAGAAAACTGCCAATTTCTTTTTTTATATCTAACAACAGATGTTTCAGAAAATGAATGACAACGAAGTCCTTATGGCACATAAGCATTCCTACATTTGAAGTAGTATCAGTGAATCTAACTTATTTTATTATATTATGAATCCTACAGTTTTATCTTGGATCCTGCATGGCCTATGTGTTTAACACTGCACGAGTTTTCAGTGCACAGCACTTACTCTTTTTGCAAAACGGTGTAACAATGTGGATACTTGGCTGGAGACATTAACAGCAAACATGAGCGTACATAATTATAATCCTTGTTAATTCTGCAATTATATTTGGTAGCAGTACTTCTGATAGCAGATTACTAATGTAGCAATCTCATTAAAAGTCATCCTCCTCCTTTCTCTCTCTAATGATCCATACAGCATACATATTGCGAAGCACAGACTAAGCCCATTAGCAATCACATCAGCATGGATCACACAGTAAAGAGATTGGAAGCAGCTATTCTAGAGAAGAAAAAGATTTACATGGATTTAAAATTTTCAAATGGATATGGGAGGGATTTAAAGTGATCAAATAACTCTTCGGCCTTTTCTCAGTTTTGTCTATTGCTGTATAGCTTAAGACAGAAAATAACCACTTCTTTCTACAATCTTTGATTTTGAAGACCCTTTGTCTAGAAGTCATTGTTCATGTTTCTATGAATGCTGCATCTATTTCTAGCCTTCCTGCATAAGTAAATTAAAACTGTCCATGTCTTCCACCTACAAGAAGTTCAAGTAAGGCCTGGCAACCCACATTCTGAGATCTTGTGTTGGCATCTGTCTGAAAAGTCTAATAAATTTAGCTTTGAGGTGTTTTCAAGGCACTATTTTTAGAATCACAATAACTTTCTTTATAGGCTTACAGTTTTGTGGATTGCTGCGATCAAAAGCTAAAATAGAGAATGCAGGAAGTGTCACGAAGAGATTCACCTTCAAACATGGACTCACTCCAAATTTAATAATAGCTGCAAAGTTTGGGCATTACAGACTGAACTGTCAAGATTCATCATGCAATTTTTCTCCCAGTTCATTGGTTGCTGTGACTGATGCATACAAAGTGACATATGTCACAGCTGGAACATGAGATCTGTTCCATAAAATTGAAATGCAAAGCCAAAGATAACTGCACTCCTTGGCTGTGTTTTATGATTGGGTTTTGCTTCTTTCTCTTTGATTTTGCTACAAGATCAAGAACTGCTCAGCCAGAACCCTTTTCCAGTGCAATTAACAAAACATTATTGCATATACTGCAGCTTCTAAATGCAAGAAATAGAAGGGGGGGGACTGTTCTTGTTTGCTGGGATTCTTTGTTCTATGAAGGTGAAAAATCTCCCTGTACTTCTAGTTATTGTTAAGTGTATGAGAATTAAAACCACCAGAATTACAGAATTTGCCTGCTTTGATTGGTCTTGCATCAGGAGACATTAACACCAATCAAAATTGTGTTTTGTGGTAACAGGGTTAAGACACTGGAATACAGTCTTTATGACACTGAGGACTTCAGAAATCCTGTATCCCACTATTCAAAGTTTGAGATGGCTCAAAAAGCACCCAAGAACTCTGCACAAGTGGTTTAATGCCCCAAGAGGCATATCTAAATGCAAACTTTCCATTACTAGCAGAAAAAAAATTTTGTTCATCAAGAGGAAAGTGCTTTTAGGGCTAAAGGGGAATTTGCTAAGTGGCCACTGAGAATTCTTGGTAAGGCTTTTCCGTATTACTCCACTATAGACAGGGGAGTTCCTGAGGATGTACTGTTCAACATGATAAGAGGTGGATTGTATGGCTATGACAATACAGTAATGATTAAACAATGATTTGTGTGAACACTGTTACAACTTGTCTCTAAGGATAATTGATAAACATATATCTCCCTCTGTTCTATGAAATCCTCAGGACTTTTATCCATCTGGTGTAAACTGTATTTGACAGCAGCCTTCCCAGTGTAGAACAGCTGAGCTGGTGACTTAGTCTTAAGTTTTTGTTGATAGTTTCACTATAGTCCAATTAAAAAATAGTCCCTTTTCAGTTGTCTGAAAAGTAAATAAGACAAGACAGTAGGACTGAACGCTACGTGTGTATGGATCAGAGGCATCTTTCTGTTGAGAGATCAGTGGAATAGTCTACTTATTCATCAATTCTTGATGAAATACATTGTAAAGAAAAAGGAAGGAATAAAATATATCAGCTGTGTTAAATGCACATTTTACTCTCACATTAGCATATTGACATTGTCATTTATATTTGGTTTTGAAGCAGTAAAATTTAAAGTGAGATAAAAGCCAGAAGTTAACTTACTTTTAAGAAGACTAATTTATGCTTGTCCTTCTTGCAGAACAAAGAATATGTATGTCGGGGTCATGACTATGAGAGGCTGGAAGCCTTCCAGCAGAGGATGCTAAGTGAGTTCCCACAAGCCATTGCAATGCAGCATCCAAACCACCCAGATGACTCTATATTGCAGTGTGATGCCCAATGTATCCTTCAGTGAATGGGCAAACTATGATTAGAGGAACTGTGGTAAAGCACAGAGGAGGAAGGTATTGAAAAGGTCATCAACTTGGATACCTCAGTTCCTAAGTGTCTTAGGTAGAGCTGGATATGGACAAAACCGTACACCTGTCTACACTAGACATTCATTGGTTCATTGTGCTATGTATTGTTGGAGAAAACTGTCACTTTTTATTCAGGGAGTAATGCAGGTCATATTTGATGTGTAAGGGAAATAGCTGTGCTTGGTCACATCTGCTTGGTCACCTTTACCAACAGCGTTGCCATGATGCACATTTGGTGTCATCAGAAGTATTCCCAATACCTTCTCTTGGAGAATGTTTTGTTAGAAACTGATATTAATTCCAGAGTGGTTTTTTCCATTGTGTTTATTTTTTGCATCAGGTTTTTGGGGTGGTTTTTTTTTTGTTTTTTTTTTTTTTTTTTTGCAGTCTCCCTTTCTTTTAAACTGCTGAACCCTTTTATACCTAAGGCTTTGAATCTCATTCTTCTCATTGGTAATCTGTACTGTGATTTGATGCAACCAATACAATGCTATATACATTTAAGGACTGAACCATGTAACGTTTAATGGGTCTGTAGAGACTTTTGGAGATTTTAGTCATGAGAACATTGCTGTTTGGCTTGTGTGATAACAGCAAGGATATTGCACAGGACTTTAACTATAAGGATATTGGCAGCAAGTGAAATCTGAAATGGGTTGCTGTTTCCCACTTGTCTTTTATAACACGTGCTTTTCAGTCTTCTTTGCTATATAACACTGATACTTTCATAGATGGAGGGATTGTTTGTATGTGTATTTTGGTCGGTTTGTTTATGCTTGCAGAGATCTTGTCTGTAACACAGGTTAAACTAGTTTAAACTGGACTGTAAATTGATGAAATTAGGGCAACTTTCGTTTGTAGACAAAGCTGAAGTATCTAAGGTGAAATTTTTCAAAGGGAAATGCTAGATATTTAGGTACCTAAATAATCAAGATCTACGGAAGTTCCTGTACAAATGAGGCACCTAGCTGTAATTAATAGGAACTGGATATTTTGCCTGCTGTAGGTATTTTGGATGTCTTACTACATAGCCTCTGTATCCTCAGGTATCTTCCTCTTTGGTTAATCTGGCTGTGAGGTAATGTAACTCTGTAGACTCTCCTAGTAGTGCTAGTCTGGCGTTCTGTTGTTTCACTTGCAAAAGAATGTTAGAAAACAGAGAGAAGGATGACTTTCTGAATTCACCATCCTGTTTCTTCCCACAGCAGAGACAACTTTCCTGTTTGATGTCCTGTGGCTTTCTTTGACTACATAATTTACAGATTTACAGATCTATGCAGTGACTCCCATCCCAGACAATATAGATGTGCTGCAAATGGACCGTGTCCCTGATCGCATAAAGAGCTTTTACCGAGTCAACAACATCCGGAAATTCCGCTACGACAGGCCCTTCCATAAAGGCCCAAAGGACAAGGAGAATGAATTTAAGGTAGAAGTAGTGAATAAGCCATGTTTAAGTGTTAAGCTCTTCAAGGTGAATACTGTCTTGGTATTTTATGCAGATACAGCCTTTCAAGTAATCCTGATTTGATGGCCAAAGATACTATAGTAACTCAAATAACAAGTAGCTACTGAGTGCAATGTTTACACACCTGACCTAATTAAAGCATTGTCCAGTTAAAGATGAGTTATTTTAGTGCCAGGAGAAATGCATTTTGAAGGAAGGATGGGGTTTTTTGTTTGGCTGCAATTTTTTTTCTTACTGCCATATATGTCCACAATGTCATCTTGGTTCCCATGACAGAACTGGTGGTCAACCTTTAAAAACTAATAGAAATGTTGAATGTGCTGCTTTAGAGCATACTGAATTCTGGGTTTGTTGTTCAAGTGACTTTCAGCATGACATTCTGCAAAGTAAGTTAATGCTTGGGACGTTAATATATTCTTTTCTGAACTTTAGCCCCTTAGCACCTGTAGTAAGAGTACAGATGATGTGACTGTGAGTCACTGTGTACCTCACATCCTCAATTACTCTTTGCAGAGCTTGTGGATTGAACGTACCACTCTGACCCTGACTCACAGTTTGCCTGGGATCTCTCGTTGGTTTGAAGTGGAGAGAAGAGAACTGGTAACATTCATAGTTCCTGTAACTGGGGTTTGAAATCATGAGTTACTGAGGACATGGAATAGGCAACTTAAATCTTGCAGTGTAAAATGATGAAGTTTACCAATGATTAAGTATGTCCGTTTTCCACCACCGAGTCTAAATAATTGCTGAATGTAAGCAGGGGAATTATGTGAGGGAACATGACAGTATAATGGAGACAGTGCCAAAAAGATGGAATAATTGCATTGTTGCCATGTCTTCAGTATACAGAAAGAAGTTATCGCAACTCAGTGACCTGAAATACAGCATTGCCAACAGTAAAGTTTGTTAATGTAGCTGATTTTCTACAAAGCAGTAAAAACTGAGAGATCACTGAACAATCCTAGAGTATCATTTCCTTACAAGGAAGATAATAAATCTCAGTGAAGTGTCCATGGAATTAAAGTATATTTTATTGCCTTTGAGGTTGAAGTAAGTCCTTTGGAAAATGCCATTCAAGTGGTTGAGAACAAAAACCAGGAGCTGAGAACACTGATAAGCCAGTACCAGCATAAACAAATGCATGGTAACATTAATCTTCTCAGCATGTGTCTGAATGGAGTGATTGATGCAGCTGTTAATGGGGGAATTGCACGATACCAGGAGGTAAGACAGGCTCTGCTTCTGAATTTAGTATCACCTTTTTTCAATTTTATTTCCATTTCTATTTCAAAGAGAGTATGACTTAATAAGATAAGAAATTTTCATGCGCGTTATCTAGATGTGAGGTTAAAACCCCTACTTGGTTATTCTGCATCAGTGCTTGCCTAGCCACATGTCAACAGGAGGATCGAAAGCTGGAGTCGGGATATCGCATTGAAGTAGGTACAGTTGGCAGTCGGGTTTCTCAAGAATGAAACTTGGCTTACCTGGAAATCCTCAATTGGCAAGTAAAAGAGTGAAACAGATTTTTTTATACTGCTTACATTATAAATCCATTTTGCAATAGAGGCAGTGGGACTCATGGTAATTGAGACTGACTGGGCCTGTAATCAGGGAAAGGCACTAATTCGTGCTACTCAACCATTATCTTTGCTAGCCTAATTTCAGACTCATTGTAACCCTAAAATCATCTTATATGCAGTATGTTATCTGTCATAATCTTTGGCAAGCTGTTACTTAAACTCCACATTGCAAAAGGTAAGTCTAGGGTGAAATACTGAAGAATGGCATCAGCAGTCCAGGGGTGTGGGACACATCTTCCCTACAGAGCTGTGAAGAGAATGCTCTTCATGCTTTACATTAGTTATCACTTTACTCGCTTAATTCCTTTAACTTTAGGCACTTACGTGGATGAAACTATATAAAATTCAAATAACTGGATGATACAAGGCTTAGTGGTATTGCTCATCACTATCGTATGGGGAAACTTGGTGGGATTCATGATTCAACAGAATCATCTAGGTTACTAAAACTGTATTGTAGCTTTACCTGGATCCTAGAGTGCTAAATGTAATAAAATTGAGCTGCTGCCTTTAGCTTAATATATTTAGTTTTCCAAAGATTTTTGAACCTTTTCCTCTCATCCTTTGACACCAGTTACAATGAAATATCTTCCAGTAAGCAGAAGGCTTTTTTTTTTTTTTCTTTTCCTGTAGGCCTTTTTTGATAAAGATTATATCACAAAGCACCCTGGAGATGCAGAGAAGATCACACAGCTCAAGGAACTCATGCAGGAACAGGTACTTTTTTCAGATGCAAAAGGACATTGCTACAGTGTCTGGATTCATCAGCAGTCAGTCTAAACGTATTAGGTCCAACTGATCCATTCAGAAGCAAAGAATTTTGGTACAGAAGACCTAAAGTACATTTAAACAAAAAACAGGGGGGAGACAGCCAATGAGTTTATGAACAGGCCATTCACCTTATGGGACATGAGGTGAAACTCAGCTGAAAGTACATTAATTTTGTTGTCTCTGTTTATTATCCAGTAGACATCTTGCCACATTTCAAGTCTGCCATTCATTTTTGACATTTTGAATTATGTCCTCCCAGAAAACTTCAAAGATAATCAGAGACAGGACAGGTCAGGCTTGGGACTAAACTGGCAGAGCTACATGGGAAAACTTAATGCCTATTTATATTATCTGCAGTTTTATTTTTCCATGAAACATCTTGATAGATAAAGCTAGCTGGATGCTTTGATGGGAGTGAAATCAGCAAATCACATCCCTCTTAACTGAAAGTTTGGCAAGATATACTCCATTAAACAATGTGTCCAAGTCTGAGCAGAGCTACTAGGCCTGTTTCTTCAACAAATCACTTAACTGCATTTCAGATTTCCCATCTGTAAAATAAAGATAGTGGTTATCTCCCTTCAATCCTCAAGAGAATGTTTGAAGATTAATTAGTCATTGTTTGTACAGACTTTGGATCGTGTAGGGAATTATATACATCTTAAGCCTGCTATCATTACTATTTTCTTTCATCTGAGAGCTTATATAATCTCATTCAATCACTAATATATATGTTTGACATTTGAAAAAGTGACCTTTAAAAATAAATAATGAGCAAAGAAAGAGTGACTATGCATGCCACACTGCCACTGTTCGGCTGCATTATCAGAAACTCCTTTTAGTAATGTCTGTTGGCAATTTTGACCCCTTCTTTGACACTGGGTGGAAGGAATTTTGTCAAAACGCATTATCTGTGTGAGGATGTAATGCTGTTCACTCTGGAGAAGAGAATCAATCTGGTAATTTTTTACAGTTATCTCTTAACAAAAGTAATCCAACGTGACATAAATGTACTTGTCTCACACTTAAAAGTACTTGTTAAAGTACTATGAATTTGCCAGGTCTCCTAGGCTTTTTTAATTATCAGCAGCCTTGTAAATGAACTGTGGCATATTTTACAGTACTTTCTTGCACACTGACAGAACTGCAGGACAGGCTTCTATTCTGTCTCTTAGACACGATTTTAGTTAGGTTTGTGATGTTATGTTTTCTTTTTAACAGGTACATGTCTTAGGAGTGGGTCTGGCAGTCCATGAGAAATTTGTACACCCAGAAATGCGTCCCCTGCATAAGAAACTGATAGACCAATTCCAGATGATGCGATCCAGTCTGTACCATGTAAGCTGACAGTCATTTTTCCATTTTGAATTTTTCAGAGTTATGATTAAACTTCTATCAGTTGCAGTAAGGTTCACAAAAGATCTGGGCTGATACAACATTGATTGAATCTACTGGATTGCCAAATTACCAAAAGAATTCTTGATTTTTGTGCAAGAAGGAAGTCCTAGTAAATATGTTAACTTAGCCTTTAATTTAAACTAGAATTAATATTTGTATGTTCTTTGTTGTTATCACAAAACAATTGTAAAGCTTAATTTTCAGTTACTGTCTTACATAGCAGAAAATTATGTAAAACAGAGGAAGAAAGATTAACAGAAATTGTTAGGTATTGAGCTCTTTGAAAGAACTGCCGTAATTTGAAGTAGCATGACATGGATTAGGTCCTCCAGAAGTGTTTTTATATAAACAGTGACAGAAATTCCTGTTAGTTACTTTAGGCATCCAACTCTGGTGATGAGGACATGCACTATTATGGGTCTATAGTTCCTATACAGTCAACGGAACTGCCTCCAGAGCATGGTTCACACCACCCGTTATATACCAGAAGTACAAATATCATCCTCTAGGAATCATGTCTTTCCTTCTATATGTGCACTGCTGTACATTGGTATTCTGAGACAATTATACTTGAGACATCTTTGCCAGGTGGGTCTCAGAAATTTGCAGTGCATTCTCCTATTCCTGGTATAGTGAAATCTTTATGGATACCTAGACACTATCTTGAACATTACCACAACCAAACTAAAGGATATCTTTCTATAATGTAAAAGAATTATTTGAAATATGTGTGTTAGCACTTCTAACTTGAAGGCTTTTTCCTCCATATTTAGGAGTGAACACTATGCAAGGATGGCCAGAAGTAACAGCACCAGAATTTTAAAATATGGCCTTCCTTTTTTAAAGCACATGAGATCCATACAGGTCGCAGTTGCCAGTTTGAGTTCACTGCCTTTCCTGAAAGTTTGGACAAGATCTGTATTTTTGAGTCTCTTTTTTGAAAAATGTAGGTGGCTGTAATTTGGGCCACACTATGCGTCTATTTTCCACCCAATTTCCTGAAATAGTGGCTAGAAAATGTCATTGGAAATAAGCAGGGAATGGGGTTGTAAAGCACTGAAGCTCTTTATCCTGTGGAAATGCAGGATAACTGTAGAGAACATTGAATCAGATCAGGATTTTCCTGAGAAGAAAGCTTGTAATCTTCTGTGACCAATTTAGCTAAAGTATGTTGCCTTTGCAGGAGTTACCTGGTTTGGATAAGCTGAGTCCAGCCTGTTCTGGCACTAGTACACCACGCAGCAATGTTCTGGTTTCGCATGGACCTATGAGCCCAGAGAGCATAAAGCTGATGCATCGACACAGGTACCCTATTTTTTTCTACCGAAATATCTAGGATGTCTGCACACTGTGGCATTAAGATTCAAGGATCTAAGAAGTGGTTAACAGTACTGTAAGAGGAGCAGGATGAGTTCTGGCAGAGAGCCTTTTGTCTTCATTCAGTGCTAATTATTAAAGTTTGAGGATTGGAATCAAAAAGTTGAGAAAACCAATTTGCAGCAAATGCTGAACACCTCCAGGTGTTACTCCATCACTTTACTTGCTGTAGAGGCAGAAACACACATCTGCCACTCAGATCTCCATATTCAATCTGACTTTGGAGGTTCCAACTTCTCCTACTTCTCTTATGCAAACAGCAAATAAATGGGTCCTTATCTACCATCAAAGGAAAGTTTTATTGCTTGTTGTAGAACCCAACTCAATATGGACTCATTTTTAAGGATCAAAAAAAAAAAAAATGTTCACATCATTGTTTTTTATAATTCTGATCAAATCAGATCCCAGATATAAGAAAGGCTGCCAAGGTGTTTTGATCAGAATACCAAAACATGGCTGAGCCTTCACAGTAACATCTGAAAATGTGGATGCTTATTCAAACTGAATACCCATCTATAAAAACTAAGATCATGATTGAGGATAAAAATTGTGATTTTCAGGGCTAAACAGTGGTTTTGTATCCAGCTAGAATTGCTTATTTGAAACTGTACATATCCATGCCAGTATGAAAAACAGTGACAGAAATGTCACTGAAGTTATGAAATTTTAACTGTCCTTCCGTGTTTATTTCTCTTGGTGGGTCTACATAGCTCAGCTGTTTTTAAAGCCCGGCATGAAAAGCTGTGGAAGCTTGGTCTTGAGTATGTGAGTCCAGGATGGTGACATTCTCTTTACTATTAAAACTGAGTAGCTCTTATACTACTTCAGTGGCTTCGCAGTTGACAGTTGGTGTCTGGGTGATAACATCTTTTGCTCAAAATTTCTCACTTTGTAAAGCCTTTTTTAGTTCTTAGGGCAAACTAGGGAGATTCTATAGTGTACAAAATATCTATTTGTGTATGTGATTCAGAGTGACAAAATAAAAATTAATTTTGAGTGAGATCAGCATGCAGCCTGCACACCAGCTGGACTGTATCAATTTACTGTCAGCTACAAAGTTGCCTTGAACTGTAAGGCTGAGGCCCAACAGATGCAATAAGGAAAACCCTATTTTGACCTGTGTGTCTCATGCTTGGCTTCCTTTGGAATGTTTTTTTTTAAGCTGCTCCCACTCATCATACTTCAGCGTTAAAAATGAGAATGGGTTCAGAATGTTCTGTTATAAACAAAACAAATAGGCACCCAGTGTCATGATGTGATGTTAACCCGGCTTTGGATTCTGAAATTCTACATCCTACATACTAAGTCGTCTTACATGTAACCTTATTGTCACTTGTTTCATATTTACTCACAGTTATGGATTTGTTTAAGCTTATTTGGCCTGATTTTTCAAAAGTGTTTGACATCTAGAGGTGACCTAAAGCAGTAGGTAACTGTAGGTACTTACTAGTGTGGCAAAAATCAGGCTTCACAAATTAAAACACAGGTTCAAAAAATAATTATGCCCCTGTTCTGTCTCTGGTTTTTTTTTCCAGCCCACTGAACTTGCTTGGTTCAGTCCGACACTCATCGTCCTCTCTGTCGTCCCACACCTCCAGTGAAACAGGAAACCTGGTTATCCTAACAGACAGTTCTGTCGGGGAGACTGCTGAGGATATGTACCACATGCAGGTACAGCTCTAGCACAGCCAGGAGCAGTTGTTAGAAACAGCACTGAACGTGCTCTGGAGGGTTATGTTTAGGAGGAGTACACTTTACCTAAGCACGTGCTTGGATCTGTCCTGTGGTATTTTTCTCAAAGAACCGAATAGGTAGAATCTAACATCGTTCAAGAAAGATGACAGAGTAATTCAGCTAGGTTCACTTTGGGAAGAATCTTCTGTATTTGTACAGTGAAAGTTGACACTGTGGTCCAAGATCATACTTTTGGTTTCAGAAAGTGAGATTTTAGTTGGCACGTTACTTATCTGACCTGTTCAACATATGCAGTTAGTATGGCTCTTGGTTTGTGGGACGGTGAAATCACTCCCACAGTCCTGAGTGGACGTTAATAGTGGCCTGCACTGAAGCTGTTTCCTAGACAGAGGCTACACTGAGTGATCTGAGACAGGTAAATATCTAATGCACTGACCTGCTCAGTTCTCTCTTGATGATTTCTCTGCCTCCTGCAGCTTGTTTACCCTAACTCCAGGTACCAAGGCTCAGTCACCAACCTCTCTGTTTTATCCTCGTCCCAGGCTAGCCCTTCCACCTCAAGCCTGAGCTCTACTCATTCGGCACCATCCCAGATGATTAACTCTGCCCCTTCCAGTGCTCGAGGTAAGAATGGATGGGCCCAAATGAAGGGTTAACTGGACCTGCAGGCATCCCCTAAACTGGCAACCCTGTTGACTTATTGGTGAAAGATCACCTACACTGAAATATACCACTGTTTCTCTTTTGGAGCTGTAAATGCCTCTTCAAAAATTATTTATTAAAAAATGTTTTTCATTCTCCAGAAATTGATTTAATCATTTTTTCCAGCAGTATTTGGAATGTATCTCTAACACATGCTGGTTTCAGGCAGTTGAATTTCATAATGATTTCCATTGTTCTGCCACAAAATTGTGGCAGGCAATCTAGAGGGAAACAAGAATAGTCTTTGGTACAGTACTTAAGAGAGAGATCATGAAGACAAAGGCAAAAAAATCATTTTACACATTTAGTGAAATTATGGCACAAAAAAGAACTTGAGGCAGTTTAGCAGAAATGTATGTATACAAAAGCAGATGTGTACAATGAATGTTGAAAGGTATGAATTTTAAGTACTAGAGCTAAAGAAGGGCTTCCCTGATGGGAAATTCTTGAAGAAAGGAAAAATGTAAAAACAGACTCTAAGGGTACTTATATTGCCTTTGCTGTTACAGTAGCTGGTCTTGATACTGCTAATCATTTTCTTCCCAAGCCTCAGAGCTGAAGTAAAACCGCTCCATGCAATCTCCTGACTTTGGTGACTTTATTAAAGTTGTTTTTGTTTTTTTTCCCCTCTCATTTTGGATTCTCCATTGCAGGTTCACAAATTTCTACACTGCTTTTCACAGGCATCTGAAGGAGGTGTCCAGGATATAGTCAGAGATAGAAGCTGATAATTTAATTCTTAGCCTGTTTTCCCATACAGGGGAACTCTATGTCTCCTTATGGACAGAGAATACAGAGAAGGGCCCTTTCCCTTGGGCCAGCTTGGGGGTTTTTTTGCTCAATCTTGCACTAAAATCTTAATTGACTGGCTGTTGTTATGACACAGATGCATCAAAGTGATTTACATGAAGGATCAGATGGAGCAGGAAGGTGAGAAGTGGACATCTTCAAATAAAGGCAAATAGCTTCACTTATTACACCAAGGGCTGGAAGGAAGATAATGACAATTCAAATAGTAAAGTAACCAGATGAAACTAGCATAATGGGAAAGGGAAGATGGAACTAAGTACAGGGCTGTCATGTCAGGAAGACATCCTTAAATGGATTTGCCTCAGCTGGCATGTGAGGTCTGAATCTTTTGGGGGATCTGAGGGGTTTTGGTGCTCATAGTCTTTCAGGCTATTTTCCACTTTAAAAGTCCAGTGCTTGCAGTGACAGGCTGTGACACTCTTTCTGAGCTTGATGACTTCACAGCATCACCAACTTCCCTCTTTACTGTATTCTTCGCTGTTGCTTAGAAACCAAAGTGATAAATGCCACAAAGGGTATAGTGCTGATGGATGAGCCAACAGCACCTCCCAGAGATGAGAACTAGACAGTGTAAATGACCAGAAATGAGGAAACAGTAAGAGAAGTAATGATTTTGAAAAATACTTCAATATATATATCTATTTTATTCTTCACTCTTAGTAACACGTTTTGACAGCCTATGATACAACATTTCTTCTCTGCTAGTTTTGTTCACTTTTAAGTTAGGTGACCACAGCATTCAGACATTACCCGCTGATTATGGGATTTCACTTCTAGTAAAGTCCCAGGTGCTCTCTGTGTTTCACAGTGTGCAAGTCACAGTTCTGGTTATTACAACACCGCTGTCTGGAATGGAGTTGTTTGTAATGAGAAAAGCCCTTACATTTAAGTTCCACTGTGGTAATACAGCTTTGTTTTTCTCCTTGGTGATTTTTCTTTTTGTTTTGTTTTTTAATTGGGTGAATTTGATGCTTGTGAAAATGAGAGACCAGTATCACTGGCTGGAGCAAGGTACTTCACAAACATTACATGTGCAGCTCTGCCAATGCCCCTTTTTCCTTTTTTTTTTTTTTTTTTTGGTATTTATTTATATTCTTTTTAATTTAGTGCTGGTGAAAGGTGCTGGATTGACAACACTGGAGGCTGAAGCCCTCTATTTATCCACAGAACAGATACAGCATGGGCGGCAGCCATGCAAGCTTCCCCACGCTGCCCCCACCAATGTGCCTCATCTCTGTCCTGGAGGGACCACCTCTAGAGGTGAGAGGATAGTTCAGTCACCATGACCCATCCAATCCCTGGCCTTTCTGCTGAGACTGCCAACAAAGCTACGATAGTCACGATGCTGCAGTTAACCACTTTTCAGATGGGAAGTATATGAAGGCCAACAATTCATTTCGTACACACCACCTAAATTTATCAACTTAGCATCTTTGTCACCTGTGGCTTTAACCTGAGCATTGTTATCTAGGATTTCTAGGTTTTTGTCAGATGTTTAAATGCTTCTCTTATGGATTCAAACATTAATGTAGAGGTGAAAAACCACTATCCCGTTATCCAGATACTTATACTACCTTCTCTGTTTAACTGCAGAGTCCTTTCTGGAGCTCAGCTACTAGCACTGTTCTGAAGAGGCAGGTATCTTTATAACATAGATTAGTTCCATTAGTGACCAAGGGAAGCCATGGCCATTTGTATCAGCAGGAATTTTAAATCATGCTTGCAGTTCTCCACTTCCAAAAAATTACCCTTTCATTGATGTTTAAAACAGCAACACAAGCAAATTATTTGGCTTGTCCAAAGAAAACAATAATGCCTTTAATCCAAAAAAATTTTTAAAGGATAGTCAGTAAAAAAGACAGTAAATTAATCATTTGATTCTATCACTGAACAGCACATTAAAGCAGCAAACCTAACACTAGTTACAATATACACAAGTTAGAGCAAAAGCCTTAAATAGAATTGTAATCAGAATACAGTAAGAATTTTCTAACTCTGTGCTAACGATAAAGACATTACTGGTTACTCTATTTTTCAGGTTAACAAGCATGCATCTTTCAGTTTTCACCTGGCTTGACCATTGTGTAGCTTCTTCCCTATCAAGAAAGCAACACTGTTGTTGTATGGAGGATCACTAAGAAATTCAGAGTTTGTTTTGGCTTCATTTGAGGTGACTCATGAGGCACTGCTCTAACCTTACTTGAGTTAAAAGATTATGTAAGCTGATGTTCGTTAAGCAGAAACTGTAACACAAAAAGGCCTGGAAAGAGCTAGGAGCGGCTTAGGTTTTTTTCAGTGATTTCATACAAAATATGGTTGGGACTCCTCCATGCACTCTAAAAGTAACTCCCACTTGACACTTGATGACTCACCTCTTAAGGCAGCCCTACTGCTTCCTCAACACAGGCCCCTTTTTAAGGTGTAGAAAATGAGTCCTGGTGTCTTATTCAGCACTTTGCAAGAACCTATATACTTACATTAAAAACTTCCTTCTTAAAGCAAAAAAGTTATGATTTGGTTCAGGAGCAAACTGTTTTCATAACAGTAATGAAAATCATGAATCAGGAGAGAAGATTCATTGTTTGGAATTTAACTACATTAATTTTCAGTTTCATTCCTTAAAATTAGTACTTATGACAAGCGGATTAACATTCTCATAATTAAAAAAGAAAAACTACCTCTGGCTTCAGCGTAGGTTTTCCTTTCTCATTAATAGTACATAGAGTGCTGCACACATCAAGTGTACCAAGCTACAAGCTAAAAGGAATAAGCCCTGATACATGCTGCAGCATTTTTTAGGGCCACTGGCTGCTCTGGAAGCTTTTTAAAGCTCTTTTTCACTTTGCCAGTCCCTGAAAGGAGCCATGGTGATTGTGCTCTCTATCTGTCCAAAGAAGCAGGTCTGATTATTAATAAAAGCTGCAGTTATGGCCACTCTTCTTGTGGCCCACAACTCAGAAGTATCAGTACTTAATTTTGTTTGCAGACTGGACACTTGGCATAATCTGTTACAGTCTTTATAGCCATAGTTCTTTACAAATTTAGGGTACCAAACAGAAGAGCTGTTTTGTAAACTAGACTCTGCCACCATATTTAGCGCATGTGGGATTTTTCAGGTCATGCAGTGCAAGGTCTGTGGAAACTATAATCCCATATGAACTGATGGCACACAGAGGTGGTTTGCATCTTGGATATAAAAGAACAAGGATGACAAGATAAATAAAAGGGAAAAGTTTACAGTCTAGGTTGTGCTGTGATGCAGTTCTGGGCACGCCTAAAAGTTCAGCATCCTTACGTTTGTCATGCAGAAACAGGACTATCTGTGATGTGTGAGTAAAAGAGACTCAGCATAAAGCGTTAACACTGTGTTTTCCAAGCTGATGTTGTATATAAGAGCAAATAATGTTGTCTAATTATGTTTCTGTTTTATGTCTGGGGAGAAAATGAGTTCGGAACTAGAATGCAGATACTCTGCGGCTGTTCATGTCGGGTTTGGGGTGTAGATTAATCTGGGATCTGCCACCCCGATGGAATTGTTGCAATTGTAGGACCTTATCCTCCTGCATTCTGCTGGACACATTGTTCCTTCCACTGTGTGCTGAATATCAGTCCCAAAAACTGCATGTTTGCTTTTGCTGGGGTAAAAGCTGCATTAACCAGCACCAATGCCTTTGCTCATACGTTGGAGTGCTGTTCAGGTAATGTGTGTGGTTGTGGAAAGTCTGCAAAAGGGGGCATGTATTCCCCAAAAGCCGGCATGGCTCTGTAATGCGCTGTGTGCTGCCATCTGTTAAGTGCGTGTTTGTGACGCAATGAAATAATCAGTGCAAATTAAAGCTCACTCCAGCAGCTTCAGAACATCAATTCCTGCCTAATATTGTGCATCCCAAGGGATGCGTGTATCAGTAGTATCAGACTTTAGGAAGTCATTAATGAGAATCATTCTTCTGGCAAATCCATTGTCAGCTGTTGCATATCAGAAGGCATATTGTTATGTGGCACTCATCTTGAAGGACATGAGTCCCAAATAATTCCATGCACCAGGAAGCTGTTTACATTAAATACCCCAATATCTTAAATGACAACTATACAGATAACTAATAGTTGAGTGAAGCATATTCCTACTATATAACTCTAAGCATTGGTAAATTTTCTGTTGTCATAAAATGGGTCAGTATACCAACACACTCAGTAGTAATCATACACTGCCCAGCAGGATTATAAGCAAAGTGCCACCCACATTTATAGAAAATTCTGTTTATTATTGGGTTTTGGTTTGCTTTAACAAAGATGAAGCTAACCAAGGTATCACCAACTAAATGGCAACACCTCAGACTATCTCTACCAGAACTGAGGAATGAAGTAGCTTCCCATAGCTTCCTGCTTTAACTGAATGGTGTATATTAAGCTTTTATCCCTTTCTTCCCCAGTCAGTCCTAAAATGCACAATTTTATGGCATTTCTATAACTCTACAATACTTTATGGGGCAAGGGAGCGTTAGGCACCATACAGCACAGCTGCAGCTAATTCCACACAGATGCCCACTTTTTTTTGTTTGAAGAGGAAGCACTTTGCAACATACAACTAGGGATGCATACATCTTATACACCTTACATAGTTATGTCCTTAATTGTATATAACAAGCCAGTTCTTATTTCATCCTATGCACCCCACCAACAGTTAGCTGCTTAGTGGGCTCAGCACCATGTTTTCTTGAGTCCTGTAAGATCATCCGTCTGAACAAATTGCAAAGGAGGACTAGATCACTGGGCATGCGGAGACATGGCTGTTGTTTGTCATGTGTACGTGATTATTCTCACTTGTTTACAGGCTCTCCCTCTCTACCAGATAAGTACCGGCACTCTCGGGAGATGATGATGTTGCTGCCAACCCATCGGGACCGACCTAGCAGTGCCATGTATCCCACAGCTATCATGGAAAATGGACAGGTAGCAGATCTAATTTCGTTTATGTCAGTTCAACCACCTGAAATGGTAACTTTATTTTTACTATTTTTGACCACCTTAAAGCTTCACATTTTATTTTTGGAAAGCACAGCAACTTACTTAGGATCATTTTCAGAGGCAACACAGAACTTCTCATATTAATCGCCCCCTAGAGCCACCCACTTTGATAGTCAAGTGATACAAATTGTAATGACTGTTAAAATTGCAGATATGCCCTGTGAAAATGGACTCTTACTTCCCAACTTTATCGCGTGAGCCCTGGTCTACTGCAAGTAGTCATACCATTTCATTTTTTCATTTTTCTAGAACCATAGCCATCCTGCATTCTAGCCTCAAAGTTGATTCTAAATAGCTTTATGGTGATTTCCAGAGGTATCAAAAACCACGAGAGGCTGAAGTAATAATATACTGATACAGGGTCTCCAAACAAATCTGTACCCATATCTACTACTTTCTCTGGACAAATTGAAAAATTCAGGGTGTGCCTACATGTAAGCATTTTAATCTGGCCCTGGCATCCGTTTGAAGGGAATCTCCTGATCGTGCCCACTTATTGCACATCAGTTCACATAAGGTAACTGTCTCGGAGCATGCAAACTCAATTCTTTCAAATGAAACCAAAGCAAAAGGTAAACTCCAGAAGGGCACATGATGCAGTCGAGCTGATAATGGGCAAAAGACCAGGCTAAAGCTAGTTTGAAATAACTCCTCCAGAGAACACAAGCAGCATGAATTGTGGGTCCTCAGCACTGTTACACTCTAGAGATCCACTAGTATTGCACTGCAGTACTTGCTAATGTAGATGCAGCCTAAGGTTCCCATTAATTTTTTTAGTTAAAAAACTTTCTTTGCTTAAAAAAAAATGAACAGAAAGCCCTAGGGTTCTGCACCAGCTGGTCTGTTGTTTTTTTTTTTAACTTTACTTTGCTAACTTTCTTCTCCCTTAGCCTCCAAATTTCCAGCGCGCCTTGATCCAGCAAATGATTGGGCCATGCAAACCTTGCAGTGATCCCAACCTGTCTGTAGCTGAGAAAGGTACTCTTTTTTCCTTGTTAGCATGCATGCTTTCTAAAATATTATTACTCTGGTCATGCTACAGCAAGTAACGAATAGGCTTCTATTTCCTGGCAGAGTGCATTTTCTTACATTTTTTTTAATTAACAGTTTAATTAACTGGGCTTTCTGCCAACCTATAGTCATTTTCGTTCATTCACAGAAGGGTGGAGTTACACAAACCTCTTTATTTCAGAAAGCTTTCTGAGTTTAGCATTTTGTTATTGAAACAAATCCTGCAGCCTTTATCAAGAAGAACATCCAAAGCAGCAAATGAGAAGTTACATGAAAGAAGAGTGCAAGCTTTCGACCATATTTTTAAATAATGAGATATACTGCTTTTTTTAATACGCATTTGTTGCTCAAAATATTAACATTTCTCGTAATCCCTCTCTGAGGTAGTTTTATATTTATTTAAGTTTATCATTAGGAATGTATGCTTTTTTAACTCATTGCTTTGAAAAAAATAGGCAGAGCCCCTGCAGAAAAAAAACGTGAAAGAAGAGAAAGAGTTTGGTGTAAAGAAAAGTAGGAGTTTGTGAAAGGGGTGCCATGGACAAAGCAATGGGCTCAAAAAATTATCTGAAAGGCAGCATTCTGAAAAAGCAGAAGAGGGCAAAATTCATGAATCAAAATCTGAGACAAGGAGGCTGCCTAAACAAGCAACAATCATGTGTATGGCTGGGAAAAATGGTATCTTAAAAGATTTTTATGGCCAGGAAAGACCATCGCAACTCTCTAGTCTGACCTACATAATGCATTCCATTAGACTTTTATCAGTATTTTTGTTTCAGTAACTGTGCCCGAAATAAATTGTATCTTTTTGAAAAAAATCCAGATTTTAGAATTTCTAATAAATCAGAATCCACTGCTTTAACAATGTGCCAGCCTTACAGAGCAGTCCAGATTGAAACCAAAAGCCAATGTACAGTTCTGAACAAATGGCAGAATGATGACAGTAACGAATGATGACAACAGAGAGTTAAGACTAGGGGGTGAGGGATCAAGACATCCATCTTAGCCGTGTTAGTTTGAACTGAACATATGACAGAGGTAGTGAGATCTTTATACTGGACAGGAGGAAGATCTGGAAAAGGAAGGTAGATAAATATTTATTACCTGTCTAGGAAATGTGCTCGAATTTGTATTTGTAGGTGATATTATGCAAGAGTATAGTATACAGTGCGAAGAGAAGGAATCAAAGACAGAATCCCTTCCAGAGTCCCAAAGAAGCCATAAAGACACAGATGATGTGCAGCAATTGTTTTTAGGGGATGGTGTGATGGGAATCCCAGCTCTTCAGCCAGGTTGCTAGGATAAATGCAGTTACAGGCATTTTTTGCAGCCCTTGAACCCTCATCATTCTTTTAATTTAAGTCAGGATGCCATCTGCCTTCGTTTTTGTTAACAGTCATGCCCCATGAATTTACCCACCCCCTTCCTTGCTGTGTCAGAAGCTCTGCTCAGTAATTCTCATTGACAGCAGGGTGACGTCAGTTGCCCAGAGCAGAACGTTTCAAATGCAGCTTCCCTGCTAATTAAACTTGGCCACCAAGCCACTGAACACTGTTATGGAGAGAGAGATGTGCTAGGACAGAGCACCAGGAGCTCCCTGGTTAGGTTCCTCCCTGAAGTGTTTTGGATAAAACACTGGTTTTAACAGGCAGCAGCCACTCTCCAAAATCATCTGACCGGATGATTTCCAGCACTCATAAATACTTAAAAGGCCATGAATGAGGGAACACTGAGGAAGTATAAATGGATTATGCCCTGGGGTACCATATTCTCTTCTTCACATTCTTCTACTGCATCTCAGTGTTTTAAAAAAAAAACAAAACAAACAAACAAACAAAAAAACAAAAAAAACCCCACAAGCACAACAATCATTTTACAGGCCAAGCAAATCGGGTTTTGTTCTGTCCTTCTCACTTGATGCTGGTATATTGCAGGAAGGACTAGTGAGGCTGGCATCATTATGCATCTTGTCCCTCTGTTTTAGCCTTTTGACACCAATTGCAGTAGTGCAAATTAGAGCACTCTGGCACGTGTATAGGGGTGCTCAGAAAATTCATCTGAAGCCACATTACTTGTGTTGAGAGATGTAGCCCTTAGTTTGAACCTGTTCTCTGTCAAGATACTTTATGTCTTCTTTGTATGCCTTACTCAGTTTGAGGGTCTCTCTTTAAAAACATTTACTTCTATATTTTTGTAGATTTTGTTCTGTCTTATGAAGCTGTTACTTTGTGAGCTTTTTTACTTTAGGGAATTTAGGTCTTGAGGAGCCTGTGTTCATGCTAACTCATGAACTAAGGAGAAAAAAAAAAAAAAACAAACCAAAGAAACCTTTCAAAGTCATTTTAGAAAAGAAATGCACCAAAAATGGCTGCTGGCATTTTAATTAAGGAGAAATCCTCTTCAGATGTCAAACTCCATGTTTATTTCTCCAGGCTTCCATTTTCCAAACTGAAGATGGAACCAGCTGTTTGTATCTCAGTTTTCTTTGGTAGGCTCATTGAATTACTTTGTTCTCCTTTTTTTCTTTTCTTTGCTAATCTGAAGAAATTGCTTATTTGTTTTTAAATAAACATACAATTATTGCATGTCTGTCTTCTCAGAATAAATCAAGTCTTACAGTGTGTTTGGAAGAAAGGAAGGTGCATTTTAAATAATGTTTAATAATGACCGAATTCTCAAGATCTTGAAAAATGTTCATGTTAGAAAGAAGCAGCTTTTAGTTCTATGAAAAAACAAATTCATGAAGGTCATACTCAGTATCTTCTATATGAGGAAAGCCTTCCTCTCTCTATGCTTCCTGATTAACGAAGACTTGATCTCTTCAGGTGATTTTGTAATACAAGGAGTCCAAACGGCTGTCTTTAAATATTTTGTGCTCAAAATTCTTGATCAACTCTGTAACCTAGTAAATCGGGGCTTTAAAGTCATGATTTCTTTTGTAAGAGATTTAGGTGTGATTTCCTTCATACCCTTTATTCAGTCTTCACTTAGCCACTGTAGTGCAGCAAGAGGCTTTCATGTGTTTCATGAGGGTTCTGCCACACATTCCCTTCTGCTCTGTCATCATTTACTGCCAAGCAGAACAGCTCACAACTGAGATCTAGCTGCTGTTCCATCAGTGAGATTTCATTTTTACTTCCTCACTGGTTTGCAGAAAAAAAAAAAAAAACACTAGCAGAGTTCTGCTGCTCTTCAAATCTGCTAGAAACGAGCTAAGGGGGTCATGGAGGGGAGATGGGCAAACTAACACTGTGATCACCTAACTAACTCTCGCTTCTGTAACAAAACAACCTATAAACTTAACACACTGTAGACTAGACAATGTCTTTGTATGCCTTCAATCCTACCATTCACCAAGTCCCTATAATCTGTCTCTTTACTGCTAAAGAGCACACCGGAAAGCCAGTCCTTCTGGCCCCACAAACTCCCCATTATGTTACCCAAGTTAAATCTGTTTCAATCCTTCAGCTGTGCCAGCAGCGCCCAGTAGCTGGAGCCTAGACAGCGGAACCAGAGAGGCCCTTCCATTCCTGTCTGCCCACGTTGGGAGCATCTTGGCCCCACCAGTGCCTCCCCGAAGCCTGCCCCATGGTAAGGAAATGCCCAGTAGGCTTGCTGCGTAATGCCTGCAGTCATGCACAGATAAATCTAGACCATCTGAAAGCTGACCTTAGCCTTTTTCCCCCCCTATAAAAACAATCAGAAACAAAACCCCAAAGTCTTTCCTGGTCTGCTAGGTTAGCACTGGACAAAGATTTCAAATTTTTTTTTTTTTTTCTTAAATCTTCAAATTTTTTGCGGTCCTTATAGTAATATGGACTTGCATCTATTTTGGGACTAGAATTAGGTATGTGAGTGTTGAAGCTTGGCCTGGCTTCTTGCCAATGACCACCTTCAGCAGTAATTTAAGGTTACAAAGCTATTAAATGAAACTTCAAATGTTCATTGTTTATGAGCCTGTTGCCTTGCCATGAGATCCTTGACAACAGGGTGGGTGGAAATCTATCACTGCACTTAACTTCTCATTAGCATTTTGTGTGTGTGACATGCACTCCACAGTATCTATCAGAAAGGAAGCCCTAAGTTGGAGTGGAGTTATCAGCATTTGGAGCTGCTACCTGGCATTAGAGTCTAAAATCCCAGCTCTTTTGCTGCAGTGAGGCAGCACAAATGTGTGTTTCTGATCCTTGTCTCCTTCCAGGACACTACTCACTGCACTTTGATGCCTTCCATCACCAGCTCAGTGATGCTCCTCCGGCACTGCCTGCACGAACATTGCGCAAGGTAAAAAGGAAGTGGCAGGAGAGCAGAGAGGCATGTAGAAGGAAAATAATAGGCTCCTGAAGGAATCCCCCTCGTCCACTCCCACCAAGCAGCTTTTGAATACGGAAACACTATTTTTAACATGCTAGTAACTTACACGTGAGAAAATCCACTGAAAGCTCATAGCCTATTCCAGAGTCGAATTCTATAGAAATAACTTCTGCATGTTGTAGGCCCTTCCATTTTCCTTCTTTGCATGATATGCTGTGATTTCAGGCACCCTGATTATCACCTCAGCTACTGTTTCTTTAACAGCTCTGGTGTTAAGTGCACTTGTCTGCCCACAAGAGGTACTTCCACACACATCAGTGAAGTCCACATATAAACAAATAATCACTGACATTTTGAACACAAATGGAACTGCACCATTGTTAACATGACTGTCAAAAGTTGAGATGCGGAACAACACACAAGATGCAGTGTTGCCTCTGTTTTCAATTTTAACTTGGTTTTGTTTTTCTCCAAACAGTCCCCTCTTCATCCTATCCCTGCATCACCTACCAGTCCGCAGTCTGGTCTAGATGGAAGTAACTCCACTTTATCCGGCAGTGCCAGCAGTGGTGTCTCTTCCTTGAGCGAGAGCAATTTTGGACATTCTTCTGAACCACCTCCTCGCACAGACACCATGGATTCTGTCCCCAGCCAGGCCTGGAACACTGATGAAGATCTGGAGACACCCTACCTCCCTGTCAGGTACAGTCTCTCTGAGCCTGATGTCCTAGAGTCGCTCAAATCCCAGCCATGCCGAAGCCACTCTGCTCCATCTGGAGTCATTCCTCAGGACACCATGGACCCTCCTGCTCTACCCCCCAAACCTTACCACTCCCGGCTGCCAAACATGGAGAACGAGGAGGGAATGATAATTGAAGATGATGACAAACACCGCCCATTGCATCGTAAAGTGTCCCAGCCAGTGAGTGGTGGAAAGGAAGAGCAGGCCAGGGTAGCATGGGAGCATGGCATCAGTGAGCAGTAGGGACAACTCCTGGCAAGCAGCTCACATAGTCATTCCTTCTACAAAGGAGAGATAAGGACTCGGAGAACAGCAAACCAATTTTCTACTGCCGCAAGTTTATGTCTGGAGCCCACAAAAGCAACTGGGCCAGCATGGGAGGTTGCTGCTTTCCTTTTTAATTTCTTTTTACACCTTTCTGTTACGTTTTTTAACTTTCTGTGCAGTGGACAGTTTGTTCCTTCTGCAGTTTCTTAACCACATCATATGGCACACAAGCCATAGAGACTTGCAGAAGCTGAAAAATACAATTTTAAGCAGAGGGGGGGGGAAAGGGGGGAATGTGGCAAGTTCATTTTGAAACTGCTTTCCTCCCAGTTCTGAGACGCACATGAGTAGAAGCAGTTGCACTAGGGACATATTTCTTTGCTGTACAGAAGTGAAAGCTCATTGCTGAAATCAGGGATTTTATGAACTGTCAGGCTTGAAGGTGCATGAGCTGCAGGCAGTGGAAAGATGGCAATTCTAAGAAGAAATTGGCTCTTTTGAGAGCAGGATTGTACATATCTGTGCAGTGATCTCCCTGCATTGGTTCATAGGTGCTGAGGCAATCTAACCAGTGCTGATGCACTGATTTCCAAGATATCATTTCCAACAAACTCTGCCTCCTCTGTTTTTTATGTACTGTTTGATTTCTTAAATTTTGCTTTCACTGGCTAAACCAACCTGCTTTCTCATTGGAATCATATGCTATTCATCTGCGCTACAGAATGAGAGGGGTTTAGTAGCCACTGGAGCTACAACCTAATTGTAGGCCTTTCCCATGCCCAACTTTGGGCAGGCTGTTGACACCAGCATTTCTATTCCAGTTTAAAAAATAAAACAAAAACAACCAAATTGAGTTTCTCATGCCACAGCTGGTTAATGACCCAGCCAGTAAAGAAAAGGTGGCTTAAATGCATCATATTCAACAATCCTTGCCTCAGGGCTGAACATCACAATCCTCACCAACTTCCATCACCCAGGAGCTGAGATTCATTCCCTGTTAACATAATGTCCTCAGTCCCTCCCAAAAACTCACTACAGCTGGTGTGTAGAAAGAATCTCCATTTCTCACAGCGGACAGAAAAAAACCAAGACTCAAGAAATGCCCAGTATATAGTGTACACCCTTGAGTCAGGGATCTTAAAGGCAACCTGTAAAGAAGAAATGTTTGTTTCCTCTTTTGCTTCTTTAGAATGTATAAAGAAGCTTTAAGAGCTTCTTCTCTCTCTTCTGGAAGGTTGATTTTTTTTTTTCTCCTCAAACAGCAATACAGCCTTTCCACCCACACACACCTTTTTTTTATTGAGAGGGTCCAGAAAGGGCTAAAGAACCAACCCAAAACCAAGAAACAGAACTATGCACAGGTGAAGACAGTACAAGTCTATGAACATAAAACAAGCCTTTTAATCAGTATTTGCTTAGTTCAGTACATGACAAACCAGGAGAAAAGTCTGTGGGTAACAGAGCCAAGATCTGTTCTTTGAAAAGAACACTAAGAAATCTTTTATTCCTATTTTCATATTTTTCAAGAAACTTTCAATCAAAAGAGTATCAAGTATTTAATGTTTTTAGATGAACAAGCAATGTTCCTTCCTCCTACCATGCCCCACACACATTTTAGCCTTCCCTATAACCCTTTCCACCTGCAGATTGCAAAGCACACTCCAGAGGATGGTAACAGACCACCCTCTTTCTTACCAATGAAAAATCTGAAGCACATTCAAATAAGACTTACCTCCACCAAATAAATTAGTGTCAGAAACAGGAATAGCACTCAACTTTCATATTGAATTCTTGCCCTAATCACTCAGTTTTTCATGCTACAAACAGCATAAAGAAGCAAAAAAAGGATATTCTAAATCTGTTACAGGTCACCTTTAGCACTACCTCTAAATACAGTGACTGGGCGGAGTACGTTGCTTCTGAACTCTCCTAAAGATGGTCTGTCTGGGCTCAGCAGTCGTATGAAGGGGATTTTAAGAGGATTTGTTTATTTTCTTTCTCAAGCTCTAGCCCATGCAAAACCACTGAGTTACAGATTTGTTTCTTAAATGGCCTGTTTGGCTGGAACAAAGTCTCTCTTGCTTCCTCTATTTTGTTACTAACGCAGGCTGCTTGTAATCATTATATCCTTCACACTTAAGACAATGATAATAAAACCTGGCCTATAGTGGATGTTTCATCTTTAGCGGGAAGGAGACTCTTCCAATGCTAGGACAGTCCTAAACGTTAATGAACCAAGCCAGATCTCTGGTATAGAACACATGTATGAAAACTCAACTCAAAATTATGTTTTCGGTAAAGGTAATTCCTTAGAAATGAATGAATATTTTCACATATGCTATTCTCCAATCTCACTAAGACTCTTCAAGTGAGGTTTTTAAGAGAACCAAGTATTCAATTCCATCTCCCCTGCCCCCTTCTTAGTTTTTTTTCTTGGCAGGAAGATTAAAAGTAGTAAATGAAGTGACTTACTGAGCTTCCTTATTGCAAAAAGACAGCAGATCTTGCAAATAAAACTTTGCAAAACCAAGAATGCAACTAACATGGGACTAAGTCCCAGTCAGCTGGAAAACCTGCCCACTGGAACTCTAATCAGTCTCAAAACGTATCATCCTGCTCTGATTAGAGACATTGTACAACAGCAGTGAGTCCATTTGGGAAGTCTGACATTACTATGTATTTGTAAGGGTTTAATATATCAATCAGATGATGTATACAAATACCTAGTTCACAGCAGGTCCACACAGAGAAGGACAGAATAAATTGCTGAATTTACCAAATTTAAGCCTCTCTGGAGTTAAATTTCTGTTACTGTTCCGATATCTACCAAATATTCTGTCTCCCTTTTCAGTGCTTGCCTTAAAGGGGACAGAAGATTGAAAGACTATTATTAAGATTAAGATTTTGTGAATGTTGGAACTAATATTTCTTGGAACTACTACTTTTCTGTAGGGTGAGGTGTCTTATAGCTAAGTATAACTCCAACATCAAGCTCAGTCCTGGAGTAGGTGAAAGCAACAGCAGTTGTTGCACTTGCCCAGCAGGATTTGAAGATTCCTTGTATAAACCACAGCAACAGGATGTTTTGAACAGGACCTTGTCATTCTATACTTGACTCGAATTCAAACTTAGTATGTACTTGCCTTCACTGGGTTTTCTTTGTGTAACAAAATAGCATGTGCATTCCTGAGAAAATTGGTGTAATTCTGCTACAAATCTCTCCATCGTCAGTGTACCTGCTGGCCCCATCTGAAACAAAATTGAGAAGGAACTACAGTAGTAGAAGAAAAGCAATTAAAACAATTTCTCTGAATCCTACAGTTTTTTTTCCAATGGTTGGGTTGGGTTTATTACTGTGTGCAAGACTAAGATTCTTTTCTGTCTTTTCCTCTGTTTGGTTTTTAGCTTACTTACCCTTTTTTAGGTAAGGGATATTGCATATCCCTTCTGTGGGAGAATCAGCCAAAACTGGGGAGGCTGGAGAGAGCAAGAGCCTTTGGGAAACAAATTATGTGGTATTTAAAATTTCCTCTTATCATGCTTCTTTGTAAATACCCCCATTTGAATGCTGTGTATTTGTACAGGAAATTGAGCAAAAAATGTATAGATTGTGATGTCTGACTGGTATTCTGCCCTGTAAATGTGTTTTTAACCTCTGGCATTCTGTGCTTATTTAAAAAAGGCAAAAACCTCTAACCACTTCTCTTTTGTGTATTCATGTTTAAAATAAAATGAAAACAGCTATCTTATCTATAATGGAAATCAAATTTAAAAGGAAAAAAATAATTTGTACAAGTGTCCTAAAGGTACTTCATTGTATATATTGTGATAGCATGTTTCCAGAACCAACAAATAAGTGGTGTGAATTTTAGATGTAAATATCTGCCGTTTGTTTTGGGTTTCTTTCCCTTACCCATTCACTCGACTGCTGTGATGTGGAATTAAAGATTAATACCTGATATTAAAACAGTACAGCTGTATGTTCATTGCTGTCCTCCAGGCAGAGTTATCCTCAGGCTGCTCCAAACATTCACAAGGTATATGGAAACAGCCAACGCTTCCCACTTTGTGTGAATGAGGAAAATGGGGGGCAACCAAAAGGATCTTGTGGCTGTTATATGTGGTGAGGGAAGAGCTTCCACATTATTCTTAGCTGACAGTATGCTATTTTATTTAATATCAACTTCTTCGAGCAAGCATCAGGCATGCCCACCAGCTAGTCTAGTCAGTTATGTGGACTTCCATGACACATGCAACAGCCCAAGACACAGTTTTGAGGCAATACTCAAGGTGCAGGAGACAGAAAAAGTAACCCATTTCTCCCATCCTGTCTCGATGAACCAACAAAAAAATTATGAAACTTCTCCCAAAAGACATTTAGCAGTAAAATATAATAACAGTCTTAACTTATGCTGGCCATGGGGTGTACATAGACTGCCAAGCCATCCTTTTCATTAAGTACATACCACATACAAATACTGAGAAGAGAAACTGTAACAAGGTCCTTCAAAGTACATCTAAAATATCAAAATGTGGCTTAGCTAAAGTGTTCATTTGTCACCTGACAAACGTCTGTATAAGATCCTTTGAGACTATTCCTATCCCAGCTTATCACATTTTAGTTAAATATATTTTTTTTTCTTCAGCTAAAAAACATTTATTAACCAAGCACAGGAAATAAAGACTGTATTTGGCATAACAGAAGATGTGTGAAGCCCTCAGCTTTAAACAAGAGTTTAAAAAAATCTTATCATTTCTGTTAAAACCAACAGAACAATTTTTCAGTGTAAGTCAAATACTTTAAGCTAAGGCAACACTAGTAAGATTGAAATCTAAATACCACATTCAAATACCTCTCCTTATCTAAATAAGAAACCTTCAGCACAGTTTCAATATATGACTTGTGCAACTCAGTATGAATTTCATTATAAAGCTGATAAGAGGCAAAATTAAACCTCTAGAAAGGACTATAACCTAGCCAATAAAGATTCAGACCTCTGCATAAATATGCCTCTATTTGTAGACTCAACAAACCATGGACACAGACACACAGTGTTCAGAAGGATATATATACACCCACACTACATTATAGCCCAGTGCCAAGAGGTCCTAGCTGCAGGTCTTCTCTTTACTATTATGAGACAATGCACATACCGCTTTCTCCCTTTTCACAGGCTTTACCATCAAGGCCACATAAATTAAAACCAAATTTGGAGTAGTAGTTCTACTACACCCCAGCTTCTATTCAGCATTCATTCACAGCAGTACTGCATTACATTTTTCCATCAAACTAACCTGGTTTCACCTCCACCATGACAGAGCACACTTCATTGTCCTCACAGGCTAACACCTGAAGCTGAACCCCTTTCA